AAATAAGCATTCTCCAGCTCTTTGTTTTCTTTGGTTGTTTTATTACTGATTTGTATGGACCCAACTCTGCATGTGAATGTACGTACGTACACACGGCTGGAGAGTTGAGCTTATCATTTCTTGAAGGCCTCAAGAACCACCCCGGGTGTATGGCCACTGAGGTTGGGCTCCTAGAGCTGTCACAAGTCATTTCAGCCGCCAACGTATGCAGTTTTAACGTAAACACATTCATTTAAAAATACATTTTTTCTTATTTACAAACCATTTACACAAGGTGGTGGACTACTCAATATTCCTTCGTCACCATTTACACCTATTGTATAAATACCCGAGTCGAGTATCGATGGGATATTCAATATTCCACCATCATTCCTCTCACACTACACATTCACACCAATAAATTCATTCTCAACTAGGGTACACAAAACTATCAGTATTATATAAAATAAAATAACTTTTTTTCTCCAAGAATCAGAACAGGGGAACCAGATTCGCTGCCGTGCTCAAGCACAATTCTTATACGGGGTGATTTCTATGCACTCTCTGTATGCAGCCAAGGAATTGCACCCTTCATTTAAGTGGGACACATTGAAATGGTTAAGTTAAAATAAATAATATTGGAAAACTTGTGCATTAAATTACAAGTATCTAAAGAACTCATGTCAGCCTATGCAATTTTTATAACACCGGTTACAAATTTACAAATGTAATAATTTTTTTATTTTTAATATTTGAATGGCGTTTTGCTAGGTGCATCTCACGATCTCCAAATAATCATTAATTAACGGTCACAACACCACACAATATAAAAAAAAGATTTTTTCCATTTTGTTTTTTCAATCATTAAAATGGTACTGTAAAAATATGAGACCATTTGACTTTATTGAACCTTCAGATTGGTTGATTATTGAAAATCTTTTGAAAAGAAATGTGAAATATCAATATATTTGTTGCTTTTTTTTTTTTTTTGTGTGGATGTTTTTGCATTATTTTAAAAGGTTCAATAACTTAAAACAAATCCTGGATTTACGAAATGAGAAATTCTCCATCTCCCTGCACACATTGTAATCTAACTGAGGGTCGATGTTGCACTCAGCATTCCACCATCGGCCTTCTCACATTACACAATCATGCTAATAAATACATTCCTTCTTAACACACATTGAAACACAAGATATCTATAAAGTATTATATACAGTACAACAGTCCTGTTTCCTATAAAAATTGGAACAGGGGACACAAATAGTCGCTGCCATGCTCAGGCATAATTGTGATATTGGTTAGCATTCCTATGCACTCTCTATATTTGTCAAGGAATGGCACCCCTTCAGATAAGTGGGACACATCGAGCAACCTTTCTCTACATGCCAGACACTTTTGTGGGCTTCGGTCCAAAAGTAAGTATCCCTGTGTCATTCTCACATGGCCTATTCTTAATTGGGTGAAGATGGTGATGCCCTTTCTACAAGTAAGATCCTCTGAGGATCAACTATCAACAGTGCTCTTGATACGTGAGAGCTTCTCTATGATCCAGCCCACAGATGTTGCCACTTTCTTCTAATGATGTTTATGAATGCATTTTATTCATTAGAGTCAATCAATTTTAATAAAAATACTTCGTTTATTCTTTGAGGGTTTTATTTCTACAAAAACACATCATATAAAGTAAAATAAGATCGGTTTAGGTGCCATGGTGATGTTTTTCTACAAATTACAAAAAAAAAAAAAAAAAAAAAAATGAGGAGATATTCTTCAAATCAACTATGGATAACGTACACAACTTTATTTAAACCAATACTTTCAACTAAAATCAGCAGTGTGAGAAATTAAACGCAAAATGTGGTCATTTTAAATGCTCAAAAATAACTTAACAACTGGTTGACATCACCACTTAAAATAAAATAACTATTTTTACATAAATTTGTTAATTTATCCCTTTAGTTACTTTATTGGTTCATGAAGTACAAATTGATTGGAAACAGAAAAGCATACGATAAATTTTACTTTGTCATTATAAAATTAATTAAACAATATTCACTGAATTGCAATCAACAATTGCAGAGACGTAAATTCTAGGCTTTTAAAAATAACCTCTTATCTATCATGTTTTATGACTATTTAAAGTGCGTAGTTGGTCTTATATAAATAAATGGTTAATTGATTTGTTTTACCTTTTACATACCCAATAATAATTATATTGAAAAAACTGTCAGAATGAACAGAATCTTTGGTAAAAAAAAATCAGTATACTCCATATCATTCAATTAATTAAGGTTTTAAGTTGAGATAAAAAAAGTCAGTGTCACGAGCGGGATTCGAACCCATGACCTTTGGCTTGATACGCCGCTACTCTACCACTTGTGCTATTGTGACTTCAATCCCCTCGGGCTACTCCATATCATTGATGTGTTCATTTGTGTGTGTGCATTAACAATATTATATACTAGTTACTCAAACACATTTCAGCTTTGAGCCATCTTCAGTGAGGAACTGTCTGTCTCATCTGTGTAGGACATTATAGTCTACACCCACCATCAGCTTATATGTTCAAACTATTTCACTAAGTTGTTTTTTCATTGAGTCATTCATTGTGTATAGGTTCAAATTCATGACCGGTGAAATTCGAATTACAGTGATGACTCGCCATGTCAACACCCTAACAATTTGATGTTGCATGTTTTGATGCAACTATTAATATAGTGGGTGTCCCTTCTCATAGGACCAGCCACTTATATTTTAAACAAAGCATGGTATTAAACAAAATAAATTGTAACAAGTTTTACTTTTTGTCGGGTATCTATTTTTATTTATAACAAAAACCTTTCTACATCAAAATCAATCAAGGAATCCCAAAATACATTAAAAAATTGCAGCGGTTCAGCGTTTTTGGCGTACACTTTTCTCTATTCTCAACCAGTCTTGGAGCTGGCTTTTGCGAATTTAAAAAAAAAACTAAAAAAAACTTTTCATAAATAACAAAAAACTAACAAAAAACATAAAAGGAAAACTGAACTACAAACGACAAACAACGAAAATTGTGCAAACCAGAAAATTTAATTAAAATTAAAGAATAGCTTCAAAACTCCAATTTCATAGGGATATAAAAGACCTGCTCTTCTCTTCCCTTCTTTGGTTAAAGCCGTTGGTATTGACCCTTGTATTCCTACGGGTATTTATGGGCTGTAAATTTCGGTAAATTTGAATGAAGGTAACCCCAGTTAAAAAAAAAAAAAAAAAAAAAAAAAAAAAAAAAAAAAAAAAAAAAAAAAAATAAAAAAAAAAAAAAAAAAAAAAACGTGGGGAAAAATAAGATTGCGAGTGCTTATCCATCAATTAAAAAATTGGTAATCCAAGAAAAAGTTGTCTGTTAATTCAAAAAATCAAACAGGGTTCCTATTGTAGCAAGTGGAATGTCTTCAATAAAATCATGGAGGATGTCTCGTAAAACCGTGATGGACTAAATGCTATAAAAATATCTCCTATTAGCCAACACCTGAATCCTGGTTGGGAAAAGGAGATAATAAAAGCCAAAAGTACTGAATCTTTGTGCTATTAATTATTTTAAAAAATTATATCTTGGGAAATATGAAGCAAAGAAACAGGATTGTATTTGCTCATCTGCAATAGACAAAAAGTATTATTTTTAAAAATAATTTTTAATAATAGAAAAAAATAACTACCTTACAAAATGTAAAGGGTAGTTACAATTTAACTTTTTTTTTGACAAATTGCTTTGTTGAAAAGGAAGGGACATCCGGTATTGTCCAGTTGACTTAAAAATAATAATTTATTAAAAAAAGATGTGGTTCAATATGAGCAGTTTGGTCAGTGATTTTCTTAATTTAGTTTATTCTTGCTGTAATTGATCAATGGTAATTGGGCTTTACCTTGTTCAGATGAATAATTTATTTTCTTAATTTCATTGTTGACTTGGAGTTACTTTTTAAATAACTTTCTAAACATGTATGAAATAAACCAAATACTTCTTGGTCCAAAGAGCACATACACAATGTAGTAAACTTTCTATCTAATTTATTATGCAGTCATTTCACTTTTATTTGGGTATAATAGAATTTGATCTTAGAAATGATAATTTTCAAAACTGCATAATTTTTTAACTTTATATTTATTTTGTTTTGTATTAAACAAAGTTAAATTTTAATTTGCTGTTAAAAAGTTGAATTTTTTGAAGATAGAAGAGTACAAGAATTGATCGTTGTTTTAAAAAGTTTTGAATAACTGTACAAATATAACAGTAACATCACTTAATAATAAAGAAGTAATTAGTAATTTATTGTTTCCATAAACATGTTTTGCAAATGTGATGAGGGTAAACATAAAAAGCCCACAGCACTCTTCAAAATTTAGAATAAAAATATACTTTTATAGGTGTATATCTGTAATTTATTATCACCATGTGTTTTTTCCTGCTGTAAGATAGCAGATATTTCTATTATATTAGTCCTATGAAGCACTTTTCCCCTTATTCATTATCTTCAAAGGTCACTATTTTTTTCTCACTAATTTAAATTGCACAACATTAATTCCCCTCGTTCTTGATAAGTTTAAATAATTTTCTGCTAGAGTTGTGGTTTGATACAATTTTGATACTAGAGTTTTGATTTATCTTGAAACATTGTTCACCAGGAAGAGATAATTGTAGTCTTAATCGTGATATATTACAATGTGTTGATATTTTTAATGTTGGTTTAATAAATTCAGGCAATTCTATTCTTTAATTAAATTTGTTTAATTAACTTGGCTTTTTAATATTTTTGAAATACAAAGTTTTAGTTGTACTTGAGAGCATTATTTATATAGATTTTAAAGCAAAAAAGGTTTTATTGTTACCAAATGACCTGCCCATAACAAGTCGTTTTGTAATTATGACCTGATGCATGATATGTATAATTATCGCAAGTATATGTACACATACATAGTTGTTCCTGCTTTAATATAAATCGGAGGAAAATAATGTTGGGCAGAGTAAAAGAGTAAAATATAGAAAAATGTATTTTTTTTGTACTCAACTCTGAATTCTTTGGGGGATTACAGTTTCTGAAAAAGTAAGAAAATACAACCCTAGTCTCTTCCAGCATATCATGTCTAAATAAGTTTTTCCTCCGGTCGGCTAGCTGCCATGGCTGTTGCTGGTACCTTGTTTTTTTTTCCACCTTATGTTTCTTGATTGACAAAATTTAGCGCTCCAGTATGAGAGCTTGACGAACTGACTCTTGTGAAAGAACTTCTGGGACTCGCCTAACCTAAGTTAGGCCGGTCTAAGGGTACTGGATGTTCCACTGAGGACCTGTCGTCATTCACACTAATGAATACATACACATTAATAAATACATTCACACTGATTAGATATTGTCATATTATAGAACAGAAAACATATTGAATATACACATATTAACTAGATTTTAGCTAATTTTTTTGTTATTGATTAACTGAGTTGGAAAGACATGTTTGCATTTTTTTAATAAATATCAACTGGTTTAACAATAATGCTAACTTTATATATAATTTTTCTAGCATCTTATACTCAATGTTCTTCTTTCTTTTAAAGAATTACTTAAATTTTCTTTTAAAAGTTTTTGTGTTGTTTTTACGTACTATTTATTTTTGTTCCTAATTATATGATATATTTTTTACTCTTCTTTTCTGGTGGTTGATTTTTATATTTCTTTGGTTTCTTTTCTTTGAATATGAGTATGATGGTAGTCTGGTTACTGAAAAGAAACCCAAGAAATATGAATGTTAAATAGTGTCATCGAACCTTAAAATTGGGAGATTTAGATTTTGAATTACATTTATCAGTTGTACGTATTTAGATTTTTTTTAATCTTATTTTTTCCTATGTGAATATTGCTTATAGCTATCTGCTTATCCCACATGCCATACTTTCAAGTAAAAAAACCTTAATTATAAGTAACGTAATTTATAATTAAAAGTTTTTTTGTTTGGTTGTTTTAGTTATCAAAATGGAGATTATCACCTGGGCATGCTTTTTTGGATTTGTTGCCCTCGTATCATTTCTCATCTACAACACACTGTCAAAGTCATCATCAGAAGACGATCTATTTGAGGAGGACAGAGCTCATAGAAGAAAGAACGTGAACAGTAAACAAAGTCAGGATAATGCACGGAATACATTGGAAAAGGCAAAAGAAAAGAAACTTAAAAAACTAAACAAAAAGAAGAAGGACAAAAAAACGATTGAATCTTCTGTTGAAGAGACAAGCGATGTCACTGAAGCTGAAACAAATGAACAAATGAATGTGAGTTATTTTAGATAGTATAATATTGATTAAAAATCAGTGTTGAAATTGTATCATCTTTGGCTCTGCCAAAACCTATTTTTTAAATTTAAAACTTTAATAGAAAAGCATATTGACAAAAGAAAAAATTGTTTCAAATTCTCTGTACCACTTTTAGATTTCAGTTGGAATATTACAAGTTCTGAGCATTTACAAGCTCAGTTTTCATAGATAAAATCATTTTTTCTTGGGATGATTCATATCAAATTCAGTAATATTAGATTATATTATGGTTGTTTAACTTTTACATCTACTTTTTTTCAAAATGTTCAATTGGAATTCTTATAATTAAAATTTTTATTTCAGGAGGAAAGTGAAAGTTCTGGCGTTCAACCAGTTGTGCTTAACAAGAAAAGTAAGCCTTCCAAATTTCAAGTAAGTGATAATGAAAATGAAACGAAGAAGAATACCAAACTAGAAGTGAAAAGCAAGAAAGATGTATCTTCATCTGAGGAAACAGTAGATTCGTCACCTTCTACAGAAGAAAAGACAGCAAAGAAACTGTCCAAACAAACTGTTGACAAGGGTACAGTGCCGGCTAAAAAGCCGAAAGTTTTGGAAAAACCAGCTGAAGATAAAAAACCTATTGAGGTGGTGGAAGAAAAAATGGTGGAAGTTGTTGAAACACCTGTGCAAGCACAAGTTATCAAAAAAGAATTTAAACCAGTGCAAACTGTCCAAAATGGTATGAAAACAAAGAATAACAAGAAGAAGAAAAATGAGCTTACCAACTTGCAGCAATTAAGTAAGTCCAAACGTAAAATGATTAAATTATTTTCTTTTAGATGTATTCAATGTGATCTAGCCCATATATATTGCACACGCGCACATGCGTTTTTTCGTGTGTGTGGCGCGCGTGCGTGCGTACTATGGAGCTATTTGTGATGTTAATTACTTAATTTCAGAAAGTGAGTCTGAAGCTGTTAATATAAACTTGTTGATTGCCTTGGTTCAAAAAGCAGAACTATCTCGCTCAGAAAATCAACTTTTGATTGATGCTCTTTTAAACAAACAACAAGAAGATATTTCCGAGTGGTTGCAGGTAACTTTCATAAAGAAATTTGCCGTTAGTAAAATGAATTCGTAATGCTTACTATTCTGTTTTGATTGAAGGGTCGTCAAGATCCACTTGTTAAGCTTAAGAAACAGTTGTTGGAAACTGAACAAGCTCTTAAAGATGAAAAGGAAGCAGCAGTTGGTTTACAAACAAAATTGAAGGAACTCCGCAACGAGATTAATAATGAAAAATCAACGAATAGACAGATGGAAGAGAGACTTGCAACAGTCCAGAATGAATGCCAGTCATATTCTCTTAAGCTTCAACAGGCAATCGAAGACAAACAAGCACTCACTGCCCAACATAACAGCTGCCTTCAACAGATTAAACAATGTCAAAAACAACTTAGTGATGAGAAAATAAAGGCGAAAGAAGAGCTTGCCGAAGCTGAAGAACAATATCATGAAGTAAGTTTGTATCTAAATATTTATATTTTATACAAAAACAAATGTTAATTTGTTGATAATTTTAAGGCTATTCGTGCTGTACAAACTGAGTGTACGGAATACGCTTTAACATCACAACAGTTTCAGGCTGAATCAGCCAATCTAAGAGCTCAATTAGCTTTGGTTCAAGATCAAAGTTTAATGGTGAATGAGGTACGAATGAAAAATTCTTATTTGATTAAATCAATTTTTTCAGAGTTTTAATAAAGAATTTTTTTTTAGGAATTTCTAAAAAGTAAAAATGATATGGAACGGCTTCTAACTGAATCACAGTTCCAAGTTTCCAAACTACAAAATGAGGTATATAATTAAAATATAATAACAATATTTTTTTTTAGAGATTGTGAGATTAAGTTTAGAAATTTTCTTTATTGTGTCAACATCTTTATTGAGATCATCTTCAGGGCCTGGGATTTAAACATCGTTTAAATTGTAAAAATACATATGAATATGAATTTATACAATGATGTACACAATAATTTTTTTTATTTTAATCAAATATTTGTACTCACTCAAAGTGTGTGTTTTCTGTGTAGATGTGTCATTGTTGTATGTTGTGTTAGTGAAATATTAATGTTTTTTGTTTATATATTCAACATGACAGTGACACATCTACACAGAGAACACACACTTTGAGTACGAATACTTTCATTAAACCTAAAATTTCTTTATTGTGTATATCGTTGTATAAATGCATGTTCATATGCATTTGTATAATTTAAACATTGTTTATAAATCCCAGGCCCTGAAGATAATATCAATTAAGATCGAAACGGCAACGAAAAAAAAAAAAAAGACTTCTAGACTTCCTCATTCTTGACCACTCCTCTCAACTGCAAGAAATTATGAAACGACAGGTCACTAAGAAACACATTTTTAAATATAATTTATAATGTGGTTTAATTAAAACATATTAAAGTGCAAAATATTATTTTGAGGTCTGTTGTGATGAACTTTTAGCTTGATCATCCTTGATCACCTTGGTCTATTCGCACTCGCTTTTTTCGTTAGACATTTTTGGTACGCAAAATCAGTGTGAAAAGGAATCGGGTATTATCAAGATATAATTGTACTGGAGAACCAATATACAAACAAATAACACTTAAAATATGGAAAACAGATAAATAAACAAGCTCACCTTCACACACCACTTAAACGACTAAAAACACTACATAACAAAAAACACAAACTTCAGAAGAAAACAACCTCAAAATCAACACAACAAAAACTAACAATGTACAAATAATAACCGACATCACAACCGTTAGTGAACATCATGTCCAAGCTCCCTACCATACTGCAAATGCCCTTAGCGACAACCGACAGACCCAGTGACTTATAAGCCCTAATCGTACGATGTGACAGACAGTTCCTCACAGAAGATGCCACTAATGCTGACACGTGTTTGAATAGTTATTATAACCCCCCCCCCTCCAAGAAATACACATCTTTCATTATGTTCCTTGGGCTAATATGCAAAGTACATAAGGACATTAAAAAAATTACTTCATTTAATTCTGAAGTGAAAAGTCATAAAATCAGTCAATTGTATTTCTAAAACATTGTTACAGTTTATAGTGTTCACATTCACTGAAAATTTTCTATAAGTATGCCCCATTTAGTAACTTTATTCAATGGTATCTTTAAAAGAAATCTTGATAATTGATTTTTTTTTTACTTTTCTAGCTGAGTGCAGCGACCAGAGAATTAAATGAAGTGCGGGAAGAACGTAAACATGATAATATGTTCCGTAACAAATACGAATTAGAGAACCAAAGTCTAATAGATGAAAATAATAGACTCTCCTGTAAGGTAAGAGCTCTGAGCCTGAACGATGAACTAGCCAGGAAATATTTCATGTAAATATGAACAACAATGAATAAATATATTGTTATAGATATCTTCACTCCATTCTGAAATTAAAACTTTATTGGAACAAAATGAAGCCCTGTCAAAAAATTGTTCGGAAATCTTGGAAAATGGATATTCATACAATAATAAACAAAAATTAGCAGAATACGACTCAAGGTTTTTATTCCACTTGGTTAATAATTATTTACTGTACAAATAAATAATATTACGTTGTTTCAGATTAGAGGAAACAGAAAACTCATTAAAATCTGTTAAAAATGAGTTGGATGCCAAGGTTAATAAAATAGAAGAATTAAACACGATAATTTCAACTTGTAAAAATGAAAACGCGAAAAAAGATGCTCTTTTACAAAAAGCACAAACTGAAATTGATGCTTTGAAGGCCAAGGCTGCTCTTTCACCTATAAAAATAATTGAAGATGATAACTTGCTTCAGTTAAAAGATGTGATTACAGAAAAAAATAAGGAAATAAGTAACCTTAAGAACGAAATTGAATCTTGCAAACAACAAAACAATGTAAGTAGCCATATAGATGACAGTAATAATATTTTTACAATGTTCTAATCATACTAGTGATAAACAGGACATAAATAAATTTTCACCTAAGGTAATTAAAAAAATACATTAAATTAAATAAAAGCAATTACTTATTCTGCTTAAATTCTTATTACACATTAATATATTTTAAATAAACACCATAGCTTAATGTAAAAATATAAAAAGCTTAAACACAATGTCACTATTCATTTTGAACCACTTGGGACTGCAATGGCTAAATGGTTAGGCATTGGACTCGTATGTGCCAATGCCTAAATTATTCTTCTTAGTTAGAATCCTGCCAGAGCCCATGGAATTTTAACTTGCCTCTTGTCCATGACGCCCAACTAAGTTGGAGGTTAATCCTTCTTGTGTGGAAATTATTTCACCTATTTTATTGTCCTATAACATTATAGTAAGTGGAAATTTAAAAAAATCCTATAATAATTATAAAAAACTAGTAGCTAGAATTAGAGTACAAGTAAAAATTTTTCAATTCTTTCATTGCCTCTAACGACCAGTCGTTCTCTCAACGCTCAATTTGTATGCTGCCGGAAGATAGGAAAAAGTAGATGGACAATACTTTGAGTAATCAATTTGTTACAATTTTTCACAATTTGTTCACAAAAAATTCTATAAAACATACTTGCACACTCAATAGAAACTAGTAATTATTATTAATTTATTATGCCATTTTCTTTACAAGTGAACTGAAAGTTTTTTATATAAAAAATTGTATTAATTAATTTTAAATTATAAATTGTTTTACAGAAGTTAAGGGACAAAAACTGGAAAATAATAGAAGCACTAAATCAAGCCGAAAAACGATCTCAGTACAGCGAAAGACATAGCGAACTAAGCAATCCTGTATGTATCTATTTTGTATTTGTGTTTAATTTTCTACTTTGCATGTTTAATTTGACATAATTTTATATATTGTTTATTTGTATAATTGAATTGATTTTTAAAGGCAAAAGAAAACGGTTTTGAAACCAGAGTTGAGAACTGGGTGAAAAAGCTTGTGAACAAATTGGAACCGAACATAGTTCTTGAAGAAAAGGTATAGTCTTTACCCCTCCCCTTAAAAAAGTTTTTTGATGGAATAATAATTGGTAATTAATGTGAAAAAATTGGCAATTAGGGTACAGATGATATGACAGTATGGTTAAATAAAGTTGAGAACGCTCTTAATTCTTATAATCATCAAAGGCCAGAATACTGCGATGATAACACAGATTTAGTTCACCTACAGTCTCAAAATAACCAACTTCAAAATTTATTGGAACATTACAAGAAAGTAATCAATGACACTGTAAGCATTATTCCACAAAAGAAATGTATTTTTTGTTATAATTTCACATTATTATTATTGTTTTATAGGAAGGAATGCTTAATGAATTGCAAAATAATGTTGAGATAAGAGAATCTGAATGGAAGGATAAAATTAATGATTTAGAGAACATAGTTGAACAACTAAGACAGGGCCAGTCGCAGTGTAAGTATTACTGATATATTATATGTATTTGTAGTGAAACTTCCCTTAAGGGGTCAAAAGCCGCACCTCCCTTTAAAGGACAAATTTTGATTCTCTGGCATCTTTCTATTAGTTTCTTCACATCTTTTATAAATCAGATAGTCCCAATGACATAATATGTATAAGCCCTAATAAGATAACTAATCACAATTATTTTACTTGGGCTGTTTCTGATTATCTTAGTCTATCATTTCTGGTGTGGTCTGTCCAAAGAATAAATATTCTTTGAGGCAAATTGTATGGATGTGGACAGTATTGCACCAATTTTGAACCCAAAAATATTTTTTTTAATTACAATGAGACGTTCTTATATTTTTAGAACACTTCTGACTAAACTGTATAGTTAAAAAACGAGCACTGTCAGAGAGGAAAAACTTTCTTTTAGCATGCTTGGAGAATTTGAAAAATCCTCTGGTCATAAAAAAGGTTTAAAATCGGTGTTGATATCTTGTAATACTAAACTTTTTTATGGAGGTGGATGCAATGGCTCTGGGTTCGAATGTAGGGCCGCTGGATACACCAAATATACTTACAAATGGTATTTTTTCTTTTTTTTTTAAAAACCCAGCCCCCCGAGGGTTCATATAACCTCATTTAAAAATAAATAAATAAACATTTTTTCTCTCTTGACCCAAAAGCAAGCAATATTTCATTCCCCAAGAGTGTCCTTTGTAGGGAAGTTTCACTGTATATAGTAATTATATTTTACATTAAGCATCTTTTTTTTTCTTTTTTTAAATCTAGGACAGGATGATTTAAGAAAATAATTATTTTGATGCAAATAAAAGTCCCATTCCACTTTAAGACTGAAGATTTCATTTGTGGACCGATATTTCAAACAGTTTTAGAAGCTATTCTCATATGACATTGATGATCATGTATTGCTATTGGATTCAATTGGTTGTTAACAATAACCTACTTTTCTGATCTGCGATATAAAATATGTGTGATGCTAGTGGATTTTTGTGATTTCATTTATCCGCCTTATTAAAATTCACACATGAAACTGCATTTAAATTGTTTTCCTGTACAAAATTTTATTTGTTATTAATTGATAATTTTAAATTTCAATCTAAAACCGTTCATAAAATTGCTGCCATTGTATTTAATTATATTTAGAACATCAGTTTATAACAACAATTTAATTGAGTGTACTTTTATCACATATAATGTACGTTGTGTTTGCCTCATTCTGTACCACACAATATAATAGATTAAAAGAATCCTATATTTTTTATATAAAAATTGGAAATTTGCATGTGTTGAGATATTACTCGGATTTATTTGTATGTATCTGAACAGTTCCAATACTGAGAGAAAGAACTTTCCTATTTATACTAAAATGAAAAAAAAAGTGTTCTAACCTATAACTTTTTATTTAGAAAAATTATTGTTGATTGTAGAATATGTTCATTTATTTTAATCATTATACTATCCTTATATGGTTACTTTTATTGGTGGTCTGATGAAATATGTTCAATGAGAATCCTTAGGTCGCTTTTTAATGTACCTCGGCAAAGCACACTACTCTTTATCTTTGTAATAAATTGTTATCCATGTAAAAATTTGTATTATAAATAGTTTGTATCAAAATAAACGTGGTTAGTGTTAAAAACCAGACATGTCATTTCTATTCACACAGTACGACAATAAATTTTTTTTAAAGTATTAAATACACGATAAAAACACAAGGCAGCCTTTAAAAATTTTCCAATCTATTGAGAATAAAAAAAGGGTTAAATTAAAGGAATGTGCCTAATCTATTGTTCAATCTGCTTGCAGAAAGTAGGGCGTCATTGTATATTTTTATAAATTTGTATTTTTTTATTTTAGGATATAAACCAAAATTATGTGTATCTAATGTATTCTCTCTAGCATTTTTATTCTGCAAAGCAGTTTATTTATTGTCGGACTGTGTACCTTGTTATTAGTATTTGTCAAAGGAAAAAAGAAATTGCAGACTCTTTTCTTGGATATTGGACATCTGTAAGTGCATAAAAGTTTATACTAACTGTGATATCAGAAGCTCCCTCACAAGCCAGATTTCATCCACCTATCTTCAACCTATTGGACCTTTAATACGATTGTTAACGCAAGAGGATTTTTCGAGGAATGTTAATAGTGTGTAAGCTTGTTAATCATCGGACTCAATAAAAAACTTAAAATAAGAGCAATTATTTTTATTATTATTTTATAATAGGAGTAAAGGTACTAGAAATAAATCATGTGCTTCGGTAAAGTAGCAGTGTAATACTATAATTAATTATTCACTAGGTATGTTTTAACTTTTTCTTTTTTTTCATTATTTAATTTATCTTCTGTGCAATATTACTAATGTTTGTTATCGAAAATGTATAAATTGAAATCAACTTCTCAGTGACATACATACTGTTAAACTGTAATTTTAAGAATATAAAAGTAAACATTTCATAATTTGTTGTTTATAAAAATAAAGTTTAAATTATCACATAATCGTAATAATTTCACTACCTTGAAGATGATATAAGATTTGGGGTGCAATATGGACACAAAAATTATTTCATACATAAAATTTTTTATTTTTTAATAAAATATTTATTACAATCTATAAAATAATACCTGCCTACACTATGTTGGACATGGATTGGGGTGAGTGGAGAGTTTATCACGGAACTTGTAATGAGGGGGATTAATTTATTTACGAAGGGTCTTTAAAGGTTGTTGTGGAGGGTGGTACAGGAGACAGACATACTAAGTTGTGTTGACTATAATTCTTTGGATATAGAAATAGAAATATATTTTTCAAAAAACATTTTCACAATAAGGCTTGGACCCTTTATAGCGAGTAGGCAAAATAATTTTAAAAAAAGTTACAAAATATAATGCAAGAAAAAGTAATTATTAACAGAATTTGTATATATACAATATATAAACACACATATAAAAGCTTCACACTTGAAAGCCTGAAGGGGAATTACACAGACAATTGGGAGAACTGAATTAGTGGGATATGTAGGTTTAATGTGCTCCATAGTTCTAGTCTGTATGTACAAATCGGTTTGAGTAGTGTCTGTTTTTTGTAAATATGTTAGATTTGCGTCCAAATAGTTTAAGAGTAGTCCGAAATATTCAGTTCCTGTCTTTTTATTTGTATATATCAGTTCCAAGTTAATCATGAAGATAGAACCCAAGGTAGCATATGCAGTTGGTTTTAAGGATAATAATATTGTTGAGGATTATTACATAACGGGTTTTGCTTTGTTGGGCAAATGTGGGTGTATTTGTTTTCGTTAATATTTATCGTTCAAAGTTTGCTCTATTTGGTCATTCGTTGGATCAGAGAAAAGTGCAACTGGAAGAATGCAAGGAGGGTAGAGGGTGTAGTTGGTATGTCTGGTGTAGAGAAGGATTGGTGCAAGCACAGGTCCTATGGGCACTCCTGCTTCTCTTGGCGAACACTGAAGAATCGTCCTGTGAGGTAGGTGGAAAGAATTAGGACTTTAGTTTGTGTAGAACTTCAGTCTGATACAGTCAGTCAAAACACTTGTAACTCCCAATATACAAAGCATGTAGGGGATGCCACCCGATATGAGAATTGTGCTTGAGCATGGCATGCCACCCGATACGAGAATTGTGCTTGAGCATGGCAGCAAACATATCTGAACAGTCCACTGTTCCAATTCTTAGAAGAAACAGAGTTGTTTTATTATACATAGTAATAATGTATGTATTGTTTTGTTTCTTGTAGTGTGTTGATAGTGAATGCATATATTAGCATGAATGTGTAATACGAGAGGCCCGATGGCAGAATATTGAGTACCCCATCAATCCCCAATTAGGTTAGTTATATAAGATGTAAAGGGTGATGGAAGATATCGAGTACTCTACCTCCCTGAGTGAATGTTTTTTTTTTTTTTTTAAACGAGGGTTCGCAACAGCAGAGGTCGTATAAACCCTCAGGGTGCCGGTTTTTGAAAAAAAGCCCATTTGTAAGTACGTCGGGTTTGAATGCAGGGCCACTGGATTCGAACCCGGGACCTTTCCCTTACAGTGATGAGCGCCGTGTCAAAGACTAAACCTTGCAGCCACCGACGCCCCCAGTGAATGGTATTAAAATAAGTAAGGGTGAGTTAAAGTGAATGGATTTAGGAACTGATTGCGTTGGGGGCAGAAATGACCGTTGTTGAAACCCTGCAGCGGCTTTATGGATAAAACCGAGGTACAGACTGCCAACACCTAGGGTGGGTGATTCTCAAGGCCTGCTCCTTAATAAATTATTTTAAGTTACAAAAGCTGAAATTGCTAGGGTGCTGAGATGTGATTTTTAAAATGTGTACATGCATATGCATGTGCCGATTTGAGCTTATATAAATAAGTAATCCTGAGTCCAAGGCCAAAATACTTTCAAAACACTTCTCAATCACAACTATATCAAATTAAAATCAGTTATAAAAACCTAATAAACATAATAAAGCCCAACGGAATTTGCACTATTATTTTAAATCGTCATATATACCATATTACTGAGTGTTAGAGTAACACTAATGCCTCGCCTATAGTCTTATTAGAAATAATTACTTACCCTTGTTGAAATGACAAAACTATTGACGAGTTCCTGTATGTTTTGCTACTCACAAAATATTAAAACTTGATCTATTATCTATTTAAAAATAAGGCCATTCTTAATGCCGAGCAAAAACAATATATAAATAAATTCAACTTAGGTGTCTTGCTAATGCAAATTGAGTAATGATTTGCTGCATTTCAACAAATTATTTTTAATATAAAGGTACAAATACATCTGAGAACCACAAGTTTGCAAGATTGGGACAGGTTTTGAGCACCTGATGTACCATTTGCAAACCACTTTTTCGGATCCACCACCTGTCGGTTTTTTGACAAACACAAAGGGATACACTATACAATTTTTGGTTCACGAACCGTCTGTGTATTAATTGAGCCTATATCTGTGAACAACATAATTGATATTTGTTATTTCATAATTTTAGTGCCCCAAGAAAAATATTGTAAAATGGTCTAACACTTTTACAGCAATAGATAAATAGTTGCTTGTAAAGCCCTTATATATTGTACACATTTTCCCCCCGCTTAAATCAAATCCTTTCCAGCCTCCATTTTTACTTGTAATTATCATATACAATATGTATGTGCTAAATGTCTCCTAGTACTTAATACACAGAAGGATTAAATAATTAAGACATAGGCAGAGAATAACAGGATAAACAATATGTTAAATTCTTTGTTTATTTGTATTTTTCTTATGACTTTTTTAAAATTTAAATGGTATACAAAATGTACTCTCAATATCCATCTATTCAAACGTACAACAAATTTTTTATTTCGCTCAACAAAATAATTTAAATTGAAGGTTATTTAGGGTGGATGTACAGTGTTCCACAATGGTGTAACATAGATTTACACAATAGCAATATTTGTGAATGAATTTGAACTCTTTCCTAGGTAAACATAGTTATGTATTACAAGAAACTTTGTAAAGGGTAACATTCTCTAAAAACATGCTCATGACCTATTTTTAAGTTATCTCCTCTGAAATAATAAAAACTGTTAAGTAACAAACAATAAATATAAAAATATATAAAACGAATAGAGAGAAAAAAAATAAAACGAAAAAAAGTCATTTTAAATTTATTTATGACAAATTTTTATAAAGATATTTGACCTATTTTCTAGGATTTTCAATTAACACTTTAAAATAAGGCATTGTTAATTTGACTGAAAAATTGTTTTAATCAAGTTATGGCCTTCAATTTTTAATTCAACGTGAAATTTTCAATTTCAATCAAACACTTGAAACTGCATATATGAACCCACATTTGTTTTATTTCTCCCCCCATTTGGAATTCTTAAGTATCACATAGGTGCAAAATCAAGCTGAACGTATAGCTGTTTTACACCAACTCCTGCAAAAATCAGATTAGTGTGACTCACTATATACTTGGCATCGGCTTCTTTGGATACTTCCAGTTTCAGAGCTCCTACATAGTTGTCGCTGCAAAGGGTCCAAAAATGTGGCTCCTGAATTCCATAAACTCCTGCGAGCTGCATTACTTTTTGATAACAATGGGGAAGAAGATTATCGAGCGCTGATGGCTGTCTTTGCATTAATATTAATGTATTATCTTTAATTAACGGTATCACACTTAGAGCAATTAAAATTGCAATAAAAATTGAACAAATAGGATCTGCTCTCATCCAGCCAAAAGATTGCATTAAAACAGATGATATTATGACTCCTACACTTCCTAGTGTATCGGCGAGTATGTGGAGGAATACACCTTTCATAATTTGTGAGTTCCCAGAGCCCAAATGTGAATGGCCATGGTGACTGTGTCCATGATGATCGTTTGTTTGATAGCTGTTGTGATGGTCGTGACTGTGTGAATGTCCATGGGAATGTCCATGTTGGAATGCATATATCCCTATTAAATTAACTAATAAACCTAAAACTGACACCATAAACAAGCGTTCATGTTTCACTTCTGGTGGTTCTATAGCACGTTCTACAGCTTCAGATAGTATAAAAAATGCTATAAATAGTAAAAACAGTCCGTTTACAAAACCTGCCAGCACTTCGGCCCTCACATAACCGTATGAAAACTTTTCATTTGCTCTCCACTTTGTTATAACGGATGCAGCAAGGCCAGCAAGCAGTCCCGTGCAATCGAAGAACATGTGGAATGCATCAGATATTAAACCTAAACTGTTTGTCCATACTCCGTACATTAGTTCCACAAATGCAAATGATAAATTCAACAGTAAAAACAAGAACAAATTCCTTGAATTCCTGTCTGAGAATATAAGTCGTAACCATCCTTGCAAATGATCGGTGAGTCTTGGCAAAATCGGCTTGGATTTTTCAGCATGTGTTAATGGTATCATCTCGGTCCTTTAAAAGCCAATTGTTTCCTTAAAAAAAAATAAAATAAAAAAAATTTAAAAAAGTTCTTATATTAAATCTATGATGTTAACTTATTCTATAATATTGGGGGTATACATAAACTTTTTTATCTACTAGGGTGGGAAAAGCTCTTTTGAAAGTAAAGAGATTGTTAAGAAAGGGTAGTTGATCCTAAAAGTCAGTCTAGAATGAACTGAGACGCATATGACATGGAACAGATTAAAATTCATTTGAGGCATTGCTTGGTATACGAGTTCGATCTTGGACATAGATGCCAGTTGAAATTTAAGGTGATAACGTGTCAACCGTGATTCTAATGTTTTTATAATTGAGAGAGACGAATCAAAGACTCACCGCTTTGTGGAAGGTCTAATGAGCTTAAAAGCGATGAGTGGCATTGGAGGATGAGGACAAATTAACTTTAGCAGAGCTATCAAAGACATTTCAGGTACATCGCAACAATAGAAAGAAGAATCCAATCTCTGGATTATGTTGTGAAATTCTTCAGGAAGAAGGAAGACCACTTAGCTTCTTGAGTTTCATACCCGAATAGCTATAAATCAGAAGGGTTATTTTCTATTTGGTCACTGGGGAGGAAAAAATGACACCTAAAAGTTGTAGAAAAAAAATCATTCCAAATTCATACCATCAAAAACGGAACTACCAATACTGATGGACAAACAACTCCAACAAGTCTGTTCCTGTGAGACAAGCTTGAAATGCTCCATCGACGTCAAGAGCAGGATTATACTGTCATACATTACTAGTGTCTGTTTGGTGGAGGAACTGTTACCATGCAACCAAACTCTTGCAACATAGGTATTTAGATTAGTATATATGGGAGCTGGTCTCTTTATGACCTGTGAACCGCAACCAGTATTGTTCTTTTATATCTCAATTTTTTAAATCTAGAGCTCCTCGTTAAGCTTGATATTTTTACCAGACACCAAAGCTTTTTCAAGGGCTCCTTGTGTGTCCTTCAGGCCCGCTTTTCCTCCCCCAGGATTCAGAATCTCTACCTACATAAGCCTTCACAACAGAGGATGTGTTCCGCTGTTTCTTCTTCTTGGCAATATTTGCACAGGCTTGTTTCTGCCACCCCAAGTCTATACATATGCCTCTAGAGTCTGCAGTGTCCAGATAGCAGTCCAACTATTATTCTAGTCCTAACATGTCCTAGATTTAGTAGTTCTGCTGTTAGTTTCTGCAATGGTCCTTTGATAAACTTTTTCGCATGTCTCTGTTCCAGGCTACATTCCCATTTGACTTATTATTGATCATTGTCCAATTGATCTGCGTTTTTGGCAATTTAGTAAGCCACAAAAGGGTTCAGGGCCAGTAGGTGTCCTCAATGAACTCACCTCGGCCAATTTATCAGCCTCTTCATTGCCCCTCTGCCCAGGCACTCAGACAAGGGTAATTTTTGTTATTTTCCCCAATGCCTCTTCGCCTAATGCAGTCCTAAATGACACTGGACTTGTGGATTCGACATGGGAATTACCTTCAGTGCTCCCCAGCTGTCTGATTAGATAGCTATTCTTCTATTCACAATCCCAAGCCTTTTTATCTCCCTGGCACAGTGTTCAATGGCCAAAGTTTCTGCTTGAAAAACAGTTGCATGTTGCAGATCATTGTCCAAGGTTATACAAATCTAGTCTTTTTTTTCCCATAAATGCCAGCTCCTGGCCCCTATTCGGTTTTGGAGCCATCCATAAACCAGATACATTCGGCATTAACTGGGATCCCTTTCTCCCAGTCTGCTCTACAAGGTATTTTGAATAGAAATTTTTTGTCAAAACTGAATTAAGGGTACAGCATCACTAGGCATCCCCAAAGTTCTGTCTACCTGAAGCTCCCCTCAAAGATTTAGTTGCTCCTTGTTATGTGAGTAAGCTATTGGAGCCTGTCCCTACATTAGCCTATTAATTGTGGCTCTGGCCTCTCCCTGGATAAAGATGTGGTAGATTCGGGATAGGTATCCCCAGCTAGTGTCTTGGGTTAGCATTGAAGGAAAAACGTCCAGCCCTGATAAATAGACAAAATGCTGGGTTTGGCCAGGCCTCTTACAGCTGCACTCACTAAGAGTAAAATTGCAGCGAAAGGATGGTAACCCCCCACTAACTATCCTCTCAAAACTATGCCTCTTTTCATTTTTACTTATTCTATTCCTTAGACAACCACTCAAAAAGTAGGGAATTTTTTAAAAGAAAACACTCGGAAAATCATACTTACAGATTTCTTCTCCTCTGTCATCAAACGTTTACAAAAAGGGGATGTTTTCTGCGAGTAGATCATTGGCATTTTGATAGGAACCAAAGGAAATTATGTTTTGGATTAAAAATAAAATAAATTTATACACTCCAGGGCTTGAAAAACAGGAAACCGAACATGTTTTGTTGTTTATTTCAAACTATATGTATTTTTATTGTTATATTAATTACAACGTACTTATTTTAATGTAAACCAAATTAAATATGATCAAATTCATGATTTTTAATCAAAAAAATTTAATTATGATTGATTATGAAAGAAAATTCACCAAAACACCAGAAAATCATTTAGCGATGAGAAATTTATCTAACAATTTTTTATACCTAGTTTTACTCTTAATACACTATGATGAGCATAATCAGGTAATTAATTGTAGGTAAATTTTAATCACCACTAAATGATTTTCTGGTGTTTTGGTGAATTTTTTCATAATCAGCCATAATTAAATTTTTTTAAAATTAAAACTCATGAATTTCTGATCTTGTTTAATTTGGTTAACATTAAAATATGTAATGTTGTAATTAATGTAATGATAAAAATATAGGTAGTTTGAAATAAGCAACAAAATACAAGTGTCCGGTTTTTTGTCTTTGAGTATATTTTGAACTTGTTGTTTAATGTTTTTTTTATGAAAACCGAAAAACTTTAAGCACACATCCATCCAATTATAACTAAATAAGTTACTACAACTGTAACTGTACTCACCTAATATTCAAACTTAGAGATGGGAAAATTAACCATTTTTTACATCAAGAGATTCTGAAACAAAGAAAACATTTTTTTTAATCTAAGCAAAACTATTTTGCAAACTTATGGCAAAGATAAAAAACAATTCTATTTTTAATATGATAGAACCAAGAATGAGACGTATAAATGTAATGCTGCTATCACAATCTACTTTTCATTTTCATACAGTATGCATACTTGAAAATTATTTCTTACAAAGCAATTACAATTCCTTTACTTTTATATTAATGTTACACTCAAAACAAAACTAACATGTGATTCTTTGTAGTCATGTAAATAAAAAAAAGATCATAATAATTATTATAAATTAACTTTATCACATTCTCCTATTTTTAAATAATAAAAATGAATTATTAAAAAAAAATCTTTGTTACGAAAATGTGGAAATATTTTTGTGTTAGCTAAAATTAAAAATGGTTGATAAACTAAGAACAAATTGCATGAGATTATTCAGTTTGAGATTAAGTTGAAAGTTTTTTTCTTTAAAATCCTGCCTATGTGGTTAACTGTTGTATGAACAACTATAATTGTCCTAATAAATCTAAAATTTCAAACATGAATTGAATTTGTATTTCATCATAATTTCACCAATCTGATGAGCACCCTGATATTACACTGAGGATGGTGGATATTTAAATGTGCTTTCAGACGTGTGACCAACCCAGTGAAGACAGGCTGACCAAAATGATCCGTTTTTTAAATGTGGAAATGATATCTGTAACCTTGCAACTCTAGCAGGCTCTCATTACAACAGTTAAATAATTTTTATTTTTAATTTGTATAGTTTAAAATTGCACAAATGTAGTAGCTTCAATAAACACAATAATAATCACAAACAGTTAGCATGCAACTTGGTATAAAGTGCATAATTTGTTATTTATGAACATCACACAGTAGCAAACACTAAAAAAAATATATATATACATATCAAAAAAACAAAACTGAATAGGATAATTTAGTGGTATGACAAATTCTAAGTTGAGTGGATGTGCAACCAAAGTACTTCACTTTTTGGAAACCTCAACTTAGGATCAGCATTAAAATGTTACCTTAACTCAGTACTTGCTGTAGTTTCTAGGAGCAGGGAAGGGTTCCTCATTGATAAATGATCACTCCCACCTCCCATTTTCATCACTCTTATGCACTCCAGAATTCTTTAACTAACACAGAAATTGAATAAGTAGTGATAAAACTGGAGACGTAAATGATTTTTGTTGATACTTAAAAACGCTTAGAACAATTTGTTTTATATTCTATCAGCACTGTTGCTGGTTGATTGGGGGGAGGGGGAATTAAAACCACAAAAGAAAGAGCAAATAGAATTGCTTGTGTTATGTGCAACTATACGCATAAAAATTTTGGAATGAAATTTGCATTAAGCATTTTTTACATACACAAATATATCAATTTACACCCAAAGAACAAAAAGCTACTCGTGCAACACACTTATTTTAATGTAAACCAAATTCAAGATCAGAAATTCATGAATTGTAATGAAAATCCTTTTATGATGGTTTGAAAGAAAATTCACCAAAACACCGGTAAATCATTTAGTGATAGATTATTACTAACAATTTATTACCTAGTAAACCAAAAAATTAGTACCTTCAATGAAAAACTGGCTTCATGAAGTGCTCAAAAATAAAGGAGGCCTCAGTGATTAATAATTCCACATCTTAATTAATTTTGTCACAATTTTACATTGTATGCATACTTTTTTGTTATATATTTTGTTAATTATTGGGTTGTCCGGAAAATAATGCAGGATTTTGGTATTAAACAAAAAAAAAGAAACTAGTTACTTTAAAGCAATGTTCTTTAATCAAAATAATTTCCCATACTCTCAATACATTTCTCCCAACGTGTTGGTAACTTATTAATTCCGTCTGAGTAGAATTCAGAATTTTTAGAATTGATAAAGTCAATAAATGCATTTTCCAGTTCCGTTTGATTTTTGAATATTATGTGTTGTAAGTAGTGGTCCAGGTGTCTAAAAAAATGGTAGTCAGTAGGCGAGAGGTCCGGAGAGTAGGGTGGGTGAGGCAAAGTTTCATAGCCAAGCTCCAATAATTTTTGTGACGTTACACGTGACACATGTGGTCGAGCGTTGTCATGCAACAAAATGGGCCCTTTCCGATTGACCAAAGAGGGCTTCATTACTGCCAATTTCTGATGCATGGTATTAATTTGGTTACAGTATGATTCAGCATTGATGGTTTCGCCAGGATTTAAGAAGCTGTAGTGTATTAAACCAAATGAAGCCCACCATACCGTAACCATTACCTTTTTTTGATGAGTTGGGGGCTTTGGAGCTTCTCCTTTGTCGAGCCACTGTCCAGAACGTCTAGTGTTATCGTAGAGAATCCACTTTTCGTCACATGTAACAATTCTGGCCAGAAATGGGTCATTTTTGTTTCGACAAAGAAGTGATGCACAAACATCAAAGCGCTGATTTTTTGGCGATCGTTTAATGAGTGTGGAACCCAATTTTCGAGTTTTTTCACTTTTCCAATCGCCTTGAGGTGGTCAGCGACGGTCGTTTTACTGACTTTGAGTTGCTCTGCAAGTTCTCGAACAGTTGTTTTGGGGTTTTCTTCCACCACTGATCGCAGAACATCATCATTAAGAGAGGAAGGCCTTCCACGACCTTCTTCATCTTCAAGGCTGAAATCTCCCTCCCGAAATTTTTTAAACCACCTTTGCACAGTGCACTCATTAACACAACCCTCGCCCCAGACTTGGTTAATGTTTCTAGCCGTTTGGGCTCCGCTTCGGCCGAGTTTAAACTCGTAAAAGAAAATCGTACGAAATTCTCGCTTTGACATTATAAGGATGACTGAATTATTTCCAAGTAGCGGAATGCTACAGAGGTAAACAAACAATATCATTTGGAAGAGGATTAATAAGTGTTGACATTCATACAAATGAGTAATCCTGTAAACGTAAACAGAATATTTTATATAGATTTTTTTTAATGAAAACTTAAAATCCTGCATTATTTTCCGGACAACCCGATATAATGTTCTTATTATTGCTTTAGGCTTTAGAAACTATTAAAAAAGTACTATATGCAAATTCGATACCAATTTAGAGTTTACCGTTATATAAAAATTATTTTTCTGACATTTTTTTTACCACTGATTTAAACATCAACATGATGTACTGAAAATGCATCCAGAATTTTTTTACTAACATATATAAAAGTTGTCAGATGAATGATAAAACCCTGCAGTCGAGACTAGAAAGTCCCTTCAACGGTACTCAAAGGAAGGCATACATCACAGGAGCAATAAGAACTACACCAACTGCTGTAATTAAAATGTTGTACTATATGGATCCTAATAAGTTGATGAAACCTTACTACATACACCAACAAGGAAAGAAAATCAAAATCCAGCAAATATAACTGAGAAGACTGCTAAATAATAAGTAAGCTAATAAAAAGTCTAAAGCTAAATAGTAAGATATAACCCACATGTGGAGGAGCACAATAGTCTTCCCTGGTAGACGGAGTAAAAAAGCTCTTTAGCCACTTCAACAAACCTAATTCTCCCAGCCCAGATGAAGAGCCGAATTTAATGATTTGCTGCACCATAACAGAACCACTACTGGAAATGTGATAAATGTTATCTATTGAACTCGAGCTAAACAATCCCCTAGACATTAACAAAATAAGGTTGATCTGTAAAAAGCCTTTTCCAGACAAGGAATTTCTAATGAAGCTTTGTTTTTCTTTGTCTTCATTGTTTTCCTTATTAAGTAGCTCGTACTTTTTCCTTTAATTGTACAAAAATGGCACTATCGCTTCTTTATATTATCCAGCGACCTCTAGCAGATGGATTTTCTTTTCCCATGCAGTATAATACTTTGTTTTTTCTTATTTAATTGTTATGAACTATACAAATAATAAAGTATATTATTATTATTTTTGTCATTGAACACAAATTTACAATACAGATTTGCATACAACTACAAGTGAGTGCATACTCACTACTCCAGTAAACAGCAGCACACAATTAAAATAATTCCTGTTGTATTGGGTGTTGCCAAAGAGGGGTCAAACTACATAACAATACTTTCTCCATATTAATCCGAATTAAAAATCCAAGGGCTATGGTGGGATTCGAACCCATGATGAAAATATGGCAAATACGATCTGACCGCTTAACCACTTGACCACCATGGTCCCCTGGTTGCACAATGGTTCAAAAACATTTGACTGTCTCATGATCTCTCTGGCCTGGCGTTAAATTTGGATTCCAACAATCACATTCCTGTCCCCAAAAAAGTAGTTGATAAAATTCTTGTTATATATGAAAACAATCAAGAATTTCTGGGAATTTTCCTTGATTACAAAAGACCTTTGAAGGTCCTGCATGACGTGATATCGTATAAATTGGGACCTCATTTACCTGACTAGTTATACAGGATCCTGTCACCAAACTTGTACAAACAAATATTTTCAGATAATTGTAGTGAATGTATTTCTGCATCTGGACTAAGTTATACTGTAAAAGAGGGGCCTCTCTTATATCTCTTACATGCCCATGAATTCCCTTTACAAGACACTTCAATCACAGCCTGACTTGCTGACTACACGACAATATTATGGTTAATTATATATTTCAAACTGGTGTAGACCGAGACAAGTGAACATGTACACCTCCAAATGAGTAATTCCATTATTCTAGGACATAATTCTCATGGGTTCAAACCCTGGTATAGCTCATGGATCTTTTACTGTGGTGCCACGCTTACTCGCACGAGGAAGTGTTTTGGGACATACAACATAACTGTAGAAGAGATTCAACAACTGAAACCTGGTCTACTAATCAAATTCCTTGATGAACTATGACTCACCAATGCACTATAACCACAGAACAGGAGGATACAACAGCTCTTAAAGGGCGCATTACATAATACACACCCTGACTAATACATCTACACCTAGATCTCATTCCATCTTCTTTCTTTTTTTTTTTTTAAAGGGTGTAGTTCAGCCCTTTCACCCTTATATCTCCTCCCTGTTTTATCTGTGTACCATCTTAAGCCCTATGAAATTTGGTATTATCTTTCTTCAAAAGGTCTTTATTATCTATGAACTCTTTGTAACATCTGTCAAAATTGTTTTTCTATCATTTTGTCAGGTACACAGTGCTATCACATATATTTTAATTCTCATCAGTAGCTGGAGGTGTAGTTCCAGATTTGCGGTATATGCCAAATGCCGATTGCTGCCAAAAATTTGCCAAGTCTCGAAATGCTCGTCTTGGCATTCGCCAAATATTATGTATACGAAAATATGGGTTTGTACAACCTGCCAGTTTGTGCGTAAACAGCAAATACGTATTTGCCAAGGGGCATGCGACTACACAACGTACAACAAATCGAGATGGACAACAGTGAAACTGTCATTGCTGCAGTGGCTACAAACTCAGTCACTGAGTACTTTCGATTCGTAATTTTTGTGATTCGGAAGAGAAGTGTTCCAAATTATTGGTTCAGCTTGGTACAGATCGAGGAACTTCAAGAAATTGGGCCAATTCATTCCTAACCAGCAGAAACAACGCTGATGGTCTTTCATTAATAAATCCATACTTGTTAGGAATCGCTTATTATTGAAAAATAAATAGCAATGGTGATTGATGACTACAATTGATTCCTGAATGTGTGGATTGGATCCAATACAAGGCAAGCACTGAATATTGTTGCTCGACGAATAATCTAACTCGTCCCCACTAGTTGGGATTCGGCAAATTCCGAATGCCTGGAGAGACCTTTAGGCCTTGCTTTGTTTCCTTGTATCCCAGGAGTCTGCCGGCACTCTCAAAAGCCAGCTTTGCAAATATAAATTTGCAAGCATGAAAGGTCAAGTGCGGTTTACATCATTGTATTAGGGCACGTATGCTGCTCAATGAATGAGATAATATAAAAAGAAAAGAACTCTTCAATATAAAATGAGTAAGTCAGGCATATCTGTTATTTAACCATATGGATTGTTATAATCGAACATTTTATTTCCGTGCATAATGCTGACGGTTAGATAATTCATTTCAAGCCATAAAAATTTAATATCTGTTTAATTATAATGTGAGTAAGGCGACCACTTGACAATTATCAACACTTCATCTTACAAAAGAAAAAAAAATCAGTACATTTTTCAATATAGAAACTCCCAATTTTGAAACAAAATATATTCTGAATAAGGAAGAGTCAGAATCGATCAGTCTATCGGCATAAACTGACAAACCTGGCATAATTACATAGGGACAATTAAAATAGAGAACAAAATGCTCTTCGTGCAAAGTGGAAAGGGTTAAAATTATATAGTGTTATATTATTTAAATTTTATTTAAAAAGTTTATATTGATTGATTATACTACTATTTATGCTATTTTGAAAAAAAATCGCCAACTTTGAAAAGAGCTTTTTGAACAGTGTCGACCATTGAGAAGTTCTGAATAAACTGAACCCTGACTTGTTAAAAATTTAATTACACTCGTAAAAAATTATACACGGATGAATCGAAAGACCGTCTACGAATGCTGTATCTTTCTAAACACTTGAAATGACGTAAATGCATACTTTTTAATTTGTCAACTCACCTAAAATTAAATGGTCCACGGCTGTAGTGATGTGAAAAATGGAGAGCCGGTGTGCAAAACAGAAATTGAACGGAAGACGTGTCTCTGAGGTTACTTTGACAAGGGCCTCGTCGACGGGGAGGCTGGGCTTGAGACGTTTCGCAGGCTGTGGGAAGACGTCCGGCCCCCGTCCATCGGCTTCTTCTCAAAATCAAGTTCGATTAATCAAAAATGCGTCAATCCGCGAATTAGGGCTAATATGAAGCTCTGGGCGTGTGACACGTAGAGCGCAGTCCCGGTCAGTCCTAATGCCGGAAGAAAGCTCTAGGTAACAGTCGAATTACCTTCCGGGCACTGACACCGGTCCTCCGACAACTTGACAAGCTAAAGGCAAAATTTCCCGTTTTTTCCCTTCGCTCCCTCTTCAGTGATTTACCTAAACAAATTGGTCTAAAGACCAACCATTTCAAAGAATTTAATTAATAAATCATCATACTTCTTTTAGTATAATCTATAAATTAAAATTTTCCAAGTGGTTAAGTTATCATTAATCTCCAAAAAATATTTTCTCCCCTCTGTGGTTCCTCAAGGCTCACTTCTTAGTCCTTTTTTGTTTAAACTCTCCATAAATGATATCTGCTCTTGTTTACCACGTGATTCTTGACATTTTCCATCTAGTAAAATTACAACCCTTTTTAAAAATTTAATAACTCAAAAAGAGCTTGGTTTTCATCCCTTTAGACCAATAACCATTTATTGCTCTTTCAGGACTATATAATACTTTTGCTACAAATTGGCAGGTAGATGCTATTTTTCTTAATTTTTCAAAAGCTTTTTTTCTGTCTACAAAACTGTTTAGTAAATATTTAAGAATCCATGGCTCTCTCATGAAATGGTTTCATCAATATCTAACTTGCAGAATTCAAATGGTTACGTTATCATCCTAGTCTCCAGCAAATATTTTGGCCCTCTGGAGTTCCTCGAGGCTCACATCTTGGTCCTTTTTTGTTTAAGCTCTTAACAAATAATGTTTCCTCTTGTTAACTAAATATTAATTTTACACTTTTTCCATTTAGTAAAATTACAACGCTTATTAAACTGTTTGGCTTTCATCCATTTATTATTCTTTCAGGACTGTATAATTAATTCATTTGCTACAAATCGGGAGGTAGGTGTTATTTTTCTAAAACCTTTTTTCTTGTCGACAAACTGGTTAGTAAATGTTTATGAATCCATGGCTCTCTCATGAAATGGTTTCATCCTTATCTAACTTGCAGAAGTCAAGTGGTTAAGTTATCCTTATTCTCCAACAAATATTTTGAGCCCCTGGAGGTCCTCGAGGCCCATTTCTTGGTCCCATTTTGTTTAAGCTTATAACAAATAATGTTTCCTTTTTTAACCACGTATTAATTTTGCACTTTTTCCTTTAGTAAAATTACAATGCTTGTTCACAGTTTGACTTTCATCCATTTAGATCAGTGGTGCCCAAACGTTTTTGTCCCATAGACCCTTTTTTATTGTTAAAAACCCCCAAGTGAAAAAGCCTCATAAATGCTTAATATAAAAATTACAAATTAAAAAAAAAGGTTTTGTTGTAGAAGTATTTTTAAAATTATAAATATATATAAATTATAATATTAATTACTTTTGTTTAAAATAAAATAAAAAAAATTAATGACGAATGAACGTGATGAGATGTTATGTATAATTTCTAATCGGTTTCTTTCTTTTGTGATGAGGTTCATAACGACACTGAATCCAAGTTCTACCAAATAGGAAGATGGGAAAGCAGTCAACAACTTCTGTACAATAACCCATAATGCAGGATATAAAATTGGGATCTGTTTTTGTAACCAGAATTTGTGTTGTCCTTGTTCAAACATTGGTTTAAATTCCTCATTTGTGGATATTTCAATAAGCTGCTCCTGTATGTATGGATTCATCTGTGTTCGGGATCTGAGTTTGTTCACACGCAAAAGAGTTCAACACCCAGTCGGGAATATCCAAGTGAAGAATGTCTTCAAATCTTTGGTTCAGGTCTGTATGAAGAGCCGTTAAGTGTTGACAGTAAGCAAGCAAATCTTCATCTCTAATTTGCAATTTCGAAAGATTTGGAAACTGAGAGCATTCTCCTCGTCCCAAGTTTTGTTTGTAAAGAAAAAGTTTTGCAACAAACACACATATTACGCTTTTAGTTTTGTTTAAATTTAATTGGTCACCTTGTAGTTTCAAATTAGTTTCGTTAAATTTGGTTAAACATTGGGGTTTCAGGTTCATTGTTGTAAGTTTTTTTAACCAAATATTAGTCATTTGAGAATACAAAGTCAGTATTTTCTAAAGCTGTTTGAACTCTTATTTTTAATTTTAAGGTGGGGTCTTTTTTTTTATTTCTTTACAATTATTATTGTTTAGGAATTCTTCAACTTTAGAAACATATTTTTAGTGTTCAATGATAACTACTCTATTTCCTTTATCAGTTTTTAAAATATCATTGTTATTCCTTTTTAACTCTTTATCAATAAATCTAATTGTAGATGGGGGTTTCATTTTTTGGCATTTAGATTTATGAATTTTGGTTTAATTCCTTCAGCACATTTATATTTTATATTTGTATTTATTTTACTACAATCAACCAGCAGACCAAGATTTTGAAATCGGGATAGTTGTAACAATAAATCTGTGAGTAGTACCACCTTTTACAAAAGTGAATACTCACCCCACCTTCATCATTTTTACGAGAAATAAAAAGACTAGAATCATATTCTTGGAAGATGATCTTTTTTTGACATTCAGACGGCACCGGGGAGGCCTTATCCTCATGCGAGGTAATGGCAAAAAGCATATGGAATTGTATGGAACCTCTGGCAGAGGTCAGTGACACTAATAACCTTAACCTGGCAATGGTTTCTGGGCGTTTGGGACATAGGGTCGTTGAGAAAGTGGACGTGTTAACCAAACAAGGAGCCAGTATGAATTCTCTAGACCCCGAACCCTGCTCTGGCCCAACACCTTGCCACAAAATATAATACATCCAAAAATGTTTCCCTAATGAGTCAATAATCAAAGCTTGCCTGACCGGCTGGCCATAACCTCTTTTCTCAATCGTTCCAGCAGATTTGCATAAGTTGAACAATTATTTGGGAATCAGACACTAATGCATTTATTTACGAATAAAATATTTTAAGAATTGTTAGTCATAAATAAGATTTTATTTCCACTGTAATTCATAGTAGCCATATTTAAAAAATCACATTCCTAAAAATAAACAAACCTATTAGACAGTGTAACATTATATAATTTGTGTTGGAACTCACCATAGACATTGTTGGTTTCTTTTTTATTTATTTATTTTTTTTAATTTACCCATTTTGTATAAAAAATATTGTATATTATAATACAACAAGTATAATATTATTGCACTTATACAATTAACAATCAACATATTTTTTTACTATAAAATATAAACAACATAATTGACTTTGAACTTGCCCTCTAAAGAACAAGCAAACGTGGAAAACTTTAGTGATTATCCATGTGAGAAATGAAAGGCCGCCATTAATTTATATTGCTAGAATATCATCTTTTTCTTCACAGTTCTGGTTTCTGAGAATATTTTCCAGTATTTTAAGACGCTCATTGAAAAGTTTTAAAGTCTGTGGAGGTTTGTGCTGAAATATACAAAAGCTCTCATTATAAAGTATCAATTATCGTTGTACAAAATGACATTGAACAATAATTTTAAAAAGAAGCTTTAGCAAGTGTTACCTGAAAAATATGAATACCGGACATAGTAACTACTATCAGCTCATTTACACCATCTCCTGTAATGTCAATGTAATTTATGGAATGCAGCGCATGAGGGAATTTGTGAGTTCCTTCTAAAATCCATTTTCCATCAAACCTGTACAAAAGTAAGGCCTAAAATGAGAATAATGAGTAAAGATAATCCACAAATGTAACCAGTTAACAACATGAAATCAATCCACCTGAGCAAAAGTTCCTATTAGAAGTTCATGCTGCATATCCATATTTATGTCTGCATGGCATATACATAAAGGAGTGTCATATTTATCACTATCAGGTAACTGATGTTTCTCATTAAATCCATTTTCAAGGATATTCCTGTACAAAAATTCTCACTTTTATTTTTTAAAAAAACCTATATTTTATATCTAAAATTTACCGTACATGAACACAACTGCTGGATGAAGAGAATTCATAATGAGCAGATTATAACTTATTTCGGTAACTTCATGAAATAATTTAGCTGCTATCGCTAAAAGCAAAACCATATAATTGTATTCAATATTATATTGCTTGAGAAAAGCGTGCTGGCAAAGTCTTAAGCACTTAAACAATCAGGAATAAGGCCAATTTGAAAGAATAGAAAAAACACCCAAAATCAAATCTTTACAGCTATATAGATTTGTTAGGTTGTAAGTCTCATTTATTACTAATAGGTAGGGTTCACACCAGGTGATAAGGTAAACATCTTTAGGTCGTAAGCAATACATGATAACTGTCTTGTAATATTCGCAACACTCAGGCCTATAAAAAACCTGAAGGAACAACAAAATTAGTTCACACCTGCATGATTGCAACATGTGTCATGAAATACATGTATCAAGAGATATGGCCGGGTTGTCTCTTTCTTCAGTGTCGTACGATATTGTGAAGGGGGTGATGGGACTGGCTGGTTCATGCCTTATCGCATCTGTACGAACTTCACTTATCTTAGGATAAAAATTGTGTATCTAATGTTTCTTCAATAAATATCTTACAGCTCAGATAAAGCCTAAGAAATCAAGAAAATACACTGATAATATGTACAGATTCTCTAAGAGCAATACAGGAACTCAGGTGAAGATAATTTTCAGACCCATTAATAAGAAAAATATATGAACAACTGAAAGAGATTGATGCCAGTGGGAATAAGGTTGTCCTTTGAACCTTCATGTATGTGATATGTTATTCATTGGAATGAATATATTTATTTGCATGAATGAAGGGACTTATCCCCAATTACCCAGAGGAATAATGAGTACGCTTGGGTGAGTGTGGCACATCTAGGGAGTAAAAGTAAGTTATTAGCATGAATGGGATGGGTTTTACACCTCTTCACATTGAGGTTAAGGTCAGAGCACTAATCAGCTGCTACAGTTTAATTAGCGAGGGCAGCTGGAATCATAAGTGCAATAACATAGGTCACTCGAAAATTTCACAACTATTGACTAAGGTTACCGGCTAATTATTAAGCATTAGTGATAAAAAGATTAAAACCCCTTCGGGGAAAAAGGTAGTCAGTTTCAGGTAGTTGCCCCTTGTGATTACAATTATAGTTTGGATGATGACCATCGTAACATAGACTGCTACACAGATGGTTCACTTATCAAAGGTAGAGAGAGTGTACCAAAATTAGGAATCAGCATCTCCTCCCCTCTTGGTAATAACACCTCCGTTTTTCAGGCGGAAATCTGGGCCATTAATGTGTGTAGTGGAACACTTATGGAAAATAAAATTAAGGGAAAAGATATTAGAATTTTTTCTGACAGTCAGACTAGTCTTGGGCCATTACAAAAAGATTTGTCAACCTCACGACTGGTGGAGGAAACTGTAAATCTTATCAATAGGATCTCTTTCAGGTTTGTGAGCAAGGTAACCCTTATTTGGATACCAGCACATAAAGGACACCATGGCAATGAAAAGGCGGATGGCCTGGCCAAAGAAGGTTCTAATACTGTGTTTGTCGGGCCGCAACCGGTATTACCTCACTTTATGAGCCCAGCGAAAGGGAGTATTAATAACTGGGGCATGTAACAATTCCTTAGGGAGTGGAATTTATCCCCCGGACACAGGCAATCGAAAGAGTTTGTTAAGGCAATCAAACCAGCAGAATCGAAATGGCTATTCTTTATCTCAAGGAATGGAATTAGGAGGCTGATAGGTATTCTGACGGGCCACTGCCCACTGAGAAGACACCTCTTCGTAATGGGTATTCTACCAGATCCCTTTTGCTGTTTTTGCGAAATAAAAGAAGAAACGGCAAGGCACTACCTCTCAGAATGCGATAGGTACGCTAGGTCTAGATTCGAGACTTTTGAAGGAGAGGACATCACCAAATCACTCCCTGAGATTAAATGGTCCAAAATCTTGGGGTCTGTGAACAGGTCCAAGATATTTATGCAGGAGACGTGAGCCGACCAAGTCCCGGACCTTTTAGGGATGGGGTACAAGTCTACACAGGCATTTAACCCCTTGGGTCTTGGTCACCCACCCTGTATAATACATATATGGGGATGGGTTCGACTACACCCTGAGGAATATTGAGTAATCTGGGGAAGTGAATGTGACCAGACTTTTATGTTTGTAGCAAGTGTGAATGTAATTTATTACTTTGTTGGATCCTTGACTGTTCCTCATGGGGGGGGATCTAATTTATTACCGCAAATGGAGTGGTTTATCCTCAATTACCCAGAGGAATCGAGTATTCTGGGGTAGTGTGAATGTATTGTGGTGTTTGAATGTAATTTGTTAGGGTGAATGAAGAGGCTCATCCCTAAAACCCCAAGTAATATCTATTACTTTAGGGTAGTATGAATGAAAGTTTGAATGTAATTTATTATTGAAAAATGGCAAAAAGGAGGGAAAACTCAAAAGGTGGGGTTGAGATAGGATGTTGGTGTCCAAGTGGATCGAGGTCACGACAGCTCAAGTGGTAGAGCAGCGGCGTATCTAGCCGAAGATCGTGGGTTCGAATCTCTTGCCATTGACTTTTTTTATCTCAACTAAAAACCTTAATTAATTGGTCAAGCGGACCACGAAATTAGTGAATGTAATTTATTAGCTTGAATGGAGGGGTTTATCCGTACTACCCCGAGGAATATCGAGTATTCTGGGGTAGTGTGAATGAATCCAGGAATGCAATTTATTATCATGAATGTGGAGCTTATATCCAATTACCCCGGGGTAGAGTGAATGCTTACCAGACTATTATGATTTGTATATATATTATTTTATTCACAACTGATGAAGCCCTGGAGTACAGAGAGGCTGGCAATAGGATAAAGAAAAGAGAGTTGTTTACCCTTATATCATACAACATTACAAATTGGCAGGAGAAACTTTAAAAGAAATTATAAGGATTAAACACGGGAAAGACAGAAAAGAATTGAGGGCTGTCTGTTAATCTTGTAAATTATTATTAATAGTTCCCAATTATTAATATTATTAATTAGTAATAATAAATATAGTAAAAATGAAAGTGATATATTCCTCAAAAGCTTGACAAAGAAATTTACTTTCTTTCAACTTGATTTTACCTCTGATTTTATAATAAAAATTATTTTAAAGTTTGATATGAATTGCATTGAGATAACATACATACTTCTATCAGATGATGTATGGGTCAAAGGAAGCCTAGGTGTTGCCGTGTTTTCCAGCGAAAACAATAGAACACTTGATATTGGAGCATCATATTGTTCTGAAAAACTTTGAAGTGTCGTACCGTTTAAACTATCGACTAGAACAAATTTTGCAAAACCGCATTCACAACCAAAAGCAGTCAGTCTTCTGTAAAACAAAACAAAAACTTATAACTGGAGTGTACAGTTTATGCAAAGTAAAAGCAGAATAAAAATTGAACTGCAGAACTGAAGGACCTAACTTGATATAATTCAAATGAATATATTTATATACCAAATACCTATATGAATACATTTATGTATATACAAGGTTAACACATTTTGCTTACTGCACGAATAGTTGCATTTCCAAATGCTCACATGTCCTTTACTTATATGTTATTAAATACATATACCTGACCTTTTTAAGTCTCTTGTGTGCTTTACATCTATCCAAAGTACCACACTAGGCAAGGATGAAAATTCAGGGAATGCATCAGAAATATCAGTCTCACAATATGTATGATTTTGTGGATCTTCTCTGAACAAGTGCACTTTTAAATCACTACCAGACATAAGCCAAACAACCTAAAGAAATGATGATTCAATAACAACAGACTCAGATCATTAATAATCAGATGTAGGAATCTAGGATGTCAAAATGCAACTTTACCTCTTTTGAAAAATCCATATTAATTAAGTATGTGTGAATTAAATGATATGGAGTAAATGTTAATTCAAGCATTAGGCAATTTTGAGCAATGCTTTCTAAGTTAAGATCCGCACCTTCTTCTATTTCCTGTTCGGTATAGACATTAAGGTAAGTTTCTGCACTTTGGTCATTGTTAACCTGAAAATGTTTATTCTAAAAAAATACTCAACACTAAGATGAAAAATAAATGTTATATATTACTTTAATTATGGCAATCCCAATAAAAAAGTCATCTCTTGTCGATGATCGATTGAATGAATCAATAGAAATAATTTCAGCTCCAGCTGAAACCACATAATATAACTGAACATGTGTCTAGTGTTTGATATATTAAAAGCAAACATACGTGGAATATATGTAAACGGAACTTCTTTAACGCACGGTTTTAAACTTCCGTCTACTCCATTGATAAGTTCGCAACAAAATATTTTTCTTTTCAAAATTGCAATCAGCACTTTGTTCATGCCATTTGTCAACTGGAGGTTAGTAAAGGAATAAATGTTTCCCTGGTTAGGCAATTTGTAATAATGAGCATCTTGGAAACTTTCCATTTTATATATTTTCAATAATGATTGTAGGTAGATTGATCTAAACAAATACATTTTTACATACAAATTAGTTTAGGAAGGGCTATCATCCAACAATAACAAAAGTATTGCAATCATAAATGTTTATTACTTATCAACCGGTTGTTCAATAATTTGTTGAAGTACACGCTTCTCAATACTTCAACAAATTAATAACCATAAATATAGGTAAAAATTAAAGCTGAAATTAGAATCTGTCAAAAAATAATGTACTAGGCAAACGTTGCTAAAGTCACGGACATTTTATGAATAATTTATTTTTTGAGATTAAAACTTTTTTTTATATCTTTGGTAGATTACCAAATGAATTTAGTTGGGATGGTAGGGCAAAGTCACAAAATCTCCTCCTAATTTTGGTGGAACACACCGAGCAACCTTGGTCTACATGCCAGACACATGCAAGCTTTGGCCCAAAAGTGTGTGTGACAACCTCGAATGATCTATTCTTAATCGGGTAAAGATGTCTCTTCTTCTATGAGTCAGATCTTCAAGGGCATCAACTGTGCTCTTAATATATAAGAGCTTCTCTGCCATTATTTTTTACAAAAGGTATGATGCATTATTTAAGAAAGCACTTCTCGCAGTGGTAATTGTATTAAAGTGTATTTTTTTTTCTGGGGTACACAGCAGAGGTCATATTATCAACCCATCAACACTGATACACAAACTGGACCAAATTAGAGTTGCAAATGTACTGCTTTATCGAAATACATAAATTACTCGAAATAACAAGATTTGTTTTGAGCATCTCAAGTTGATAAATTCAATATTGAACAGTTATAAATAATTAAACTACAGTGACAATCGTGCTATTAAAAAATCACGAACATACAATAGGTTCAGAATCAACTGAAAGTAATTGTTTAGCTAATAACCAGAAATAAATTTGTAAGGCAGATTTGGAGAATTGGCTTAATTCCATAAACAAATTTTGCTGCACATTTGATTTATCCACACATCGGACTAGAGACTGAAATTTATCAATCAAGTTCACATGTTTTATTTCCTACATTTGCAGTCAAATTTATTTATGACGGCTTCACTGAAATATTGACAGTGTTAATTATTATTTATTCCATTCCATTGCTGAATAGTGCCATAGTTGAATTGTTTTGTACACATTCTCAAACTAGTCATTCACACTAATAAATACATTCCATCTCAATATACGCAAAGAAACACAAGATGAGATATCTATAAAGAACTATATCCCAAATACTTGCTGCCATATTTAAGTATATTTATCATATCGGGTGGAATTCTCTGTACATCAATTAAGTGGGACATGTCGAGCAAAATTTCTCTACAAGCCCGACAAATACGTGGGCTTTGGCCCGAAAGTAAGTGTCCTGGGTCAACCTCTCTTGGCCTATTCTTATTCAGGTGAGGATCATCTTTCTCTGTGAGTCAGGTCCTCCGAGGGCCACCTATCGACAGTGCTCTTGATATGCGAGAGCTTCACTGATCCGGCCCACTGACACTGCCTTTCTTTTAATTATCTTTTATATTGCATTTTTAGTGTCAGGGGGCTGGATCGTGGTGGTTAAGTCCGGAGGTTAGCCTTACACACCTTGTCTGCTTTTTTGTTACCCTCCAGACTTATATGTCCAGGTACCCATACAATAGCCACTGTTTTGCCTGATGTTCTTGTTTGAGGGTCGATGGAGGACGTCATGGACAGCAGTAACCATGCTGAGGGAGTAGGTGCAGACTAGGTAAGCAGAGCCACATTGTCTCAGATCACCTCAATTCCGATGTGTAAACGCTACAGTGTGGGGAAAGTGACCCATGACATGGACGCACCCTCACTGATCTTGGACACATCAGTGAAGACAAGGCAAAAACTGCGTACCTCGATCTAAGTTCAAAAAACTTAGCTCGGTAAGGCCCTGTTTACACTATGCCGGACCGGCAGTTTTGCTGGAAACTGGTGTCGGACATAGGTGTTCACCTTAGACACTCAAGTCCTCACCTCAGTCGAGTTAAAACCCAGACCTGAGTGCTCAGTGGACAACAAAATTGTTGTGTTGTGGTGGTATTTTAGAAGATAATGAGTAAAAAAAAAAAAAATGGGTACATTCTATTTTACAGGAAAGATATTTCACTAGGAACATTTGAAACATTAATGGGTGAACTGAGAAATGATGAAATAAAGTTCTTCAATTATTTGCAAATAACAGCATCATCTTTTGATGTTTTTGTTTGTATTCGTCTAGGGTTTTATCCCACAGTACAGGCTCTCCCGGACCAGCAAAATTAAAGTTTCTGTGTTTGATTTCATGATACGCACGTGCATGCATCTGACTAACAAAATGCGAACGCCAAAATGACCCGACGCCTGTGTTTCTATACCTTCTATACCCCTTGAACTACCTAATGACTACCTAAAGCTACGGCAGTGCAGAGCTCGTTCACATTACGCCAGTCTGGGCATTTAGCCGGCTCTCAGCAGTGCCAAAACATCTGACAAAAATGCTGGACTCGGTATTTTTGCCGGATCTGGCTAAATGTGAACAACTTCATATAAAATGTACAGCCAATGGCCATTCCAGCAGTTTTACCAGCCTGGCAAAACCGCCGGTCTGGCATAGTGTGAACGGGGCCTAAAGGTATGAAGGAGTTGACAACTTGGCTAACACGGCGAGTCCTGAACGAATACAACCAGGAAGACCCAGGGCGGAATCAGCAGGTACTGTTCCCAGTGTAATCTCTGCCCTCTAAGGCTTTCTTCAAGCGTATTCCCAGGGGTTGTGACTGAAGCCATAGATATAAGTTATATATATTATCTATAATTTATATATACCAGACAGCAGATGAATCAAATAAAATAGTAAAAATATTAAGGAAGGCCATTTTCTTTTTTGTCTTTAGCGTATCTAACAAACCTTGAAAATGACTCAGGAGTAAGGAAGGTGTTGTAGTCTTAGAACTAAAAAAAAATTAAATTTTGAAGATTGTTAATTTTGTTTAAAAAAAAAATCATTACCATAAAAACAACCAAATTTTCACACAATTCATGAACTCATCTTATAAAATTCTCTATAAATATCACCTCTGAAGGTCTAACACAGAATATTTTCGAATTTTTCGCCTTACGTTTAAAACTAACTTGCCGCAAGCCCGCAAACTTGTTATTGTTGATAAGGATAAGAGTCCATAGCCTGCAACGGGATGCCGATGATAATCGATTTGTTCTCATTCCATCTGATATTAAACGTTGGTTAATTGATTTATTTACATATACAGGCAAATATACAGGTAATAAATTAGGATTATATATATATAGGACTGATTTTTCGGATTCGTCCGGAAACTGAATTCTCACCTTATATACATTAGGGTAGATGTTCCTCAGGGAAGCATACTTGGCCCATTTATATTTTCACTATACATTGCAGATACATTAGCAGACACGTGTTAACAGTTCAACACATACAACACTTGAATGAATTAACAGTATGGTTCAGAAAGTGAAGAATGAAGGGAAACCTGACAAAAGGCGTAAGATAAATTTTATCTTATGTGAAAGTATCTATCTTTCAGTGAGTATAAATGGAACCCCATTGCTTACCACTGACCTTGTGCATTATCTTAGATTTTTAATGGATAAACGACTGACTAGGAATCCCCACACAACGCTGAAAAGACCAGAAACAAACTGACATTATAAATTATTAAAAAAGCTACTTAATTCACAATAAAAAGTAGACATTAAAAACAAACTAGCTACTTGATTCACAATTAAAAAAAAAAAAAGATATTGTAAACAAACTTATTTTACAAAAAAGCCTCAGGCCAAGTTTAGAGATTATAAAATGGACATATAACAAATAATGGGTATCAGGTTTACAAAAAAAAAGTTTTTATTATCCCCCTGGCAGTGCGGGGTTGTAACGCTATTTTTACATAAAATACATAAAGGGGGCAAATTAGTATTATAAAACTTTTTTTGTTTTAAACATTTTAACATAACTTATTTTTTTAAAGGCTTGCATTAGATTAATCTATAGTTAATATATTTCCTGTTAGTTGAATTCTAATTCTTCTAATGGGAGAGTGGAACTGGTAGTTAGTGGAGCAGTGAAGGACATTGAATAATGATAAATTACTAATTTTGTATTTAAGGACATTGAACCTTATACAGGAAAGAAGTTTAGGACTTGAATTCAAGTTATTTAATAATTTGTAATGCAGTCACATAGTCAAAGCTAGTTTGTCTTGCCTGTAGACGTGTGTGTGTGTTCAAGAGTGTCAATGTTCAGAATAGACACGAGATCAAAGTTGCAATCAAAATTGTGGTTCAAATACCAATAACACTATCTAAGAAAGCAGTGTTGAACCTTTTTGATATTGTTGATTTGAGAGAAGTAGTGAGAAGACCAGACATAGAAGAAAATTCAAGTATTGCTCGAACAACAGAGGTATAGAGTAGACTCAATATTTTTAAAAGATTCTGAATAGTGAATTAAAAGGCCAAGTGTTTTAGAGTTTTCAACCAAATTTTTAGATGGTATCTGAAGAATAATTGATAGTGAAACTGAATTCCTAAATCTTTAATTACATCAACTTTAGGAAACGTTTAATTATTTGTAGAGTAAATGAAGTTTAAGTCAGCAGATTTTGCAATTCTAGAAAAGGAAATATGACTGCATTTAGATATTAAGGAAAAAGATCGTTCAAAGAGTACCATTTATGAAGAGAAGTAAGTTTGTTCTGAAGTATGACTTTATCATACCTTGATTTAACGGCCTTAAATAGTTTAAGATCATCAGTGTAGAAGATCAAAGAGTAGAAATTTAGTATCAGAAAAAGCAGATGAAATATCGTTAATAAAAAGAAGAAACAAATGTGTACTAAGATGAGAGTGCCCAGGTATGCCTAAACAAACAATAAATCTTCTTTATTAAAATTTTTACCCACTTATCAAATTTTAATGTATGACAAAAGGAGTCGTTGAGTCATAAACGTAACACATGTACAAAGATAATATATCGCAACAATGTTTTTGACAAGAGGAATTATAAATTTTTCATTTCTAAACTGTTCGCTTATGGTGTCCCTGGTTCCTTGCTTAAATGGATTCACAGTTATTTGTATGCCAGACCCTAAGTCGATAAAATAGGATCTTGGCTGCTTTTGGTGTGCCTCAGGGCTCTCACCTTGGACGGATTATTTCTATTGTTTTTATGTGAAATTCACTATTCTTCCAATTGTTTATAATGTTTATATTAAACATTTGGTATTTAATAAATTTTGTTTTGTATGTAACATTATGTTTGCTGTTTTAAATATTACTGATTACTTATTTATATAAGCTTAAATCTGCACACACATGTACAGAGTTGAGCCTAGTGCTTCTCGCAGACCACCTGCAATTCCAGCTTTTGTAATTTACAATAAATTATCAACAGGTCTTTAGAATCATCCACCCTGGGTGTTAGGAATCCAAGGTAAGACCTTGGTCTTATCCGTCCAGCCGCTTAGATTGGGCTCCAAGGCCTATCTTCAGCTAGTACATTTCAGCCCCCAATGCAATAATCCATTATCCCCAATAATCCATCCCTCCTAAATCCTAAATCCATTCACCACACTCTCACTCACTTTTTTTTTTTTTTTTTTTTTTTTTTAATGGTCAAAATTAAAGATATGCAAATGCATGTTGAGAGACATTGTCGAATAGGTTTTAATAGCATAGATCTGCTATCTGAAGTAATACTTCAAAATGGGTAGAAAATACAAATAAAAATGCTTTAAAAAGTATTTTCATTTAGACTAATTAATCAATGTACATTTTCAAAATTAACAGAAGACACTTAAAAACTCTAAAGATTTGGTATGAATTTATAATTAATTTACAAAAATTATGCTTATAAGTTGTAATAACTATTAGATCCATTCTTTTTGAAGAATTCATAAATCAGATAAAACAAAAATTCATTTAGTTTGGACATTTTAATTCGAAACAATTTTGACAACACAAATTTGAAACAAACAACAAACAAATTCATTTTTGCATTACAAGTGTAATTTACATTTAGTGTTTCTGCCATTTGCTGAAATTAAATTTGAAAGACAAAATTTTATTTTTATGCAACATAAGTCATATAAAGTCACTAAAACCTCTTTTAAGACAATATAAAAACTGCTAAAACATTGCTGTCATTCAAAGCCATGGCATAAATAAATAATATTACAAGTGACATATAAAAAAAACAATAAATTATTAACTTTTCAATTGCCGTCTCTGATCCAAGTTTCATTGTTGATTATTCTATCATATTTTTTATCCACAAAGATGTTTAAATTCATCAACTGTACAATTTCTTGTACAGCATTTCATCACTGTATCCCTAATATCCCGATAAAGAAGGTTTCCATTGATTCCCTTACTATGGAGTTCTTCTCTATTCATCCAAGGGACCGGGATGCCTGCAATGTCACCTACAAAATTGAGACAACTGTAGATTATTTCGAAAAAAAAAGTTAATTATTTTCTGTGCAAATTAAAACAAAAATGGCCATTAATGAAAATTCTATAAGACAAACAAGAGTAAAACTTCAGTTCTAGTTAATTATTGATAGTGAACTACAAATACAAGAACATCTTATTTAGCTCATTCAACTCTCCAATGAATCCTTGGTTTTTCTTAAAAAGTTCACATAATAATTATTAGAAATTATTAATGGTCAAACCTGAAGGCATTGAAGCACCCTCCAGACCTAGCAACCTTCTGAAGCGGCCAAATCCCGGATTGTCGGATATCTTCATGAAGTTTTGCCAGTCAGACTAAAAAAAGGTATACAAAAGTAATTTTAATTAAGTAGTTAAATTTATTTAATCATTTGTGGTTTAAAGGAGAAGGAGAGATTCCAAAGGCTTGGTGGTCATCCTTTATCATTTAGTCATCCCAATCCTAAAGCCGGGCAAACCGTCAGACCTTCCCAATTCGTATCGTCCTACTTCCTTAGCCTCTTGTGTTGAAACAACGTGTGAAAGTATGGTAAAAGGAGACACTTCAGTGGTGGTTAGAAAAAAACCTCGAAGCTTTCATCCAGCCAGTATGGATTCCGAAAAAATTTATCGAGGCAAAAGTTGACAGATGTCGGGCTTCCAAACTTATTTGTTAGTTATATTTTGGTCTTAATTTTGAGCAGAAAATTACAAAGGGATCAATGTATGGTCCAAGAAACTTGCACGAAAGGATTCCACAGGTGGTATCTTGAGCTCGTTGTTACATGCAATTTGCACAGCTGATTTAATGAAGAATTATCAAAAAAGAGGTCAAAGTCGTACAACATGCGTTCGATATTTGTTTGTATGCAGTGGGTAATTGAAAAATGTTAAGGAGACTTTTAAAGTAAGGTTAGGTTAAAAGTGTCCAATTGGACGTCCTCAAATGGGCTGGGGGTGGCCCGAGGTTCTTTGGGTCCAAACTAGGGACTTTTGATATTTCGTTAGTTTAAGAAAGTATTTCTACATATTGTGACCAATTTTCGACCAGATTGGTACACGAGATCAAGTTGAACTATCTGGGTTGAATTGCCTGGAGAATGGAGGCAGCATATGCACATCCCTCAGATAAGACGTCGGCAAAGTTAAATAGAATCCAACTCTGTTTGAAGGATGAAGCAAGAAAAAAAAACTGTAGAGACTACATGAACAATAATTCAATTTTTAAACCTAAACAAATTATTCTTTATAATTGACTAACCTGAAAATTTCCGAATTTATCCGTTGTCCTTTTGTTTTTGAATAGTTTGAAAGGTACTTCTCGCCAATGTTTATGATTCCGGTCTGAAAAAAAAAAAAAATAGTGAACTGTCATTCTAGAAAAAGGCTTTTTATTTATCTGTGAAACCAGTATTTACAATTTAAAGGTGCATGGAAAATTTCGTTGTCTGCGGTCACATAGTTTCCCACATCGTCAAAGTGTTTGTCGAATTCTTCTTCGACTACTTTCATCACATCATCATTTGACACTTCTCGTTTGGCGTATGAACATGCAGTAGCGACCATAAAGCGAAGGTAATCTTTGCTGCATGTCGGTTTCATAAAGGCAAATGTGTTGCGTGCTGCGAAAGCGAGGATTAGAAAAAGTTTCAGTACCTGAAACGAATTTAATTATTTTATAATGCATTATATCGCATTTTATGATACCGAAAACGAAAAATAACGCCTCACATACTTGGAGTAATAGATAAAAATATAACTCATACATATTTTTTGCCTAAGTACATCTTTAACAATTAATAACTACACTGACAGGCAAAAAATTCCACCCCCTTGTAAGATAACTTGGTTTGTATATAATTTTATATATTAATCAAAATTTCACGTTTTTTAATGTTAATAATTAAGTCTTGCCTAAAAAAGTAAAAAAAAAATATATAAATTGCTAAGGAAAATGAAAAAAAAAAGACGGACAGATAAAATTTGTTTAAATTACCCCATCCCTAAAAGGTTCGGGACTTGGTCGGCTCACGTGTCCTGCATTACCTGTTCACAAACCCCAAGATTTTGGACCATTTAATCTCGGGGAGTGATTTGGTGATGTCCTCTCCTTCAAAGATTTCAAATCTAGACCTAGCATACCTATCACACTCTGTGAGGTAGTGCCTTGCCGTTTCTTCTTTTATTTCGCAAAAACGGCAAAAGGGATCTGGTAGGATACCCATTACGAAGAGATAAAATTTGAAGTCTTTTCGGAGGATCTACGGAAGAGGTCAAACACAGAGAAAACTTCCTTTCGGTTTTTTCATGTTTTAATTGTTTTTTATATGATAATAAAACAGGCCCTGAAGTTGACAGTATAAAACTGTCGAAAGCTCAGCGAAAACAGAAAGGAAGTTTTCTCTGTGTTTGACCTCTTCCATAGATCCTCCGAAAAGACTTCATGTTTCCAGCAGGTCGATAATCTAGTTCATCGTTAGATAAAGTTTGTTTAAATTTTGTTTTAGATTTTTAATTAACATTTCAATGTCGCGTATTGTCTCCTCTTGCCTTAATTACATGTCGAAAACGCCTCGGCATACTTTCTACCAGTCTGGAAATGCCTCTTTGCTGGAGGTTAGCCCATTCTTCACGAAGAGTAATTTCAAGATCGTGGATTGTATCAGGAAGTGATGGACGTGCTCTTATTCGTCATTTGAGGTTATCCCATAAACGTTCGATGTGTTCAAGTCTGGAGAACGGGCTGGCCAAGCAAAGACCCTGATGTTACGCTGTTGAAGGTACGTTTGTACTATGCGACTGACATATGGACGGGCATGATGTTCCAAAATTTCATCCACATAGCGAGTGACCGTCAAAGACCCTCAAAGAACAACAATCAACTCTGTGCGACTCTCCATTGAAATTCCTGCCCACACCATCACTGAGCTACGTTGAAAAGGTTGGCTCTGGGAAAAATTACAACGACAATTTTCACGCTCATCTGGTGATCTTAGAGCAAATCTACATTCATCTGTAAAAAGTACAGCAGACAAATCGTCTAAAGACCAAGGGCTGTTTTCTCGAGCAAATGCGAGCCGTGCAACTCTGTGTTCTGGTCAATTCTCGTCCTCATACGGGGTGAAAACCTATCAGTCCATACTGATTTAATCTTATTCGATCAATGCGTTCAGAAATTTGGACACTTCGAACTTCCTGGAGCTGATGAATCCCTTGAACAACAGTAAGGTGCCGGTTTCGAAAAATTCCCAAAGTCAAAAAACGATCATCCTATGGTTATGTACCTAGGGCATCCAGAACCGGGCCTTCTATGGTTGGACCCAGTTTCTCGAAAACGTCTAACGGCGTCTCGCAGTGTTTCGTAGGGAATAGCAACATACGTGATGGAACGTCCATCATCAATAAGTGTCACTCCACGCTCAACATCCTCAGCACTAAGTGGCACTTTTAAGTTTAAAAAATGAAATTAAGAAAACAAAGATGGAAACTAAACAGTTTATTGCTTCAGAATTCAAATGAGACTGAATAAACATTTTAAATTCCGTAAAAATTAAAAATTGAAAAATCCTATATCTTTGTCTTGGATTAAGGATTAAGTGTGTTTACCTCTAATTGATATTCCCAATGTAAAACATAGCATAAACAAATTAGTAAGAACAATAAAACAAACAAACAATTCTTTTATCGAGAAAATGAAAAAAAAACAACATTTGGGTGGAATGTTTTGCCTGTCAGTGTAACATAACATGTAATTATATATAATAAAATAATAATAATAAAATCTTCAAAAATCTAAGGTGGTCAAGTGAAAGTTTAGCAGTTTGAGGCACTATATTTTATGAACACCCAATGCTTTTGTACATAAATTTACTTACAACGTCCATGTTGGTGATGTGTTTCCAAAGGATAAAATCTCTGATCAGAACAGTCTCGCGTTCGCAGTTGGACTGAGGAGACTATCGCAGCGGTACTGTCTTTTTTACCTTCGACGTGATTCAGGAAGGCATTTTGTCACATTAATCTATCGCGTTAATCTGTAAAATTGCTAACTAAATTGGAATATTTTCCTAGAAAAAATGTCTCACTGACGATAGTTCTGAATCGTTTTCATTGCTTCCGCAATTGTTCGTAGTGCCATATTTCCTTCCTTGAAATCGGAATGGCCAAAAGTAGCTCGGATTTTTAAGCACCTGTTGTGCAATAAAGATATAAAATTGAAGATAAATTCAAAACGCTCTAACAAAAATTTTCTCTACATGCAAATGTGTTTGTTATTTGTTTTCAATTGCAATTTCAACACGATTATTATTGTGGTTTTATAAGAACGTTTTCTTTCCGGAATTATTATCGTCAGTTTCATTTCTTTCATTCTTGTCTATGTTCATAAAACTAAAAACAAGACCGTTATAGAGGAAATCACTTGGAACACATTGGAGTATGTTAAATAAAATTTTGCTTTGAAGAAAGGCAAGATAAGATGATCGTTCATTTCTGTCACTGCATATCACCAAATATATTGCTTATATATCTCGTTTTAGTTCTTTAGAGAAAGGTACTTGAGCTAGTTTTATATAGTGGAAGGAGATCGTGACAAAAAATCTAGGGGTGACGGTGGGAATCGAACCTACGACCGCGGTATCTACGAGCGGTCCTCTCTGGATCTTCTTAAATGGTCTATACTGTCTTCTGACCCAATATACAAGAGAATTGCTTTTGAAGCTTCTGTGTCTACAAATAAAAGTACATAATAATTAATAATTTTCCCTATATGTTTTGTCCGATTTTTCATTAGTGTTGATTCTTTCGTGTCCTGACGCCCAAGGAAGGATTTGCGTAGGTGACCCAGGGTTTCGAAAACGTTAGACACCACTTGTTTATTCCCTCTCACCAATTCGGCTTCCGGCCTCATCATTCCACGATCCACCATCACCGCCCCTTCGCAAACTATACAGGTAGTTTATTCTCTAACTCGAATCCTATCAAAGCTACCTCCAACATCCAAGAGCACCTTGAGCTTATCGAAGACTGGCGCAAATAGTGGAAGACACCGAATGAAGAAAAATGTACTCAGTGTACGTTCTTAATGAAAAAATAAATAAATAAAATAAAAACCGTCTTGGACTCCATTGTACATCAACAACAAAGAGATACCGATTTCCGTTCGGTACTTAGGATTATACTGAGACAGCAGACTGACGTGAATCCCCAAGACAATAAAAAAACAATTTTAACATGAGAATTGAACTACGAAGACTTCTAGGACCTGTCTTGAACGACAAAACTAAACTATCCTTGTACAAGACTTTATTGCGACCAATTCATACTTTCGAAATGTGGGGTTCTGCCAAGCCATCCATCATCCAGAGCATCCATTCCTTCCTATCAAACGTCCTCAGATAAATTGTCAAAGCTCCTTACTACGTCACTAACCTCACTATTCACAACCACCTCAACATCCTTTTGTCAACGAACGTCAACGTCCGTTCCCTGTTACAATAGTTTCACACCAACCTGCCGAATAGTTTTGTTCTCACTTCCATATAACTACTTAATTAATAATTATGTGTATCGTTAAGAAACCATATTGTAGACAGATGTTTTTATTGGCATAGATAAAAATACAATACAAAAGATATTTTCTGAGTCTAGCGTCCCTTCCGCCAGAGAACCGGTCCATCGGGGCAGGACCCAACCTACTTCCTAATTTTTCTTGAAACAACAAAAAACAAATTGAAACTATTCATATCTTATTTAATAATTTTGTTGATTGTAAACAATAAATTAACAAGTTTCTCAATATTCCCTACATTATCTCCCAATATATCAGCAAGATTACTCGACAAAGAGCATTGTGTACTCAGTGCTTTATAGTGATTACAGTCAGTTAAGATATGTCTCGCCATTAACTTTACCTCACAGGTTTCACATGTTGGAGTAGGCAGTCTCTCCATTAAGTGTTCATGTGTGAGTCTGTAATGTCCTATTCGCAATCTGATCAGTAGCGTTTCATCAGTTCTTCTTTTTCGAGAAGAGGAAAGCCATGGCTTTGTAGTGGCTTTGTTATCTCTTAATTGTATATTTATTATGTTTGCCCATTTTGAATATATTTTGTTTTTTATGTACGAAATGACATCCGACTCTGGAACCAATTCTCGGATGACACCTTCCCGTGTTATTTTACTAGCATCTTTATTAGCTGATAGTAGTACCTGTGGTTGGATCTACAGTATAAACACAGCTACTGATTGCTGTCAGTTCCGCTGTAAAAACACTTGAGGGAGCCTTACAAAGCCCGCTCCCACACCACTATTACTTTTGGAGCCATCATCCGATGGTAATATTGTGATTTTTTCTTTAATTCCGAGAAATTCCTGCCTGTTAGTGGAGTAGATCAAAACAGATATTTAAGGGTGGGAACAAGGAATACAGCCCATGTTGCACACTGGAACTCTTCTTGTCGTCCGACAAAGCAGGAAGACACAATTTTAACTCATCTGGGAATAGGACACTCATGAATATCTAATGGGTAGAGGATCGCCTCCTCTTTTGAAACCTGTAGGGAATTAGTCATAGTAAAGCATGTAATCAAAGAGTGTTAAATTTGACCAGGCTAGAAGACAACACCGTCTGGCTAGTAGATTGTTGGAGATTCTTGGGGACAATTCACCGTATGTGTTTGTCTTCTTACACGCCACTAAATTATTGCACAACATCTAGATAGCTCTTGCCAGATAGATAGGGGGTGGATTGAGCTTCTTGGGGTGCGGGGGCAGCGGGATCCCTCTGGAAGCCTTGAGTCACTGTTCCCAGATTTGGAGGGATGTGGACGTTGGCAGTGGCATGCACATCCCTCAGATGATCCGCGCAATAACAATTAAGTATAGATGCGTTAATTTTTGGAGTTAAGGGGAGTGCCCGGGGGGGGGGGGTTGCGTCGCTGCTTAGCCATCCTTTCATAAAGTTTATGAAATTATGAGTGTTAAGGCGGATTATAACGCCGGATCGCCTTTACATTATTTAAAAAAAGGTAGAAACAACCAGGGTGAAGTTGAGGAAAAGTTCGACTTTAAGAAGTAAATCTTAAGGTTTGCTTAAGTCGAGTTAATCCTACGTTTGATATTTTTGTAAAAATCAAATTCCAATACACTTTTCCGTATAAGGTTTTTTTAATTGTCCCGACGCTTTGTGAGTCGAAGATGTGTGCCATTTTTATAGAACGCATAATCTTTTAATGGGAGCCGATTTTGATTGGTGCGCTTTTCTGAAAAATCTTAGCTAAAAGAAAACGAGTTTTTTAAAATTCAAAAATTGTGGCGAACTATTTTCGATTTTGCAGATTAGGTCTTTTTGGTTAGTCTGCGTCTTATACGCCCTCATTCTTTTACGTTCTTTTCTCGAAACCTATTAAGGAAAAACAAACAGAAAAATCTAAAAATAGGATATGAGAAAAATCACGTTTGGAATGCGATTAAAATATTTAAAACTATATTTTCCTTCGACAGTCTACAGGTCAAGAATGTGAAATAATTAATATGCATTCCTTAAATTCTACACTTTATCAGTGCACAACAACGCTACAAAAAGTTAAAAAAGGACACTTATAAATTATAAGCTGATATATGTTTGGGATGTATGTGAGGGTTTTCATATAGTATAACAAAAGAATTTGATGTAAAGAAGAGATCATTGGAAGATATTTAAGAACATAGATTCAGGTGGGCCTAGTCTTATTGTGCACTTGATGAGCTATTGAATTCCACGTTCCGTATTTACAGTACAACTTATTTGTTTCTTCAACTTTGTATCAAATCCAAAAATATTCCGTTATGTAGTTTAGCTCCTTCGCGAAGTCTGCATATCGAAAATTCAATAACGTCAATATTATTATGTCCATTGAGTTTGTAGATTCAGAATCGTCTTGGAGCAGTTCGAGTTCAGTGCTCTGATGGGTGCATGGCTATATCTTTATTTTTTTTATTCCAGGTTGCGTGAACCTCCGTATGAAGAAACCTGGTCTACATGCCTATGATTGTGAGTACGAGACCAAATCCAATGATAAGCCATTGTACAAATTGATTCTTCACCAGATGCATTTCTCTCCCAATTTCTTTTGGCACCAGAAAGTCTCGTGTTTTTAGTTTCATTCGATTTACGTAAAAGTGCACTAGGTGGATGAAATTGGTTCAAGCTAAAAAAATCTATGTATTTATCTTTTTTTTTATTACATTATAATACGAAATTGGAAGAACAATGGTGGTCCAAAATGGTGAATGAGAATTATATTTCTTAAAACACAATAAATTTTATAACCCCCCCCCCCAAATTGTTTTGGAGTTATATACGTCCACGTAGCACACGTCCATAATTCGATTAATCTGATTAGGTCCTCTTTATTTACAGGAAAACAGCATGAAAAAGAGAAAAACAATTTTTATTTCATTTTAAAAATTCTTAAGATTGCAAAATGAAAGGAAATCTGATATCAAAATGTTTATGAATTGACGTTAGACATTTTACAGTAAATATTGTAATTCTAGAATTAATTAGACAGTACGTAAATCTCATTTACAGTAGAAAAAGTTTAAACAGAACACCCCGAATGTTGGCAATCCGGAATCAGACCTCAGACTTATCCATTCAGCCACTACAGTTAAGCCCAGGGGTATCAACAAGTCGTTTCAGCTCCGAATAAAAGTCTCTAGATCCAAACCGACACACCATCTTACTCTCTCTTTCACTCTTAGATGTTTCTTTCCTATTTACATACTATTAATTCAGTTAGGGTGGTAGAGTACTCGATATTCCTCCACCCCTTTTCACCCATTGCATAACTAACCTAATTGAGGGTTGATGTGGTGCTTTTCGCCATCGACGCTCTCACGCTACACATTCACGCTAATAAATTCATCAACTCTCAACACACACTAGGAGATACAAAACAACCAGTATTATAAAGTATAAAACAACCCTGTTTCTTCCAAGAATCGGAACAGGGGATTCAAATACTCGTTGCCCTGTTCAAGTACAATTCTTGTATCGGGTGACGTTCCTATGCGCCCTCTATATGGAGCCAAGGAACGGCACCCTTCAATTAAATGGGGCATATCGAGCAGCCTTTCTCTACATGCCGGACACATACACGGGCTTTGACCCAAAAGTAAGTGTCCGTGTGTCAACCTCACATGACCTATTCTAAATCGGATTAGGACGACCCTTCTTCTAAGAGTCAGATCCTCCGAGGGCCACTTAATGACAGAGCTCTTATCACGTGAGAGCTTCTCTGGAAAAAGTTTTGCAGTATAAGGGTTACCCTCTACAGAATGATCCAATCTCGATTAACCTGTAAAATATGCGGCAAAGAGGAAAAATAACGAATTAAACTATATCTAATAAATCTAGTTTACGACAATGCCAATTAAAACATCATAAAAGCGTGTTTAAGCTTTTATTAAGTAGTTTTTTTAAATCAGAATTATCATAGATGAAATAGACCGAATGGCATTGTTAACACGATTACACTAGAACCAATCATCGGATAATTTAAATTGAGATACGGGCTGTGAATTCTTGTCGATATCCTATGGGTTCACCTATTTTCGTCGTTTGTTAATGGGTAGTAACTTTTCACTTCAAACAAGTCAATGTTTATGGCTAAATTTTGTTGTTACAATTACGAAAACTGCGTTCCTGTGACAAAATTCGTGTCGTTGAACCTAATTTTTTAGATTTATCAATGAGGTATGCGGGAAGATGATGTAGCGTGGTCGTTAATGGTCATTTTTCGTCAGAACAATGGCGATGATACGCGGACCATAAATAACCGGAAACGACCCAGCTTCAAATTAGCCCTAAGCTGAAGAAATTCCACAGCACCAATGTCATATTTAATTGATTGTGCCGCGTTACAAAAGGATTTAGATGCCTTTTTGCATAATGCGTGGCCAATAGGCTAATAATTAATTCAGCGAAGTCTTGAAGTTTTCATGGAGAATGTATCCCTCTTAAAAATACTGCATAAAGAGTAACCAGGTCTCCCCCTGCTTGGACTCGGGTGTGACTAGTTGCGACTTGCGAGACCATACTGATAAATCAAAATTGCCTATAGAGACCAGGTCCTGGGTCCAATTCTATTCATCCTTTATATCAGTGATACAAACGGCAAAATTAATGTGAAATCAGTACTTTTGCAGATGATAACAAAATATTGGTAAATTTTTTTACTACATTCACTGAACTGCAAATGGCATTGATGAGATTTCTAACTAATTGCTTTGGAGTATTAATCTCACTAAAAATTTTTCATGTAGTAAAACGCTGTCCATGTGGCGGAGCGTTGTCCTGAAGCAGAATCGGCATTTTCCGATTGACCAATGAAGGCGTCTATAATGCTAATTTCTGGTGCATTGCTTCAATTTTTAAAGCATTGAATCCTTTTCGGATTCAAGAAGCTGTAGTAAATCAGCCCAAATGAAGCCCAACAAAGTGCCACCATCATTATTGAGCTTTGGAAAATGTGGTACTGCTTCTCCTTTGTCGAGTCACTGTCCAGAACGTCTGCTGTTATCGTAGAGAACCTACTTTTCATCACAAGTAACAATTCTAAACAGAAAAGGTCCGCTTCTGTTTCGGCAAAGAAGTGTTGCGGAAACTTCATAACAATGCTTTTTTGGCGGTCGTTTAATGCATGAGGAACCCAACTTTAAAGCTTTTTCACCTTTCCAATTGCTTTAAGGTGGCAAGCGACGGTCGAATTGCTAACTGAAAGATTCTCTGCAAGTTCTCGTGCAGTTAGTTGTTCTGGGATTTCCTTCGGCCAAAGCTCGCAGAACTTCTAGGGAAGAAATCCTTCTACGACCGTCCTTTAGTCCTTCAAGGCTAAAGTCTCCCTCTCAAAATTCACTCAAATCTCTGAATGGTTCTCTCAGTCACACTGCAATCGCCCTAGACATCATTAATGTTTTTGGGCCTTTGAACACCGTTCCGACCGGGTTTTTTTCTTTTTTAAGGCTACCTGTGCTATCTTGCCTTGGATTGCTCCTTCCCGACCATGCCACGAAAAGAATGTATATAATTTTTGTTACCAACTAATAAATGTTTTCATTAAAATTATGACATGAACGATGTTCTTGTATTGGTGCTCCCCTTGGGTTCGATATCACTTTTTCAACCTTGCAAGGGATATGTGCTAAGAAAAGTTTTAAAAAATGTAAAAGTGAGAATGTCCTTGGATTACTTATAGGTCAACTTTGGTGAGATCCCCGAAAATTTTGATGGAAAAGTCATTGCACGTGCCACAATTGAGTATTTCCAAAAAAGAACATGTTTTGCCATTTGTTACTCTTCGAGAGGCTGCTGTGTATTCGAAAACACGAATTTTTCAACGGAAATGTTACCTTGCGAAAAATTTATTGTCTTTTGTAAAATAAAGGACAGATTGTATTTTAATGCTGCTAAAGTTGAGGAATTACGATTTTATGTGAAAAAATTCTGGCTTTAGATTAAAATCACACAAATGTTAATAACTGAAGAAAGAGTCAAGATAGAAATCTCATTCTGGTGGCACACAACTACGTTTTATTGAGTGAATCCACCATTGCAGTATTGGCATTTAACTCTGTAACACCGTGTATAGTGTATACATCCTCAAAAATTCCTGGCCATAGCATAAAACATCAAAAACAGCGCAAATTAGATCAACATTCTTCTCAAACCGTGTCAATTAAAATTGAAATTATCTGGAATTAATTATCTGCCTTCAAATATCATCGACTCAACATCAATTACGTCATTCAAATCAAATCTTGATAGTCATCTTCAATCGAAAATTCCCTATTTTTTCTTTCTTAATTAGACCTTTATTGTGAAATTTGGTTACCATAACTAAGTCACTAATATTATATTAATTGTAAATTGTTATTTATCTACAAGGATTTTATTTGACGAAATTGAAAACGGTTTGACCACCCACTCATCGTCTTGTAGCATTGTATCTCGAACTATTGGGAAGTAGTGCACAAAGGACATCTCCCAACTTCGAAAGTGCTCACTTATTTTATCAATCAACGTGCAGTTCGCAGCTCCAGTGTGTTTTCTTTAAAAACAATCATTTAACACAGAAAAATACTCCATCACTTCTTCACAACAGATTCAACCCAAAATTGGATTGTTCTTTTCAAGGCGTGAACTTTGTCATTAGCATCGAAAATACTTGACACACTTCCCTTGCAAAGAAAAAATCATCTCATTCAGTTTCATGAAAAAATCTGATAGATATATTGCCATTTCTCATCATTGAAACCGTTGGCCAATTTGCAATTGTGGCTCATCAACAGAGATAAGACTTCAGAACGTAATTTAAAGTGTTTTCCCATGAGACAGCCACCTCACTTCTCTGTGGAGAATCGGGGAGTGATGAAGGCTTCCCATATCGTCACATAGTATTGTGAAAAGTCTTGACATCGATGGCCGCGACTTCATATAATTATTAATTTGAACAGACCCATTCAAAATTCTTTAAAAGAGGCCAAAGCATATCTGTGGAGAAGACAATTACTGATTCTGCATTCCTTCGATTTATCTTTTGTTTTAGTAATAACTCCGATTGTTCCGCAGGTCATTGATTTTGCACGGTCTGTGCACACGTGAATGCAATTAGACCGTGGAATTTCGTTAGTCGTAAAAAAATCGTCCAACAAACGGAGTATTTCGGCACTTGTTGCATTGTGAAAATGCTTTCGGACAAGGCAGCCGCCTAACGTATGGTGAATCTGGGAATGATGAACGCTTCCCATATCGTCATTATCGTAGTATTTTGAAAAATCTTGACTTCAATGGCACGACTTGATATAATTAATATCATAGATTCATCAATCTATTAATATTATAGATTTATCCAAAACCTTCTTACAAGAGGCTGGCATTTGTTTCATAGCTAAACATGTCTATGGAGAACAAAATGACTTCTGTGGCAAAATAAAAACTTTCGTTTCTACACTCATTGTTATTAGATTTTTTTAAAATTTTATTTATTCATTCTCCGTTTATTTTTGTAATTATTACTTTTTCTCGAAGTTAACCCCGGGATAATGGAATTTATTTGTTTAATGCGTCAAATAAAAGGTGAATTAAGAAGACACGTGTACATATATTACTTTTATATATATTGAACTGAAAAATTTGGTAAAAACAAGTTTCTAGAAAAATTCGTAAAAAATTTCCAAAAAGTCAAATCGAAAAACGGTCAGAGCGACTGCTAAAGGCCATCCCTAAAAAGGTCCGGGACTTGGTCGGCTCACGTGTCCTGCATAAACCTCTTGGACTTGTTCACAAACCCCAAGATTTTGGACCATTTTATCTCGGGGAGTGAATTGGTGATGTCCTCTCCTTCAAAAGTTTCGAATCTATGCCTAGCGTATCTATCACATTCTGTGAGGTAGTGTCGTGCCGTTTCTTCTTTTATTTCACAAAAACGGCAAAAGGGGTCTGGTAGAATACCCATTACGAAGAGGTGTCTTCTCAGTGGGCAATGGCCCGTCAGGATACCTATCAGCCTCCTAATTCCCCTTCTTGAGTTAGAGAATAACCATTTCGATTCTGCTGGTTTGATCTCCTTAACAAACTCCTTCGATTGCCTGAAACAAATGAAAGGAAAGATCAGTGCGTCGTACCAGAACGACGTCCATAACGAATGTGTGAAACGGGCCAGTGGGAGTTTCACAGGAACAAAACAAAAGGCGGTGTAATATCTTTAAAAGATAGTATTGTTAATTCTGTTATAAACCATTAAACGCTTTGACAAGCAAATTAATAGGGATGAAAAAAATGAGTTGAGTGTGTTATTTAATATCTTTAAAAGTCTTTCTTCTTTTTAAGAGCTCTTAAAGATATTAAACGTCATACTCACACCACCTTTATCATTTCTATTAATTTACTAGTCAAAGCATTTAATAGATAATAACAGAATTAACAATACCTTTTAAAGATACTAAGCAACATACTCGTCCCAACTTTTCATTTCTAAAAATAAATAAATAAAAAGTAAACAATAACAATAACAAAATGCAAAATATATACTTGCATACATAGCATATGTATACGGAGACCATGGACCCGGATAATTGAACCCAGTTTTAACTATACAAGGTGTTCGGCTACTCGTCTTACAAAATTTGCCAGTCCTTTTTTTAAAAAGATAGTTCCTACTCACAGTAAGAAGAAATGGAAGTAGTGACAGACTTTATTTTCTTGGGCTCCAAGATCACCGCAGATGGGGACTGCAGCCAAGAAATTAGAAGACGCTTGCTCCTGGGGAGGAAAGCTATGACAAATCTAGACAGCATACTCAAAAACAGAGACATCACCCTGCCAACAAAAGTGCGTATAGTCAAGGCGATGGTTTTCCCAGTTGCAACGTATGGCTGTGAAAGCTGGACTATTAGAAAGGCTGAACGCCAAAGAATTGAAGCCTTTGAACTCTGGTGCTGGAGAAGACTTCTGCGAGTCCCTTGGACTGCAAGGCGATCAAACCGGTCAATCCTGGAGATCAACCCTGACTGCTCTCTAGAAGGCCAAATCCTGAAAATGAAACTTAAATACTTTGGCCACCAAATGAGAAGAAATGACTCACTGGAGAAGAGCCTAATGCTGGGTAAGATTGAGGGCAAAAGAAGAAGGGGGCGACAGAGAATGAGGTGGATGGACGGAGTCACTGAAGCAGTCGGTGTGAGCTTAAACGGACTTCGGAAGATGGTGGAGGACAGGAAGGCCTGGAGGAGCATTGTACATGGGGTCGCGATGGGTCGGACACGACTTCGCAACTAACAACAACACTCACAGTAAGACTTACTTGTAATTTTTTTACCCAAATTAAAAAAACGTTTAATAAATTCATTCAAAATTTCTTTGAGTTTTTTATTTTTTATTATTAGTATTAATCTTTCCACCTTACTAATCCGTCACCACGGTTTTCTCCTTTCCTTCATAAATTTCTCAATCTTTGCAAAAAGTAATTAAAAAGCAATTACATCAAATGGAGTACGTTTTCTGAAATTTGCCGTTCTCTATGTTTGGAAATAGTAGTTTAGAATCACCATAGTAAGTTTTTCAACTTTGAAATAAAAATTATTTTTCAAAGTTATGGCTATTGAAACGTTCATTTCACCAACGTTTACAAGTTTAGTATTGATTACATCTTATTGGAAATTTAACGTAGTTTTCAATGGTATCAACGGATTTATCCAAAACCTTTTAGTTTTGGAGTTACCATTGTTTATTTGAAGAAAGGTCGTAAAATCATAAAAAATCAAAATAAGAGGAATAACTACAAAACCATTGAGATTCGGACCATAGTTAATTAGGACTTTTTGGTCCTATTTTGAATGTAGAATCTACTGGCAAAGTTTGTAACACGAGTAGCCGAACACCCGGTATATTAGAAGAATATACGCAAGAAAAGTAGCGAATGAGCCTGCTATTAAAAGCTGATTGCTTATGGAATATCATTGTAATTGATGTGTGGTGTCTAGTAACCGTTAATTAATAATTATTTGGAGATCGTGAGATGCGGTCTGGTGTGACGTAGGTTTAGAAAAACTTTTCTTTGTCGTACGTTTCGATCTTTATTGAGATCATCTTCAGGGCCTGGGATGTATAAACATTGTTTAAATTATACAAATACATGTACGACGTGAAAAAATGAATTTATACAATGATCGAAATTTTAGACTCATTCATAAGTATAAATATTTTGAATTTCAAATAATCATTGTGTTGATACTGGTTGAGTAGCTAGACGATTTTTTAAACTATTAACATAATTCCAAAGTTATTAACGTATTTAAATTGAGATAGTGAAGATTATTACATTATTTAAGTAACTTTTGTAGCCAAATGAAATAAAGAATCAAGATGAGAAATAGGGGGACTTTATAATTGACAAAGGGAGCGATTGGATTTATGGCGGGGCACCTTTTTAAATTTTGACAAATGAAAATTTTAAAAACGACCTTTAAAATTTCTCTTCAAAGATTCAATTACGTAATAATAAGTCAATTCTATAGTTAAGTACGTCAAATTTTCTGTAACGCGTCCAAAATTGATGGAATGGTACGGGAGTCGATAGTTGTGAAATGTCGATTGAATAACACGATAACCTAAGGATTGGCCAACACTGAACTCGGTTCATTCATCACATTTTTTTTCTGTTTAGCTTTTTCTTTTAGTTTGTTATTGTTTTATTATTTTGCGTTGTTGTTCTCTGCTTTATTTCGCGTTATTCTTTTATTAACTATGAGTGAAAACAAAGAGTTGTGACACGGTTGTAAAACAAGCCTTCCGTCCAAACGGTAAAATGACAACAGAGTCGTAAACTGAAATGTCTGAGAAACTCCCGTAAGTTTTACAAGCTTTTCATTCATTCATTAACGTAACTAGCATAGTTCACATTACTGGTGCTTTTGGTATTCTTAGTTGATTTATTAAGACGTTACAGCGTGCCCATAACTGTTGTCAAAGGATAGCAAAACCCAAGAACTACACTGACGGACAAATTTAACGTACCACTCAATCCATTTAGTTTAAAATAAAATTCATTATCTTTCTATATTTGTTACTGGTAATTAGGTGCTATCGTAGTCCAAATAAACAGTAAATAATGCTTTGTTTACTTCTTTTATTTACTTTTGTACTGATTAAACCTATTTGCACAAAAAATAGCATTATCGCTTTCATTTATTCTTTTTCCTTCATTGATTTCATTTGGTATTATTCTTAATCCTTTTTCAATGGCTTCAGTCAGGCATTTGAGTGAGTACGGCAGTGCCAGGATCATCATAACATTATTAGAGGAAGGATACAGCCAGCGCAAAGTCGCCAGGCAACTTGAGTGTAAATCACTCTACAATTGGAAGGGTTCTTCAGCTCTAAAGAGAAACGAAGCTTCACACTAGAAGACCAGGACAGGGTCGACTTAGGTCTACGAATGAAAGGGGCAATAGATTCATCCATCAGACTACGAAACCGCAGCATTATAGGAAATGAGATAAGAAATCTGATAAGACAGTCCGAAATGTTTCTATTTCCTCCAGGACTATATGAAGAAGGCTCAATGAAAATAACCCCAGGGCCCGGCACCCAGGTCGTGGAGTTATCACAGCTCAGAAAGCGGCCAGGCTTTATTTTGCATAGGAACATCTGAATTGGACAATGGAATATTGGGGACGAGTTCTCTTTACAGATGAGGTGAGAGTTGTCCTCATATCTTTAGATGGGTGCAATTTCACATGGAAACACCCAGGAGAAAGATACGCTCCATGCAGTATGATTCCTCAGGTGGCATTCCATGGAGTGTGATTGGTGTTCTGGGGTGGCATTCCTTGGACGTCCGCACCGAATTGGTTGTTGTTCGAGGAAGACAGAGGTACTTACAAGACATCAATTGTAGAGCATGTAGTGCCTTTTGCCCCCTGCATCAGTGAGATATTCTTGCTAATGTGGGATAATACAAGATCCCATAGAGCACATGTTGTGGATGTCTACTTGAATGAGGTTGGAATTGAGTGCTTAATTTGGCCAGCCCGAAGTCCAGATTTGAACCTAATCGAACACATTTTGGACCAACTCAAGCTACGAGTACAATGGTGAAACCCAGGTCCTAACAACCTAGAAGAGTTAGAAATGGCTGTTCTTGATGAATGGGAAAGAATTCCTCAGGACTTTATCAGAAATCTTTAACAAGGAATGTAAAGGCGTTTTTTTGTTCTTTACTTGATTTTTTTTTTAAATTAGGTATAAACATTTCCTTCTTAAATTTCTTATTTTTATAACTAAACCTATTTTTGGTATGCAAAATATGGATAAACGTAAATACATTAAAATTTAAGATGGTGTGTTAATTTTGTCCATCAGTGTATTAACTCAGAAATAGTTTATTAAATACACTAAAGATAACTTCTCAAAGGTCAAGATAATCAATGTGTACTTTGATTTAAATCAATCTTTGTTTTTGTAGTAAGCTTTTCATTTTGCCTTTTTTCAGTGTGAATTTTTTGCCTTTCATGCTTATTTGGTCCTGATTTTGAATGTTTTGATTCATTCCATCATCATTAACATCCTTTGTCTTTAGTCCTGGCTGCCTCAGGAATCCTCCGTTACTCTGTCTCGAGCAGCTGCCCATCAATTCGAATGCCCAGAGTTCTGGTATCACCACTTATGCAACCCATCCACCTTAGTTTTGGTCTTCCTCGTTTACTCCTTCTGGCTGGTTCGACACTAGACTGAAGACTTCTAGACTGAATGTCCTACCTAATCTACGTCTTGATAAATAAATATGCTTGATGATATCCACATTCTATAAGTCAATGAAATTTTGGTTATGTCGTATCCTCCATTGATTATTCTCTTTAATGGGCTGTAGATCTTTCTCTGCACTCTTTTCTCAAACACTAATAGTTAACTTTTTACAGCATCGTCCATATTTCTGAATATGTTGGGTAGGTCATATGAGAACTTTGTATTGATCTAGCTAGTAAGTGCCTCTTCAAGTATTTCAGAATCCATGATAGCATTTTTTCACAGCAATATATCTGTGCATAACATCCATAGATCAACATGGTTTTATAAAAGGTCAATTGACCTCAATTAATTTTATCTTTTTTTTTTTTTAATTTTTTGCTCTCTGCTTTCGATTATGGCCACAAGGTTCATTCCGTTTATGACCTTTCAGAAGCCTTCGACACAGTGGATCATTTTGTGGTTATTCACAAGTAATACTTGGCAGGGGTTGGTGAACTGCTGTTGAGTTGGATCTGTTTTTCCTGTGTAACCCTGGGATCTTGAAAGAATGGTTCTGGGGCTAAATGAATCTTGTTAATAACCTAAGACTACTTAATTTTACAATATTATGCCAGCTACAATCAAACTCTCTACTTAGCAGCTACCTATGTTTAGATCTCGGCAAAAGGGGTTAGGCTGGGTAGAATTTGCTGTGAAATTTAACATGAAATTTTAGCTACAACTCTGATTAAGGCAATGACCGTTTATTCTTGCTAAGATGAAGACCCTCCATATAATACAAATTTTATTGAAAAATTGCTCCATGTATACTGACACCTATCCTTTCCATACTCCCGGCCTGGGCTGGGTTGTTGACAGCACCTAGGCCCCCCCTTGTGCTGACACCATTTCTTATCTTATTTACAATGTTCATTTCCATTAAACATTATTTTCAAAATTCACTTATATTAAATATTTCCTTCACCGGTTACACCTGATTGGTAGATCCTTTCGGGTTAATTTTAGAAGTTTTTGTTCAGATGAGATATCTATGGGATCAGGAGTCCCTCAGGGATCACATTCGAGGCCAATCTTGTGCAATATTTTCTTTAATGACATTGCTAATTCAGTTAAATTGCCTACAGTGTCTTTACTGACTGATGAGTTCATCAGCAAATGTACAAATGCAACTCTACATGTAATTTACAATTAATTACAATTAAGGTTTTTAGTTGAGATGAAAAAAAGCTAATGGCACGAGAGGGATTCGAACCCACGACCTTCGGCTAGATACGCTGCTGCTCTACCACCTGAGCTATCGTGACCTCAATCCACTCGGACATCAACTCCCCATCTCAACCCCACCTTATGAGTTTTCCCTCCTTTTGCCATTTTTCAAATGTCGTGTAATCGACGACAATTGAAATGGCGACGGAGAGCTTTAGTGAAGTGTACTTCATTTTAATTCATTAAATTCACTAATTTCGTGGTCCGCTTGACCAATTAATACTTTACAATTAATTAAGGTTTTTAGTTGAGATGAAAAAAAGCTAATGGCACGAGAGGGATTCGAACCCACAACCTTCGGCTAGATATGCCGCTGCTCTCCCACCTGAGCTATCGTGACCTCGATCCCCTCGGACATCAACTCTCGTGCCATTAGCTTTTTTTCATCTCAACTAAAAACCTTAATTAATTGTAAAGTATTAATTGGTCAAGCGGACCATGAAATTAGTGAATCTACATGTAATGATTGTTTATTGTTACAAAAAGATATTTCTGCTTTGCATGACTTGTGTACTCTCAACAGGCTTTCGATTTAATCTACTTAAATGTCTTTACATTTCTTTTTCAGCAAAACAGGTTCCTTTCTCCGAAACCCATATCATATTCCTTAGGTGGTGCCACTCATGGGGATGGTCTCTGTGGTTACTAATTTGGGCGTGGTCTGTAATAAGAAGTGTACCTTTGAGGATTGTTTTTCATACATGATCAATAGGGCATACAGAAACTTGGGTTTCATTAAACGATGACATCTGACTTTACAAGTGTTTATGCAATAAAGATATATCGGTGTTTGGTTACGAGTATTCTTTACCATGATTTATTTTGGCCTCTTTATTACAAAACTCATTCAAATGATTCAAAGAAGTGCTACCTAATACCTAAATATGGTCTTAACTTCACTACACGTTCCATGGCCCTAGACGTATTGAATATACTCTTTTGTCACACGTCCTTGTGCTGATTTTTCTCTTTTCGGATATAAGTTCTTAAATGGTTTTATTGATGCTCCAGAAATTCGATTACAACTCAGCTTAAGGGTGCCTAGCCGGAATTTGCGAGTGACTGAACTGTTTTATATTTTCTCTTGCAAAACCAATCTCTCATCCATGAAATGTGTTTATAGAATTGCCTGTTCTTGAATGTGTCATGCATTGATCCATTTGTTGAGAGTCAGGTGGCCTTTAAAAGAAAGACTTATGAGTTTTTAAGGAATAATGTGGATGTTACTCTTGAACTGCAATGAATCTTTGATTTTCCTTACTTCTATTTAGATGTATATTTTTGACCGTTGTAAAAAAAAAAAAAAAAAAAAAAACGTGTTTGTTTAGTTTTTATACACTGTTTTCACAAAGTGTGTAATTATTACTATTATATTTTGACAGTTCTATTTTGGAGCTACTTCCTTGTTTGAACTATGTAATAAATGAATATAGTAAGAGAACAAAGTTTTTCCTTTCCTGTCCCTTTCCTTTTAACAGCTTTGTATCTGTACTTTCCCTTGTATAATTGTATATCTTGTACCTTAATTTTTCCTGGGTCTGCAGTCTGTTGGCAAATGTTTTCTGGTCTTTTTTGCTTCTTTGCAGATTCTGCTTATCCTACTTTCGATGACACCCATATTTTTCTCATTTCTATTGAGGGCAGTTCTCTGCCAAGGAAACCTGCAATTTATTATCAGATAATTAGAAAAATTCTTACGGTTTTTCATCTGTTATTTTTTTAGTACTGTTAATCAACATTTCAATTTACATAGGAGTTTAGGTGTATATATCATGTAGTACTAAGAGGATAATGTGTCAGTTCATTGTTGAATGTCTACAGTTGGTGTATTTATAATCATAAGTTCAAATTAGTATGTTTAAATGTTATGTATTTGAGTTATGTATTTTGTCAGTTATTTTGGTATTTTTACCGTTGTTACTATTCTACTTGTTTGATAGTTGTAGACTTGATAACACACCAACCAAAGTGGGTTTCATCCCTCTATAAAATTAATTTTCAGTTATATTGCTTCCTTTTAATTATCAGTACTGTCCAAATTCAGTACATCAGGCCTACCTTTTTAAAACTAAAACTATCAATTTTCTTTTTGTTTATTTTTGTCGGGGTGTTTAGAAATTAAAAAGGAGATAAAGATGGGATTTTTTTTCTGTCAGAAGTTTTAGATACTGACTGTTTTCATTCATAACTTATGAAACAAAGTTAATGATAAATTGCATTAAACTCACTTATCTTATTATTGATTTATTAGAACTCAATTAACTTCACTGAGGAGACCACTTTTAAAATGACATTTGCATGTTTTGAAAATTTCTTTTTGTTTCATTGCCATATTTATCAACCCAAATTGTAAAATTCCAGTTTTAAAAATTATTGTATAACTAGTAACTTCCTTCCCAGAGAAGAGTACTTGAGATAAAATACGTCAATCACTTGACTTTTGATGTAAAGAAGGTTGATATGCAGTATTATCTAACATCGCACCTGTTGTTAACATTTTTTTAAATTTTATTTGTTTATTTTACAAATTATTACCAGTCGATTGCTTTAAAAAATATATGTATATTTTTGTAGATTGTGTCGAAAAACGTTATATGAAAAATGGTAGCTAGTTTACAAAACAAAAAAGAAGCCTTAGAAGCAAAATTAAGGGATAAAACCAGTGAATTGCGGAAACTCTGCATTGAAGAGGCCGAGTTAACAGGAGTTCTACCAGTAGAGACTCCTATTGAACCGGGTGAAGGGCCACCACATTTCCGAAGAAGAATTGGAACAGCTTTTACTTATCCAGAAAACCTTATAAATAAATTAAATCAAAAATCCAAAGAGGTAATTAATGTAATGTATATAGACGAGTTAGATAATATGTAGTACAATTAAGTATATAAATGGTGTACATTTGTAACATTTTGTTTTTATTTTATAGAGAACTTCCTTTTAATTCAGATATTTTTGCTGATGTTGTTCAATTGTTCAATAAATATTATTAAGAAAGTGCTCATCTTTGAGACCATTCGGAAGTTATCAGGTTTGACTAGTATCTTTTGTAAAAGGTTTAATTTGTATGCAATTTTAACTTGAGTGAAATTAATGTCAAAACAACACAGACGTTGAGAAGTATGTATGAAAAAAAATGGTTTGATTAACAAATTCACAATTAAAAAAAAAAAAAATCTCTTAATTGTTTGGTAAAAAGTACATCAATGATTTTTTTTTCATTTAAAATTGTAGTTATCAGTTTAAGTTTAATCAATCTATCTACTGATCATTTTGGTCTTCCTATCCTCTCACTCCTTCAGTGTTGGGTATGGGATCTCCTGAAGTTGGCAAAATGCCAAAACGCATCTGACGTACCAACCCAGCAAGAATACGCAGACCATAATGATTAATTGATAACGACCAGATCACAGCATTTTTTTAATATTTAATACATTTGTGGCTTTAAGTGTGTTACATGCTAACATTATTGTAATTAAATATTCAACTTTTGTCGAGTAATTTTATAATTATGTTGGAAAATAATGCCAAATAGGAATTTGTATTTGGCATAATATTTTTATATATGATATTTTTACCGTGTATGTAATCACAATAATAGGATCAAAAATAATAATACAAATTTTTCCATTTAATTAATCCATATTTGCTAGAGGTCATAATTGACCATATTAATTATTCCAAAATAATTACTCTTTTTATCGAAGGTTTTTGGTTGAGATGAAAAATTAGTGTCACGAGTGGGATATGAACCCACGACCTTCAGCTCAATACGCCGCTGCTCTAACCACTTGAGCAATCATGACTTTGATCCCATCTGACATGAACTCCCAATCTTGACACTAATTTTTCATCTCAACCATAAAAACCTTAGATAATCAGAATGATTGATTCCATGGCTGTACAATCTTATTCTTATGATTGGTATACAAAAATCAGAAACAATTTTTTCCGTTTTTATTTGTTATTACATATTATTAACTTAAAAGGGAGATAAATTAATAATTTTTAACTAATGGTTACAATTGTCCTTATTTTATCTATTTGAACTGGTGAAATACAAGTTTAAAAAATATAAATTTTTCAGGATGAGGCTGTTGCTGCCCTCGAACTTGAATGCAAAATACAAACAGGCATAGCTGAGGCAGCATTGGGTTTAGCCAATGATGTCTCAGCTAGTAAATCTGTCAGGAGAAAGCATAGGCTTTTGTTTGAAGAAAGCCAAAGAAGACTATCCGAACTTGAAGCAAAACTGAGTGCGGTGAAACAAGTTCAACCCAAGCATAAAAAGAAACCAAGACCTCATACAGATTTAGGTAGTATATCAATACTTGACATTGCGAATTTTGCCTTACCGTTTGTTGGAATTAGTTGAAGAAAATGGAGAAGCTGAATTCGATGAAGATCACAATTTTCATCATCCAACATCCTTGACTTCTTTGTCAGACCGATGTTCAAATTCCTTGCGGCATTCCCATACTTATGGAGGCCTTCCAAAACAAGAACCACAACTTCAGTCCTATCCTCAAAGGTAATCATTTGATAATATATAATTTATTATAGTATACATATAGTATATTTAAATGCATATGGGTAAGTATTATTTTGTTTTTGATTTATTATCTCTTATCTAACAATGATTTATGTATCCTGGAATATGTAAAAGGGCAAAGTATTTAGGGCGAGCTAGATAAAAGCCCTCGTAGATGTGATTGAATGGTTTTCTAGAAAAAGGAATATGTTGCAATTTCACAAAAGTTTAAGAGAGAGGTCAGATTGTGATCAGAAGGGGGAGAAGAAAGTGGTTCTTGGATGATGAGGACGGGGAAGGAATGGTGTAGGAGGTCCTCAGTTCCCCATTCACTACCAAGGTGTCTGCTACATACATGGATACAACCTCAGCCCAATAGATGCTGTGAGTGTCCAGCTAGACCTAAAAGGCAAAACAAAACCAAGGATGAGATAATCTTCACTGGCCCTAAGAAACATACAAGCTGGAATGAGATAATTTGTCACAAGTCCTGATAATTCATGTCATATGGACCAATCGCTGGGTGTCACAGACGAGGGATCAAACCACTCTACAATACATTTTTCATACTATTATCATTCTTTAAATAATCATTAATTAACAGTCACTAAATATTACACACTATTACCAATTTAAAAAACTGGGCTCTGCCGCGATTTGAAAACAGAACCATTAGTATGGCGAATAGGACTCAGATGCTCTAAACAATCTGCCACCGTGATCTTTCCCCTTTTTGATTGATTGAAAAATTGATTTATTTAACAATTCTTTTTTTGAAATATTTATTAAATATGTACACTGTAGTAAATAAAACCTTATAATTTCTATATATGTACATACATATAATATTTATATCAATAATTTTTAATTTTTTTTTCATTGTACAGTCAAGTGTGCAGACATGTTAAATCTAGAATTATTATGTACATTAAGTTAAATTATCTTTCATTATTTTTATAACAATAAAAAGTTTTTCATATAAATTATTTAATGTATGGTATTTATTTGAGTGAGTACAATTAATGCTTTGATTAAACCTAAGATTTCTATATTGTGTACATCATTGTATCAATTCATTTTTACATCTTACATGTATTTGTATAATTTAAACAATGTTTATAAATCCCAGGACCTGAAGATGATCTCAGTAAAGATCAAAACGTTGGCATGATAAGGAAAATGTTTTTCTAAACGTACATTACACCAGACCGCATCTCACAATCTCTAAATAATCATACAATATTTAACTTTATATTATTTCTATTTAAAATTTTTACTGAATATAATTCAATTAAGTAAGCACAAAATACCCCTATTTAATCTTCTTACTTAATCAACATATTTTTATGTAATTGTTTTCTAATATTTTTTGTATAATATTTTTAAAAATGTTATATTAATTTATAATGACAATTTAAAAAATTTCAATAACAATGATAAATGTGATAATTTTAGGTAAATATTTATGAAACATTTTTTTAAGCTATTTTCTCACTTTACATATTGTCTAATACATAAGTAATGTTTCCTTTGTTTTCTTAGTTTTGCTTTTATATTGTTATATACTGTATATTTCTATATTTAAACATTTATGTAAATTGGATTAATTCCGTAAAATATATTATATTTATTTTTTAGGATGGCCCAAAGTCACATGCATTTACCTACAATTGATTACAGACACAATCTTTTGGATCATCACCCACATCAGCATCATGTGCGATCAAACAATCATTCACCAATTGATCCCAGTAAAATACTTTCTTCTGATCTATTAACTAGCGTGATATTTAGCGTATAATCATTTGTTTTGTTAATTTTAGATGCAGTTATGTGGAATAAGGGGAGAGAAAATTGGCAGTACAATCATGTGGCACATCACCCACAATATATGACTCATTCCCCTGACCTGTATGCTGTAGATTCGATGATATATCATTTTAATGATAGGCAAGTATTAAAAATGAAATGTTGGGAATATAATTTACAAATCTTAAATTTTTTCCTACATTGTTGTCAGTCTTAATTTTAGATTACTATTGTGTATTTTCTTCTTTTCTCTCCCCTTCTTTGATTTTATCACTGACTGTAATTTTTCTTCTAGGTTTGGTAGCTTAGATAGGAATGTTTCAGCACCACAAACTATAGACACAGAAAGCAGGGTCTCATCAACTTTACCAAGAAATGTGTATATTCCCCATTCCAACACTCTGGTGTTGCTTCCAAGTCAAACATATCCAGAAAATAGTCTTATGAGGACACAGTCTCTAGGAAACATGGATAATCTTAAGCAACAACCTGATAGGTATATTAAAACTTTCTAAAAAGTTATTTTACGATTGTTTATATTTGTTGGCAATTGTAGGAAGACAAAGGAGAAAGAATGGTATGAAACAAGTTTAGATGCATCACCGCCAAAACATTCTCCAGTGCCTGAATCACCACTTCCTCCTACACCCTCCCCTCTTCCTGTCCTTGCAGTCTCTTCTAAACCTATTGAACAAACATCTCCAACCTCAATTTCCTGCCCTCCTTTGATTCCTGAAGCAAACCAAGCATCTGTGAGCAGTATCCATTTTGAAACTGTGAGTAAAAGTATTTCCTCATTCATCGAATAAAATATTTGGTGAAAAAGTTTTTTAAATTTATGTATATGTCATATTAGGTTGTTCCTTATGAATCCCCTAAGAATCACACCGTTGTTCAAGCTGGAAAATGGCAACCGTACAGGGAAGTCACAAAACCTTTTGAAATGTCTGATTTTTATAAATACAGTACAAAATTTAGACAAACCAAAAATAGTGTACAAGTGGCCAATAGCCAAGGCAACCAAGAACAACACAGCAGCCAACAAAAAGTTGTGTACAAACCTCCACAACCTCTTGAATGCCAACCAGTCAACCCTAGGTACGTGAAAGCACATTAAATTTATTATAAATTGCTCAAAAATGAACAGGGATATTTGTAATTTATTCCTATTCTATTAATTATAATTAAATTAACCGATATATTATTGTTAGTTGGATAAAACAAAATAGAAAATACAAACCAAAAACAAACAAATGTTTACATCCTTATTTTTAATAACGGATTTACTTAAAACATGAAGATTACTCATTTTGTGAACAAACACCTTTTCTCCATTTTAATCCAGTTGTATTCTCCTTAACTATGGAAAGACATCATCTTGAACCAGAAGTTTGCAATATGATTGTAAGAATGAATCATCAAGGTTACTGGCAACAGGTCTCCCATGTTTTAGCCCGATTCCAAGAGACTGGAAGTGCCAACAGGAGGCCTAGTAGTGGATCTCAGCGCATTAAACAGGAGGACAGTAATATTGTCATTGCTGCAAGCCAGAACCCTTTCCATAGTGCTTGCCAGATCCTAAATGAGGTACAAGATGCTTTGGCAAGGCCTTTCTCAACACAAACCATTCGTAATCGTCTGTCGGAAGTTGTCCTCACATCATATGTCCCTTTGAGATGGCTTACAGCAACAGCCCTCCACCAGTAGCTAAGGAGATTATGGTGCGGCGAGTGCTTAGAAGAGACCATTTGGAATGCTGTTATCTTTACTGATGAGTAATGTTTCTGTCGCTATAGTGATAGCAGGTGTCGAAGAGTAGAGAGAATAGGGATTGTGTTCAATGCCCCAGTTCGTGCTCCTTTCAGGGCAATTTGAGATGGGATTTACACCGGAGGATGAACTGGACTCCCTATTGTTAAAGGCAACCTCACTGCAGTCAGTTATGTCCAAGAAATTATCGAGGAATGCATCCCTCAAACCAGGTACCTCATTGGCTGGGATTTTCAAATTCTGGATGGCAATACCTCACAGAGGCAGAGTTGTTCCTCAATGTTTAGAAAACCTGGGAATTTCTTTTCTGCCCCTTCCCCTATTGTCTCCAGATCTCAATTCCATTGAGCACATGCGGGATGCGTTGCAGGTAAAGCTTTTTGATCACCATCCGCAGCCAGTCGACCTGCAGCACTGAGTGCAGTGTTGCAACATCTAATCTAAGGAGAGAAATTCTTTATAAAATTAGTGACCTTATTAACAGTATGCCTAACAGGTCCACAGAGATTTTAGCTATCAGAGGACATTATACACGGTATTAATTGTTTAAAAAAAAAATTGTGTACAATGAACAAAATTATGGAATTGAAACATTTTATTTTATTTTGTTATTTTTCAAAATCCCTAATTCAATATGCTTTCAGTAAAAAACATATTTTCTAATAAATTTTAATGGAATTTACAATAAAAATAAAATAAAAATGTTAGGGAAAGTAAATACTACAAAATCGGCCATATCCCTATTCATTAATTTTGAGCAGTTTATTTATCACGCAATGAACTAATGAAAATTAAGCCAACTGTAATGTTTCCTAAAACAATAAGTTTTTCTAAATTAAAAAAAAAGACAATGTTCAAATTAAGTGTCTTTATTATATATTGATTGTTTTCAACTTAAAAGTTACCAAATTCACTAATTTCGTGGTCCGCTTGATCAATTAATACATTACAATTAATTAAGGTTTTTAGTTGAGATGAAAAAAAGTTAATGGCACAAGCGGGATTCGAACCCACGATCTTCGGCTAGATACGCCGCTGCTCTACCACTTGAGCTATCGTGACCTCGATCCACTCGGACATCAACTTCCTATCTCAACAGGAGGGAAAGCTCATAAGGTGGGGTTGAGCTGAAGATCGTGGGTTCGAATCCCGCTTGTGCCATTAACTTTTTTTCATCTCAACTAAAAACCTTAATTAATTAAAAGTTATCATTAATACGATAATAATCAATATAATATCAGGACTTGAGTATTGTGACATTAATTATACATGAATCCTATAAATATGACTTAGTGCAAGGCCACCTTTACTCAATAAGGAGTAGGCTTAAACCTCTGAAAGCCATTCATTAAAAGAAGAGCTGATTTCTTTTGATGGATTACCTGTAAAAATTTACATAATTTAGTTTTAAATAATTAAATAATCTCACAACATTATTTTAAAATTAACAATTGTTATAACTTATTCTCGCAAGATCTTCAATTAGGAAGACCTATATGTACATTTAAAGGAACATGTTGTAACTGTTTTTTATTTTTTATTTTTTTTTTATTTCAGTGAAGTTTCGAAAACTTTGCAATCAATCAATTCTCAACACGTAGAGAATTATTTGCCTCAAGTCTCTCAAGGGTGGTATCACGACAAGACAATATCGAAACCACGTTCATCCACACTTGTGTAACACATTACTTATGTTATTGGTGAATTATAAAATATTAATAGACCATTTGACACTTGTTGCAACAGAAAATCACATTAAAAGTTGGTATAAAAAAGAATGAAAATGATATACTGGGATAATAAAGTTAATATTATACATGTCTGAATTGTAGGGTAAAAATAACATTAGGACATATTTATTAAGGTAGTGGCAGGATCAGCAGTGATAAAGACTTTCTTTCCCACATACTGATTTTTGTTCTAAGTCTAATTGAATGACAATTTGTGGTCGTCTTATCTACTTAAAGTCTGGATAGCCCAAACTGTTAAAATAAAATGTGAAATATCAGAATCGAAAGCTAATCTTTTACAAGAATTACGTTCCGAGTAGATTAAATCTACAAGTTTTTAGGTTCCACGTACAGTGCTCTCTCACTAATCTGAACTTCGGTGCTCCAAACATTCCAGTAATCCGAACTGGAAAAAAAAATCAAGAAGTCAATCTTATTAAAGGAAACAAATGAAACATTATTTGGAAAGAAGGAGGAGAGAGAGTGAATGAGGGAGAGTAGTGAGAGTGAAAAATAAAAGAGGGCGAGAGGGAGATAGATAAAGTGAATGAGTGAAAGTAAGAGAGAGTTAATGAGTGTGAGAGAAAGAAAAAGATAGTCATGCAAAATACCAAGACCGGCTTAGACTATTCAGATCTTCAAGAATTTCTTTTGTTCAGTGAATTCCTAATCTTCCTCACTACTAAAATGAAATGTTAGATGAGACTAAATTTTTCTTGTGTTAAGTGTGATATACCTACTGCTTAAAAATGAGAGAAAAAGAGGAAGAACCAATGAAGAAAATGTTCAATAAATTAAAATAAAAAAATTAAGAAAACAGTAAATTTGTTTAATAATTTAAGTATGGAGTAATAATAAATGTTGTTTTGAATGTTTTTTTTTGTGCATATGTATTTTTTTAACACCCTCTATAATTGAATACCCCCTGTAGTAATTAGATCGGATTACTGAGAGAGTAACTTACTTTGTCTGGATGCCTCTGTTAAAAAGAGAGGTCTAAGATAACATTACAGTTTTTGTGATTTTCTGCCATTGCCAAGTATGCCTGCCTACAAAATTTGTGTATGTCCTATTGTTATTTTTTGAGACAATTAATTATATGCGAGTTCAATTCAGTCCTTATACTCACTGTGTGCTATTTTTGACACAATGCTTTGTACTATTTGTTATCACCTTTCCATCACAAATGTGTAGACGAGCAAAATTGTTTACAGCTGCTACGTTAATGACTGTTCGATGTTTCGGCAGTGTCACAAAGGCTTATCTTAAAAAGTTGGACTTTGTTTATTTTTGTAAAAGTATATGGTAGTTATTATTTATGTAATATTTATTCATGTTTTATTAACAAAACAATTTTATAATAAAAATATAAAAAATAATAAATAAATACAAATATGAAATATTTGTAATAATATTATTTCTTACAATATTAAGCTTACAGATTATTTTTTAAACATAACTTGTATAATATACAATAACAGCTATAAAAGACCTACTTTTATTTATTCTTTAAGCTGCAGACTGACATTTTATATTAAAAAACTGATTTGAGTAAAATGAAATACGTCATTTTAGACTTTTTTTAAATTTATAATTTTGTTCGTGAATATGTTTTATTTCATGTTTGTAAAAATTTGATTACAAAAGATTAAATTAATTTATGCCTGGCTCTCTCATTAGTTTAATGAAATGTTTTTTGCAATATCATTTCTATTGAAACTTTAAATAGTAATTTTTGCAAAAGGGGTTTTTGGAACCTTAACACGCCATTCATATATACAGGTAATGTTGTTATATTTTATAATTTATTTTTCTTCTGGATCTTTAAAACTGTTATATAAAAAATATCTGTTGTTTTCTAATTTGTCTTTAAGTATATTTATTTATATTAGAAAATACGTTCTTTTTTTTTAATTTTTGTTAAATTGCTATGGTTGAACAAAAATATTTTCATTGTGCCATACAATATACTTTATTATAATAAAATTGCCAGTCCAAAATTCTGGTGTTTTTTTATAGACGTATGAATATTTTTTTGTAAAAAACTAAATTTTTATATTTGTTATTCAAATCATAGTTTCACAAATTGCATTCTTATAGTGCCTTAGTGACTCATTGAAATAATTCATTATTTTAAATGTGTAATTACTATTTTTCTAAATAAAATACTTTCATAAATGCATTTTATGCACATAAAAACCTTCCTATATCCCATAGCATATTTACACAGTACAATATTTATCTATTATATAGTGAAATTGTATAATAAATTAAAAGGGCTAATTTTTTTAATGGTTAAGTTAAAATCTTCATTCAGATAGAATGTTTTTAAAATTGATCAAAGAAGATGAAATTTCATTAGAGGGGCAGTATGTAACTGAAATTGTTGACAACAAAAACAATTTAAATTAAATTTTTCTTTGGAGTTTATGTTTTATCTAGTTGTATCACTGTTGAAGGTGAACAGGATGAAAGATGTCGCATAGGATTGACGTCCAAATGCATACCATTATGCGCTGTAAGAATATTTTTCGAGCCTTCAGTACAAAATGGCCAAAAATTTGTATTATCTTCTATTTTACAAGGCTGGCCTTTTGATAGTGTTTTCCATGCTCTGTAATTAAGAAATGAACAAATGTTTACAAGTGCGTTAACAGAAGGTAGGATGGAAACTCTTTTAATTTGGGATTTTAATGAGTAATGAGCAAGCAGCACAAAAAGAAACATATAGAACATTGAAAAGTTAGGAGCAGGAGAGAGGATTGTTGGATCTAGCAAATGTTAGAAAGTTTCTGCACACATAATGTCCATGATACAGAAAAAATATAAAATAAATGGAAAACAATATCAGAGGAAATGAAAGAAGCTGAAAATGAAGTCATACGTGAAAAGAAAACAGGAATTTAATGAAGCTATCAAGAAAACAAATGAAGTTGGGCAAAAGATGAAGATCAGGGGCAACCACTACAGTGATGGAAACCGCAATCTATCTTCCACTCTGGTGGCTTTGGAGAGTGCGACAAATAAAGCCAGATATAAGGAGAAGCCACCACAAAATTCTCTACAGAATTTAAATAAATCAGACGGCCACTTTACAGAACGAGAGAAAAACTCAATTTTGACATGCCCTTTCAAGTGGTCATAGATAATACAGTCCTTTGGAAGAAAGGTGGACTCAAATTTCAAAAAGGGGCCCTAATATATTACCACAGACAGGTGGCACTTAAGAAGACCTTAACCCTAAAAGCATATTATCCTTGGCAGAAGTCAGTGACACCTGTACCTGGCATGGGACCCTGGGCATTTAGGGCAGGAGGCACTGAGAAAGTGTACATGTTGGCCAAAAAAGGAGCCAATATGAATTCTTTAGTCCCCAAACCCTGCTATGGCCACAATAAAGGATACATTGAAAGATCATCCAAGATTCCAGGATCATGCTTAATGAATCCAAAACTTGGTAGAGTAACACCCCAGGCTTACAGCATGAGAAGAGATTCATAGAAGGGCCATCCGCAAGATTTACAAAGGAATTACTGGAAGGTAACTGCAATAGGTTTCTGATTGGACTCCTGACAGGGCACTGATACTGCAAGGAAGTACAGAACACATTCTATGTTTTTGTAAGGGAGCAAAATATGAAAGGTGCACATACTCAGGCAGACATAAAGGGAATTGCGTATGCTTTCAGATCCAAACGTCTGGGAGAGTCTAAATTGCCTGACTCAGAAAACAACACAAGATCACCAAAATTGTGTTCCGGGACATGAACACTAGAAGAAAATGAACTAGTGAAAAAAGGAGCAGCCTTCTTACTAATGGTACCAGAACTACAACTAGGTGCACCAGAATGTGTTTTTAAGTTAGAACTGGAAAAATGGCTTGAGAAAGAAAAACTCAAGCACAGGACAAAAGTACAAGGTAAGAGATTTATAAATCTCGCAAAAAGGAAGGCGAAGTTACTCTTCTTAGCAGGCAGAATTTGCGTACGGTACAGCCACTTTGATAAGGCGATTCACACACCAAAAGAGGTGCAAGGAAAGTGGTTAGTCTTATTAGATCAAGTGCACTTTCCAAGGTATGGTTATAATTTATAGGGGTTCGATAATAGATCTTAAGTAAGTCACAGTGGAAGAAAGGATTTTTAAAATCCCTATTCTAAACAATAAAAAATAAAAGAATTAAAAAATATGATACAAAGAGAGACATGGAGAAATGCAGAGGACCACAAAATAATAAGAAAGGAAGCTAAAAGAACTCTAAAAAAAAAAAGAGAACAGATGAATAAAAGAGGTCAACTGGTAACAAAAGATTTTTCGACCTAAACTCAGACTCCAAAAGAAGTAGTATGATCAGATGGAACATGAACTAAGACAAATGATACCACAGAAATTATAGAAATACATAAACGGCCACAGCCTGACATCCCTTTGCCAAGAAAGGATGAAGTTAACAAAACAATTCAATGAATAACAAAGCTCCAGGGAAAGATGGAATAATCAGCGAATTAAGGAGGAAACACAAACAAGCCATACTTACATTTTAAGTTGGATTTGGCAACATAAACAAATGCCCAATGAGTGAAAAGATCCAATAAACAAAGAAGATAAAGGAGTGTGCAAAAATTACAGAGGGATTTCACTTTTAATCATTGCACACCAAACCCATCCTCAGTCATCCTAAATCGCCTTAGAATATATACTGAAGAGATTATAGAGAATGTGCGGCTTTAGAAGAAACCAAAGTACTGTTGACCAGACTTGCATTGTAAGACAGGTGTTTGAGCAAAATTAACTTTTTATTGATTTCCAACATGACAAAATTATCAGAAAAGCTCTGCTCATTGCATTGGGGTGTACCTACAAACTAGTGTGGCTTATAAAAATGACCTTTAATTAAAATATTATTGATTAATAAGCTCTTAATTTATTAATTAATAAGGTCTTGGTTGGAAATAAGAAAGGAGCCTTCAATATTTATTTATGGCGTCAGACAAGGTGATGCCCACTTGACTACACTTCTTTCTACAGGATACTGTAAAATATGTTATAAAAGAACATCATTAATAAAACCTGGCTGGGGCAAGCAAACACCGGTACCCCAAGAGTTCATATAACCTCATAGTTGAATACCCTCAAAAAAAAAAAAAAAAAAAAAAAAAAAAAAAAAAAAAAAAAAAAAAAAAAAAAAAAAAAAAACTGACTGTGAATTTACTAATTTTCAAATCCTGGGAAATTTCAAATTTGAAGTTGTAGATCATTTCATATATCTGGGCTCAATTTTATCAGAAGAAATGAACACAAGATTATTAGTATTTAGGGTTGAAATGGGGAGTTGATGTCCGAGTGGATCGAGGTCATGATAGCTCAGGTGGTAGAGCAGCGGCGTATCTAGCCGAAGGTCGTGGGTTCGAATCCCTCTTGTGCCAATAACTTTCATCTCAACTAAAAACCTTAATTAATTGTCTTGTATTAATTGGTCAAGCGGACCACGAAAATAGTGAATTAATTATTAGTATTATGCAAATATAAACTATTCACTTCAAGGTTGCCCCGCAAAATAAAGATGCAACTATATAAACTATTAATTTGCACAGTGGTATGCTACGATGCTGAAACATGAACTTTAAATAAATATGACAGCAAAAAATTAAACATTTTCGAAAGGAAAATTGTCAGAAAAATTTACGGGGCCAAATTCAAAAGGAGAGCGTAGCATTAAGAAATAATAGATGTACTAGAACACCAAGGTTTAGGCCGTATTAAAGCAGAGAGGTTGAGGCAATTGAGAAATATAAAAAGAATATAAAAGTAGAAGTTACCAAGAATCAGATGGAAGGATGATGTTGAAAAGGATTTAAGGTCAAAGAAAGTTGTTAACTGCAGAGAGGGAGCTAGTAACTGATCCAAATGAAGGAAAATTTTGACGTACAAGAGCTCCATAACACCAGTTTAATATAAAAAAAAGAAGAGAAAAGTCATGAATCCCAAAAACATTCATGTACTCAGCAGTGATGGCAGCGAAAATTTGATTGAATTCCTGAGGGATGGTCGCATTTGATGGCTCCCACATGTGGTTTTTCCCATCTAGCATGGATCTAATGGATCTATTTATTAGCAAGATAGATTGTGTCATGTGTGGGTGAGTTTGTGGCAGAATATAGCATACCCCACAGACCCACCAAACTAAGTTAGTTACTTTTTTGTACTGAATGAATGCTTTTATTAGCATGATTGGTTGAGTAATTGGGTTTGTAGGCAGATTAGAGCAATACTGAAATATAGAATATCCCACAAGTAGATTAGTTATTTTGTTGTACTAAATGAATGTACTCATTCATGTACATATTGTGATTGGTTGAGTGAGTTAGTTTATGTGTGGGTGGATTTGTGGGGGAATATACCCCAAAATGTAAGATCGCTAGGCCCTTATACTCATGTGCCAAATTTTTTTAATATGTAAATAAATGTGAGGTGGAGAAAATGCGAGGTGCTGGTAGTAGCCTTGGCAGCTAGCCGGCCGAAGAAAAAAGTATATAATAATTATAATCACAAATAAATTCTTCACAAGAGCAATAATTAAATTTAGGTTTATTTTTGTACCTATTTTTACACAATCATTCTCTCTTAGAAAAAGGCCACTTTTTATATATCTTAGTAAATACCATTTCCAGGGATTTGATGTTTCAAAAGACAACAATTTGTTATACATCCATACAAAATATTCAGTAAATAACAACAATTGAGATAAGAAAATTTAAAATACTTTTATAAAAATAAAACATATTTATTAATCTTAAATAGGCCTATCTGCAGCATATCACATTGACATGAAGAAGGAACTAAACCAATTGTAAACAAACAATTTCAAAGTACATTATTAAACTTTGTGGTTTCTAGGGCGATAATATTTAATTTTATTTTTTTATTTTTGTATAAACGTAATTGCATCAATTATTTTATTAATTTCTACAATATATATACATATAATCGAAAATATATTAATCTATAATTGAACATAGAACATATTAATGCACTAGTATATACAAACAGATCACAGAGTAATAAAAAACATGGTATTTATCTATTAGTAATTTACAAAACAACGGATGCTGAGTCAATAAAAAAATACACAGAATAGAAATTGAAAATACTTAAAATCCGTAATAGTACATAACTGACAAAAAATTTATTGATAAAAAAAGAAGTTTACATATGTTTTGATGACAACAGTAAATACCAGCAATTACCAGTTTTTGAATAATGTGCTTCACAGTTAGAAAGACCATTCATGACACCATTTGTAGAAATACATTTAAAAATGCGTATTAGTCTTACAAATCACAGTGTGTTACTTTTCCTATTCAGTGGTTTGAACATATAAATAATTTTGTATTTTTTTTTAAATAACTTTAAATTAATTGTTCTTTAAATATGCAGTGCCTCACAGTGAAAATGATATGGCAAGATGTTCGCATGAATTTGAAAGAAAAACTATATTTCCAATTGATTTTTTTTCTAGTTGATGGTTGTATTACCTATTTCAGATAGTTTTTTAAGAGTGATTTGTGAAAATTGAAATTTAACACAAATTAACAAGATAAAACACAGTTAAGACAAACAATCTGTTTACTGACATGTTTCCACCTTACTCAAGGTATGTTTACTTTGAGCATCTTTTTATTTGAGTTGAAATTCAATTTAGAGAAGTAACACTAATCCTTTCCTGTATTCAATACATAGTGATTTTTAAGTGCTCATTAAAATTCTGAGTTTTGGAAACCTGTTTTATTTGCTAATGAAAGTAAATTCAACTTCGTCGGGTCTGATGTTCAAACAATGGTACAAAATGATGTATGGAGAAAACAGAAAGGAATATCGGAAACAAAATCTACATCCAACCATAAAGTAAGGTGGTGGAGTAATGGTGCGAGGTTGCATGGTGTAGTCACAAGATGGAAGGCTCCACTGATAGCATTACAAAGAAAAATGTTTATTTAAACATTCTGCAGGATTATTTAAAAGAAAGTGCTGAAAAACTGAATATAAAAACCAACTTCTGTTTCTATCAGGATAGAAGCCAGCTCCTACTATAAGTAATGATAATTTTCACTGTGAGCCACTGTAATTTGTTTGTTTTGTAATTTTTTATTCAAAAGAATTACACAGACAATACATGAAAAATAATTCTAATAATATTTAAATTAAATAAAAACTATTAGCCAACATTTTTACTCCCATATAATTATGTCAAACGTGTTAAAAATATAAACAAGCAAACCAAGGATCCAAAATTATATTTCTTTTACATTTAATTTGATAGCCAAGATAAAATAGCTTCAATTTCAAGTGTTAACAATAAATGACTTCTTCATTCAAACAATCAATGAACACCAGAATGTTTAGAGATCAGTCATTTAACTTAATATGCTATTTTGTAATTGATTACCATTTCTTTACTTATCCATAATAGGTATGACTAGAAACATCTACTTTTACACTTTAATTACACAAATTTAATGGAATGCAACACGTAATTGCACAACTATTAGCTAAATTATATAAATCAGAGGGTGAAAAAGTTATTTGAACCAATTAGAATTTGTGTTAAATTGTGAGGTTGTATGGTCTGCAAAGTGAACGTGTAATTTGGTTGTAACCAAACATTTTGGCCTCCCTGGGACCTGAACAGTGAAGACAGTGATGAAATGTCAAAATGCATTTAACTTGTTGCAACATGTGCATCAGTTGTCCTTCTAGGTGGGGTGGACGCATGGCATGTATCCTCCCATTTTTACTTTTTAAAATCTCCATTTCACCCACTACAAAATTTTGTTCAAAATTCTGATAGCTGCCTCTGAAATGGCTATCGTCGTCTCATTTTTTTTTCGACTAGTGATTTTTTAAAAATTTATTCTGTGAAAACCAGGTAATTTGCTTTTCTCTGTATATCATTTGTTATTTTAATTGGTCAATTACCAATTTTGTATGATTACATAAAATAAAGGAAAAATTATTTTTATTGTAAAAAATAAAAACGACTTTTATTTAACTAAACAAAAGCTCTGCAGGTTGCCTACTTCATTTACTTAGCACAAGGGGGCCGCAACTGTTGCGTCATATAATTTATATCACTTAAATGTAATGAAAATATTTTAAAAAATCATTTAATATTTTCATTTTTTTTAAGCACCAAAGAGCTATTTTATGTGATAAAATGGATTCTGCCGTGGGCAACCAAAATGGCCAAGCATAGGATGCATTGGTAACAGACCAACCAAGTGAGGATAGGCAGACCGAAATGTCGGTAATGACCAAATTACATAAATTTTGTGAGTTAAAGATGTATTCTTGACACTTTAAATGTATAATAAAAAAAAAAGTCTGATTTTAATTTTAATATTTGTACATATGTATTTAAACATTAGATATCATGATGTGTTGTCATTAAACTTTATATTTTAAATTAAATTTTCACTCTATAAAAATATATCTATACATATATAATATCATTTCAATCTCTACTTAATATATCCTCTGTTATAATTTATTATTGTTAAAGACAATATCTTTCACAATTGAGTTATTAAATTAAATCACACTTCTCAATCAATATTTAACATAAAATAAATACGACTGTAAAAGAAAGAAAAATTAATAGCAATTCCTCTTCATTGAAAAAGTGTTGCTTTGTCAACAAATTCAATTTGTTACGTTTTAACAGCAGATCACGTTAAAAAATTACGTCTGATTACAACACTCACACAGTAATCAAAGAACATAAATATATGTACGCAACCTACATATTACAGCAGCATAATCCACGAACAATTGATCGGATATTATTTCTTCTTTGTGGACGAGGGAATAAATCCTCCCTCTCAAAAAATATTTCTTCAGCTCTCTCTGACATGAAAATTTGTAAATCATTCTTCGGGAAACCTTCTTTGTAGTACAACTAAAACATAATATAACAAGAATTTTTTAAACATTTATTTACTTTGAATTATCTAAAATATGCGTTATCAGTGGTGTAGAGTGAGATTATTCAGCCAAACAAGAACTAAGATGTTTTATCACCTTTTTTCTTTTTCCAAAACTTTCGGAGAGTTGTGCTCCTTTTCTACAGGGTCATTTTATTTTTCTAGGATCACTATTGCCAGAACAAAAAACATACAAAGAATAACAAGTAATCTTGTTACACTTGGAACAAGATTATGACAATACATCAAAATAAAAGTTAGGAATTAAAAAAAAGGACAAATTCCACCAGCGTAAACAATATGAAACGATTATATTATTGCACCTGAAAACTTAAGGTTTAGGCAATAATGACCCTAGAAAAATAAAATGATGTATAATGAAATTTTCATACATTGTGAAAAAGGAGCAAAACACTCTGAAATATTGTGTAGAAAGAATAAAAAGTTGACAAAAGCATCTAGTCCTTTTCTGGCTGAGGTTGGTTCTCATTCTAAACCACCGATAATATTTTGAAATCATCACAGTCATCCACTAGACCAGGGGCCGGCAACCTGCGGCCCTTTGCAACTTTTTGCGCGGCCTGCCAAAGCCCAATATAATTTTAGGAAAAATCAACAAACTTAGAGCGTGAGCGTGCCGAAATGTGGCCGGTGACAAAAATGCGCGCTAACAGAAGCATAGTGGGAAACCTATTTTACTGCGCAAGTTTAATCCCCACTTCCCATAATAATATTTATATTCGTGTATGATATAAAAGCACTATTTAAGTTACATTTGCATAAAAAAATTTATTTTGAAAATGGCCCGCCCTCCGAAAAAAGTTGCCGACCCCTGCACTAGACTATAAAATATACCAGGTAATTAGAAAAGTCTGTGCAGTTTATAAAGGAAAAATGTCTTGAACATGTCACTATAAATTACAAAATATTTTCTTTCTCGTGGTTTCAAAATTCTTAATTCGTGCATGCCCATTGTATGAACTTTAGCTCGGTACTGGGGCAGCCGAGGCACCATGTGAAATTTGCAATGTGTTCGGTGATAAAACAATATGTGAGTGCACTACGTAAACTGATTTAATGGTATTAAAACAATAACAAATGAAAAAACGTGTAAACTTTTCTGGTTACCTGGTATGTATTGAAATATCAAATTGTGATCAATATCTTTTTTATGGTAAAAGCATACTCAGAATAATTTATTTGGAAACCTACCTTAATTGTTTCATACGCATCCATGATTATAGAAATAAATAAACTCAAAACTACATAAATGTAGAGGCTTATAAATGAATATAGGTATATTCTGCTATACCACCATAGCGTTGTTGATTTCACGGTAATGATAGAAAATGTAGCAAACATATCGTCACCGTTGATTAATGAAAAAAGACACTCTGATGTACTTGCTAATGTTCGGAACTACAATTAAAAAAAAAAAAAAAATGTAAAACATAATATTAACTTTTAACAGACTGAAAAACTGACCTTTATATGATAAGGGCCTAAAACCAGCCATCCACAAAATGTAAAACCAGCATATATTAAGAGTGCGCATAAAAGAAATCTAATTACTTTTGGAAAAGCCTTTTTCAATGTTAGAATAACAACCTGAAAATATACAAATTTATCTTCAATATATACGATACATTTATCTATCCAAATAAATTATAAATTGCAATGATTTACATTGTATGTCTTGAAAAATCCTAAATATCTAAGCACACCAAACCATACTAATAAGTTCCCGGTTCCTAAACAGACACTGCATGTATTCCATTGATCACCAACAACTTGCTAAATAACAGAAAAATAAAATTGTGGTTAAAATCAGTTTTCTTTTACTTTTTCAGGAAGGAAAAAGTAATGAAATTCAACAACTATTAACTGACCTTTCTTTCAATTTCTTCTTTAATACACGAGCCAATTATAATAAGAATATCATTGATAATGATCATAATGTACCATAAATTCCAAAATTCCCAACGGCCTTCTAAACTTAAATCTCTTTGATTGTATTGTAGAAAGAAATTTACAGTTTCCTGCGTACAAATAACATTTTAACCCGAGAAGAACATTGGATGTTACTAATAGATATCTATGAATTATGTACCTGTTTCAGCTGTTGTGCACGAGCAATAGCTCTGACACACAGCACAAATGAAAGTGCGCATATCAGGATAACACTGACATTTAGTGTGGTTGTGATGATAGCAATAATTGTATTATTAGCTTAAAAAAAATGCAATCATTTCTTTAATAACATAAAAGAAAAAAATATTTATTCATAATAAGGCACAATAAAGATGTCATCTTAATAATGTTCATCAAAATATGTTAAAAACAATGCATTAACACATTCAATGCAGCCTGGTAATTCAATTTTCACCCTCCCGGATGGCAAAAATTTCTTATCCCTAGAAAAGTTACACAGGTCATCCATCCAGCTTGGCCTTCATGCATATCAACAGCACTGAACATGTTAAATCCATTACTTTGGCTAAATTGTATAGTATCATTTATAATATTTCAACCCGAATGCTACAAGAGCTTGTTAAGAGAGATGAGTCTATCCTACACTTTTTATTTTGTATTTTTTGTCAGGGCTTATCCAAATATAGAGAGGGAGAGAGAGAGAGAGAGAGAGAGAGAGAGAGAGAGAGAGAGAGAGAGAGAGAGAGAGAGTGCGTGTGCGTGTGCATGTGCGAGAGAGAGAGAGTGTGTGTGTGTGTGTGTGAATGAATTTGATTTAGGAACTGATAGCGCTAGGGGCATGACCTTATTGTCGATAGCCCTTTGGGCCTTCCTTTGGCAATACGTTAGACCAAGGTCTGAGGCTAGGCCACCAAAACAGCAAAAGTGTTTGTGTGTGTGCACGCGTGTGTTTGGCTTAAATTCTCATGATCATAAGCTCGATTTTGCACATATGTGTAAACAAATTCATATGTGGGCAAAATTGAGTCTATACAGATAAAATAAAAACAGTTACGTTTGCTGTCAATAAAATCATGTACAATAGAGGCACAGCAGAGTTTCTTCTTAGGCTGATGTTTTTGGTTTTGTTTTTAGAAGCAATGATGAAAGGAAAAGGTTAAGGCCAAAATCAAACTTTTTTTTTGCTGGGGTCCATTATATAAGAGAAATAACTATATAATGCAATTTGTCATGATTGTCACATAAGTAAGGAAACGTCAAAGAAGTTATTTGACCACCCTCGAGAATATAAATTAACTCTCCACACATATACTAGATACCAAAATAACATAATTTTTATCTATACTATTATTAATTTCATATTAATCACCGTTTTTTAAATAGTAATGCTTACTTATATATTCTACATTTCCTTTACATTGCAATCTAATAGGTTCAGTATCTAATGATAAAACCATCTGTCCATCCATGCCTGCATTATCTAACACTATCTGTAAATGAATTTGAAAACATTATTTTCAAACTGATTTGAATATAACAATATACCTACAATAGACAATAACAATATAAACATACCGTAATATTGAACTGGTAACAATCTGGTTGTGAAAGCAGGCCAGCAACATTAAAATTGACTGTCTTTAATGGAAAGTCCAATGTCGCTTTTACTAGTGCAGAAAATTCTATTTTGCTTTTATCGATGCAAATATCCTGTTCAATGTGAGACCTGTTTAAGGAAACTTGGCAGCATTCTAAAAAGACAAACATAAATTCTTAAATATACAATTAATAGGACAAAATAAGAAATTTATTACATGAGTTTTTTTTTAAAGTAAAGTAATTACTGTTATACAGGAGGGCTTGACTGACATCCAACGATCCCTTGGGTACAAACCCCTCAGAGGCCACGCAACCAGGCAGTAGTACCAAACCAAAATACATCCTCTACAAAGCAAAAGGCCTGGAGAAGATCGAACAACTCTTGACAGATGAGATTATTAAGGTCTGCCTGTCAGGAGCCTCTAGAAACAGACTAGTAACCCTTCTGAAGGAGGGAGTAGAATATATGAAAGTGCGAAAGACAATAAGGCTTAAGACCCACTTATGGACCGTCTAGGGAGACACCTGACAGGAGAAGGGTATCATGTGGACCTTCTCCATGGACAAAGACTTCTTCCCAGGACTCTAGAAAGTGGATATGAACCCCCACCTCGGAATGGGAAGAATTTGATTCCTTCAAAAAGGTAAGTTTGAAGAAGACAAAAGTCAAAAGGCTCAAATCACACATCGAGCCATGGATGAAGAAGCAGACTCAGAAAGGGAGGCTGAGGATTACACAAGCCCGCCCAAAACAAGGCCAACAGCGGATAGAGCAAATGGAGGAATATATCCCACATAGACACTTCCAAGGACTCCAGAAAGTGGATATGAACCCCCACCTCGGAATGGGAAGAAGAACATAGACACAAAACTCCATCCACTTCAGCCCAACGACAGAAGGACAGGGAGGAATAAGGTACTCCAGGTCAACCTCGGCCACACGGTGCAGGAGGTTTGATAGGTGGCTGGTTAGGGATGGTTAGGTACACCATGGGTCTGTGAGAAGGTAATAAACCAGAGGACATCAACAAGACCTAATTCTTGTACAGTGTTCAATACAAGAATTAGCTGCACCCTAACCGGAACTATGTTCCGGCGACTTTGTTACAGTAATCCTAACAGCAAAGACTGCAGGCGGAGAAAGAGATGGCTAATTAACTCACCCTACTTCCCAAGAGAGGAACCGTGCCCACCCAAATTGCTGGATGACATCATGAGATAACTGGTGAAGGGTTAAACTTTGATAACATAGGCACAGAACCCACCTTCATCACCCAATATAGACAAGATGTCTTAGACATGACAATTACTTACTAAGGGGCTGACGAATACATCTTAAACTGGAATGAATCCAGGGAACCATCAAATTCTGATCACAGGCACATCAGATTTGATTTGAACACTCCCTCTCTCATAGAAACAACATTCAGGAACCACAGGAACACAAACTGGATACGTTACAAAACAACCCTCCAACAATCCCTGCAGGCGGTAAACAAGGAATTTAGAGACAGGGAAAATCATTTCTCAGGAGCAGAATAATCCAAGAAGAAATACTCCTTAAGCACTCAAAAGAAAAAAAAAGTAGGAGTTGGAAGCCAAGCCATAGAACCTAAAGCCATAAGCTGGGCACTTGAGAAGTTTATGTTCAGCCCATACAAGGTGCAGGAATAGATGGAATCTACCCAATGCTACTACAAAAAGGCCAATAGATTCTTGCCTTACTTAGTAATAATATTCAGAGCCTGCCTAGTGTTCCTAAAAGATGGCAAGAGATACAAGTGGTGTACATACCAAAAGTAGGAAGACCTATTGACTACAAGCCCAACTTGTACAGAGCTATCAATCTCACATCATTCATGTTAAAGACATTAGAGAAAACCACATTCGAGAGCCAGAAGAACAAATGACTCAGTGGCCGAAAATTCGCATACCAACCCAGGAGATCCACAGAGCCCTGGATAACCTGTGTAAATGCTTAACCAAGTCCATAAATGACGTGTAAATGAGAGGGAGCTTTTAACAATGCAACCACAGCCTCTTTATATAGAGCAATGATTAACAGGGGAGTCTCGGGAAAGATATGCCAATGGGAGGAAGAAGGCCTAAGGAACAGTATAATCACATCCACTTTAGGTGGTGCAACCATTCGGGCTAAGACAGCCAGGGGATGCCCACAACGGGGTGTTCTCTCACCTCTATTGTGGTTGACGCTGGTAGACAAACTCCTACAAATGCTGGAACAAGAAGGATTCTACTGCCTAGGCTATGCTGACCATAATAGTAAAGGGCTGCCATGCAGACATCATGGTGGATCATTTACGAGCCTTCAATCTGGTTGACAGGTGGTACAAAAGGAGGAGCTATCTATTAACCCCCACAAAACCAAAATGATTCCATTCGCAAGAAAGAGGACAATAGGAGGCCTAAATTCTCAAAGTCTAAACAGGACCTTGATCCCATTTTCCAAGGAGGCTAAATATCTAGAGATCACACTAGGTCAGAGGCTCAAATGGAATCCATATTTGACTAAAGCTACCCAATACAGACAGAAAAAACACTGTGCAGATACTTCCAGGAAGAGGATGAGACCGCTGAACACATTTTATGTTTCTGTGAAGGTCTATGAAGGTGCAGGTTCTTGCAACTAGGACAGAAAAAACCGCAAACAAGATCCTACACTAAGGAGCTGCTGGAAAAGCTATGGAGGCTGATTAACAACCTGAAGCTGGCTAGTGATTTATAAAAACCAGAGAAGCACAACTGATCTATTCAGGTCGAGGTGCAAAAAGCCTTGTGGCCACCTATTTATCCCAATTCCCTATCTCCTACCTGTTGGGTGTTGTGAAAGAGGGGTCAAATAACATTACAATACTTATTGGATATTATTATCCACAATTAAAAATCATGCCCCTTAACCACTCAACCACCTCCTCTTTCATTTTAATATAAAATTGTAATATTTAAGACTGATATTAATTATATCAAGTTAATTATTTTTCAAAAAGTAACCAATTTACATAATTTTTTTACAAATAATAGCGTTTAATCGTTTTGAAGTTTAAAGGGTAAGTGTGTTTCCTTTTTCACTTATCATTATCATTATGAAAGCGCTACAGTAATGTGATGTGAAATTAATTTGCCCTTGTCAGAAAAGTCAACATTTTCCTTAAATTATTCAGAAATCGTGAGATGTGGTCTGGTGTGATGTAAGTTTCAGAAAAACATTTTCTTTATCGTGCCAACGTTTCGATCTTTATTGAGATCATCTTCAGGGCTCAAAGTGTTTTTCTTCTGTGTAATTGTGCCATTCTTGCGTGTTGTGTTGGGCACTCTCAATAATTATCGATTAACGGTCACTAATCACCACACATTTCCGTTAAATTTTTTTTTAACTTTTTTTACTTTATATAAAATTGCGTTTTAAAAAGTATTACTATAGGAATAGGCCATGATTAATATAATAGTGAATCATTTTAAGAATTGCATATTTTTCAATTCTTTAATAAATACTTTGGTACGATCCATAACAAATGAAATCATCTAAGGAAACAGATAAAAAATGTGATCATCTAGTCACTTCATCATAAAAAAATAATAAAGGGCGTTTTATTTTAAACATGGTATTTTGAAGATTAATTTATCTTATTGAAATTTTTTGGTTTATGTGGACTATTGTTATTTTCATGCTTAAAAACATAATAATTCTACAGAATTTGACCATTACTAAAACATTACTTTAGCGTTTAAATAATCATTTCAAAATCTAAACATAGAAAAACAGTTGAAAAATTGAACAAGTTGTTAAACAAAAACGTAATTGCAAAAACTGAATTTATGCCTATTGCCTATTGAGAGGAGTGGTTAGAACATCTGAATTGTTTTGCGGTCATGGTTTGAATCCTGGTATAGCCCATAGATTTTTAATAGAGAATAGTATGAAACAATTATTGTAAAGTGGTTTGACCCTTTGTCTACAACACCCAGTTGGACCTCCTATATGACATGAATTACTTTAATTATTTTACTTACTTTACTATGTCTGTTGTTTTGTTAGTAATAAAACTTTTCTATATTTAAATTAACTTACCTTTAACTACCTCATTATTAAACACATAACTTTCATTAAACCCAAATATATATCCTTTTTTATACTGATAAACGCAAAGTGATGGTGGTGTCATATAATTATTTTCGTTAGCATATGAATAAGGGCCGATGGTTCCATTTATATTCTTATACTAAGAAACAAAAATTATTATTATATTTTTTGTTCAAAACATCAATCAATATCAATATTTGTTCTTACCCCGCTTAAAGCGTGATTAATAGCTTTGTAAAAATCAATTTGCTTATATATTGCTAGAGGTCCTATGCTAGGAGGGTACGAATAAACCTCTCGGACTGAATCCCATCCCATTAAAAACAGATTTGAAAATGTGATTCGATTATTCCAAGCATAATTGACATAATTGTATCTAGTATGTGCAAATAAAGAAATCTGAAAAAAAAGAAGATATATTTGTAAAATGTGTAAATAAAAAGAGGACTTGAATTAAAAAACATACTTGGATTGTAACTAATGCAATTTTTATAATCTGTACTAGGAACTTGTAAGGAAATCTCCTCTTAGTTTTCCATTTTTCAATGGGATTCATAAAGAAAAACTTTAGTTTCTTTCTCAGCTTAGCCTCATAACATTTAATGTCGAGGGGTTCATCTTCAATAGCAGAACTGCTGGGATTATCAAAGCCTCCCATTATATTGCTCTCTGCACCATCAGATAAAAGTACATTACCTACAATTTTATAATACAAGACAATGTGAGTAACCATAAAATTTGATTTTATTATAAAAGAATAACAAATAAAGTGCCAATGGCGTTCAATTATGCTCGCCTCTAAATAAATATTAACAACTAAATATGACTATACTCAATTTTTTGTTTCATTTATACTATAAGAATATAATTTTAACATTTCATTTATATATTTATTTATTTTTTTAACGAGGGTCAACTACTAGATTACACATTGAGAGGCAAAAAGTGGCCACCTTAATATTTTAATTATCTCATAGCCAATCCTTCATCCTTACAACAAAATTTGGTCCATTTTAAAGGATTAGAGGTAAATAAAACACAGAATCTCCCATTTCTGTTTACAATTGGATTTTGTAAATAAACCTTTGAATCTCTTCTTTGGTTTTTCTGCAAAGCTACTTTCTAACAACATTCCGGTAGTTTGATTTATCTAAGCTGTACCATTTTGTAGTCGCAAATTTGTTTGAGTGATGATTTTAAGTAATACTGATTCGGCTAGAATCATAGCATTATTGGAAAATGGAATAAGTCAAATGTATGTGATTGTACTTAGAATTCCCAGAAAAATTGTCCAAAGGGTCTTCCATCACTACGAGATACCGGATGTTACTAAAGAAGGCATGGATCAGTTCACCATCGTGTCATATCTCAGAGAAATAATCTTTTTACTGTTCTGAATGTACTCTGTAATTGACATTCTACCGATGTTGAAATCAAGCAACAACAAGTTAGAAATGTCAGTTTACGTACTGTAAAGCAAAGACTTTTAGAAGCTTGATTGTTAGTGAGAAGGCAAGTCACTGGTCAAGAAATTCTGACGGCACAATATTCAAAACCTCATAAAATCGATGCCACATCGAATGGAAGTAGAGGTCAACGTGAGGATGAAATACCCCTACTGAACAGAATATTTTCTTCACTGTTTCCATGCAACTTTTTGGATAAAATTGTTTTAATGGGTTTAATTTCTTTTTTAGCTATATCTTACATTTTTCCATTAAAATATTCAGTAAACAATAAAAAATAAAAATTATAATGATTACAAGTATTTACTTAAAAAAAAACTTTTTTTTGCCTCTTGTACGAACCCTTGGGGTGCCGGTGTTTTTTGAAAAATGTATGTCGGGGGACCTTCACCAAACAGTGATTAGCGCTGTGTCAAAGCCTAAACTGTTGCGACCACCAATGCCCCATTACTTCATATTGAAATGAAAATTCAGTAAAAAAATAAATATATCATACTTACATGTATACAGGAATAAATAAGTAAATAAAATTAAAAAAACGAACACAGAAAGTGAACAAATAATTTACACTAATATTATGAAAATGATTTTGCCTTGAAATCTAATGTGTTTTAATCTAATGCCACCACTCTTGAACATCCACTTTTGGCTATATTAGACACTGAAATATTTTATTTATTGAAAGAATTGATAAAGTAAGTTATCAAATGGATATACCATAAATAAACTTTCAAAGGTCTATGTACTGTGCAAATAAGTGAGTAAAACATTTTGCAATCACTTACTACAACAATAAATAATAGATAATGTAGAACTAGATATTTCCCGCACTGATGTAATTAAAATATGCAACCATGCACAAAATTATGAACTTAAATTTGATTCCAAAGCATATTGTGTTTTATAATCTTACTGCTATTCTAGTATTGTAGTTAGTACAGTTCAAATTGCGTTAGAAGCACCAAATTAACTGACTGATTAGAGGGAAAAAAGATAAGGTGATATTTTGTATATGAGGCCAAGCAAACAACGTAATTTGAATTTGATACTTACCCTCTTCCATTTTGTGTTTTTAATAGCATCTAAAGGGCTATAAAAGGATGGATTTCAGTCTATAGAAAATAGAAATACCACATTTTAACTCGTATATTGAATATTGTAGCTCCTAAAATCATTAAATACTTAAAATACATGTGCAATTTATTTATGCTAAGATCAAAAAGTTGGGTGCATCAAGTTCTAGATTGATTTAAATGTGAATGCCTCTAAATAATAAAATTCCAATAAGAACAACCAAATGCACCATCAACAGAAAGGTTACTCAACTGTTGGGTGGCCCTCGGAGGATCTGACTTATAGAAAAAGGGCCTTCGTCACCTGATTAAGAATAGGTCATGCTAGGCTGACGTACAGACACTTACTTTTGGGCCAAATGTATGTGTCCAGTATGTAAAGAATTGCTCGATGTGCCCCACTGAATCGGCCAGTGAGTTATAAATAACAGGGGAGCACAACAGATCTATTCAGGTCGAGGTGCAGTAGGCCTTGTGGCCACCTCTTTTATCCCTATCCCTATCCGATTGAATTGAAGGGTGGCATTCATTGACTCCATGTAGAGAGCGTGTAGGAATGCCACCCGATATAAGAATTGTGCTTGAGCACGACATTGAGTAATTGAGTCCCCTGTTCTGATTCTTGTAGGAAACAGGGTTGTTTTATTGTACATAGTAATGACAGTTTTCTGTAACTAGCGTGTGTTCAGAGTGAATATATTTATTAGCGTAAATGTGTTGTGTGAGAAAGCCAATAGTGGAATATTACTCCATTGACCCTCAATTACATTAGTTACATAATACGTGTACAGGGTAATGGAGGAATATCGAGTAAATAAGAGGCTGATTATATTGGGGGCTGAAATGACCTATCAATAATCCTTGGAGCCCAACGACGACAGCTGGATGGATAAGACCCAGGTCAGACCCTGACCACCTGGACCACCCGGGGTGGGTCTCACAGCCTTTCTTGTAAATTACAAAAGCTGGAAATTCCGGCAGACTGAGAGAAGTGATATGTTCAGCTCTGCATCAATGTGTATACAACCATATGCAGAGGTGGGCTTATATAAATCGGTAACAGAAAACTTACTATGATTCTTTATTACTTCAGGTTTCTACCAATGAACAAGCTGATGTTTCTAAGCATTTTTTGCTTATAGTTAACAAAATAAATTTGTACAACGTGAACATTGAATTGTTAACTAATAAAACAATAGTAACAAATTATTCCTACCTTAATGATTGAAAATGGGTTTGGTGGAGCAAATCAATAAGACAGGCCTTATCAGCACCAAAACTGACTTTTCCAAGGCCCAAGAAAAAGGGGGCTGAAATACTTGCTATTGTGCATTCCTACACATTCTCTATATGGAGCAAGGAATGGCACTCTTCAATTAAGTGGAGCATATTGAACAACCTTTCTCTACATGCTGGGCACATAAATTTGACCCAAAAGTGCCCACATATCAACTATGTACGGCCTATTTTTAATCAGGTGAGGATGACCCTTTACCTAAGAGTCAGATCCTCCAATTGCCAGTGTTCTTGATAAGTAAGAGCTTCTCTGCCGAGCCAGCAAACGTTGCCACTTTATTTTAATCATGTTTTTTTTATTGCACTTTTAGCGTCAAGAGGGCTGGATTGCGGTGGTCATGTCCAAATGTTGGGACATGATTTTCGTTACCCTCCAGACCTTGGACGTATTCATTCTAGTTAGACAAACCCTGACCACTAGTCAATTTAATGTGCAATAATAAAACAAAAAGTTTGCAAGCAAGTCATACACAATTTACTAAACAACATAGCCTTCAATGAAAATAAAATATTGAAAAATTGCAGACTGCCAAAACTGAACGTACCCAGAAGGGATTTTACATGAAATTTAATCATAATTTCTCAAGGGTGCCATTCATGTTATTTTTTTTCAATTAGTAGACAAACAGTATTATCAGTGTTTATCATTCTAACATAAAAAAACGATAAAGCTGCCATCGAGACCCAACAAATAATAACGTTTTTATTAACATATACAGTAAGAAAAATACATTATTTCATTATCATTTATTTTCCCCAGGCATACAGTCATTTAGGACTGCTTGAGACCCCAATACACAATGATTAAATAAAAATAACAATTACCTTATGACCTGAAAGGGCGTTCAACATGAGAGAACATTTATTCCATTAAATGACATCAAATTAATTATGTAAACATAAAAAAAGCCAGTATCGACCATCGGATTGGTCTGACACTGAACAGAAAACACCGAAGTCTCTAACAGAAATACGAAAATTAAATTATCACTCTCTTAACAGGGATGTACCTCATTTGTCATGCCGTCTTGTCTCAACATGTCACAAAACGTCATTCAATGGGAATAACATTTTAAAAGAATAACTGATAATATTTCTGGTATTAGATGATAATTATCGATGGAATTTGCCAGGTAACTTTATTAAGTTGGATAAAAAATTAAAATTAAAAGTTAAAGTTTCGACAAAAATTTGAACCTTTGGCAAGGATGCAGAAATATAAATTGACATTTTTCCAAACTAGGAGCATAATGTAAAAGAACTAGCTAATTTTTGCTATAAAAGTTACTTTTAAAAAAATTGAATTACTTTCTCAATTTGATTATATTAATAATTTTTCAGTAACTGTAAGCAATATATTTCAATAGTAAATAGCAAACATTTTAATAGCAGGTTCATTCATTGACTACTTTTCTTGCATATTTTCTTTTAATTCATCGGTTCCCAAACTTTATATATTACCGGCACCCTTTATATATCAGTATTTTTCTGTGGCTCCCCAAGTCAAAACGATGGTCTATCTCAGCATGGACTTCATGGTAATAGTAGTAATTCATTTCCAATTATGGAAAAAGCATTGATATATCTAAACCTCTTATTTTGTCTGCAAATTTATTTAAAAAATAATCAAAACTTCTGTCTTTCTTGTGAAATTGAAAAACTTGCCTTTTGAAAAGCAATTACACACTTAATAGCAAAAATATAAAAACAGATACTTTTTTTGCGCAATAATATAAAATGCACAATTGCAGCTGTCTAGTTAACATCCATATTGAGATTGGATGGCCACCAGGGTCTTAGTTTTTAGGGTTTTATGATAACAGGGGGGGGGTGAGATTAGTTTTTTTATATGAATGTAAAAATAATATTTTTTTATACAATTTTTGCAGCGCCTCGAGGAGCCGCAGCGCACAATTTGAGAATCATTGTTCTAACATGTTAATTCTAACATTTACATTATGATGGTAAAGATTGGATGTGTTGGGTGTTGGATGGCTCGGCTGAACACCAAAGTTCCACTTCATATGTCCAAAGTGGTCGCAGTAGTCTTGTAAAAAGTTAGTTTAATTTTGCCGGTCAAGACATTGGTCCCAGAAGTCTTTGTAGTTATTCAAGTTCAGTTGTCTCTTAAGTTTTGCATGGGGACTCCACATCAGTCTGCTGTCTAGTTACAGTTCTAAGTGTATGACTTGAATAGAAGTCAATATCTCTTTGTTGTTGATGTGCAGTAGAGAGCAATACTGTTTTTTCAATGTGAATGTTCACTGACTACATTTTTCTTCATTAAGTCTTGTCACTTTCTGCACCAGTTTTCGATAAGCTCAGGGTGTTCTTGGGTGTTGGAAGTAGCTTCGATAGCGTTAGAGTCAGAGGACAACATTGCAGTATCGTCCATGTGTGAGCTGATGATGGTATTGGGGTGTGTAGGCTCGCAGTAGATGATATAAAGGATGGGACCAAGACTGTTTCCTTGTGGGAGACTGGCTTGAATCGATCTGATTTCTGAGAATTTGTCACCATATCTCACTCTGAAGCAGTGGTCAATCAAATGGGGTTTTACTACAAGATAAGGAGTGGGTAAGAAACGTTTAAGTTTATAAAGCATGCCAGATCCTATTAATAGCCTGTGCTACTTCTAGGAAACACACCCAAGCAATACTTTTTTTAGAGCAAAAAGCAGCACTCTTGTCTCCTGTCATAATGAATAAAACACAAGATAAAATAAAAATATTTATTAAAAAGCAATATATAAAATGACATTTTGAAGAAAATAACTTTTTAACTCAAACAAATTATCAATGTGTTCCTTTTCAAAAATTATTGCTTTGTACACACAAAATTGTTCTTTTTTAATGGTGTAGTGTTTAATACATTAGTCATGCCATAGTATGTTGATAAACAGAATTGTTTGGAGGAGGGAGAGGGGTCAGAAATTCCAGGGTGAAGGTGGAAATCGAATCCATTACACCTTTGCCACTCTGCTACTGCCTCCCCCGCCCTCAACCAAATCAGCTTTCTAGCTGTAATACTCATGGAACATTAACAAATACAGTTAGCAGAATGCAAAGTTTTTGGCACATGCATACAGAAAAAAGTATATGTATTTATGTTACCCATGCATTTTTTTAAGAAAAAATCTTTTTGTTTTTCTCAAACATTTATTTTCACCTACGTGTACAGGTAACAAAACAAGTCATGGAATGAAAACAATAACAGAAATCAACTCTAATCAAATAAGCATTTTGGTCAGGTCTACTTATGCCCATAACTATTTACAACCTCTATTAAAGAATATAATAAAATGAATTGATGGTAGGACATTGTACATTGTCACCCAACAGTAAATGAAATTACACTACACTCATGTTGAGGTTCTATGATGAGGTGTGTACCCAATTCTTTCCTCCAATCTTACTGGGTTTGGCAATGTGAACTTATAGGACCATTGAGGTGGATCGTTATCTTGAATTTCCTTGCAACTTTTCTTCATTTTGGCATGATACAACTTTATGTACTCTTGTAAATCTTCCGATTTAAGTTCAATTCGTGTTGGAGTCCTTCTGATCATTGTATCTCTTGTCAGCTAAGAAAAATAAATGCCTCAAATGAAAGTAGATAGTGAAAGGCGGAAAAGTGCTTAAAAAATATTACAAAATCCTAGAGTAGTTTTTTATTTTCAAACAAAATTTTTTAGTCATGTAAACATCCCATTGCACTTGATGGTTAATTGTCATCTAGATTAAATATTTTACTTCAGTTTATTTTATCTTACAATATACAAAACTTAGTAGTCACGCCAGCATTTCCATACAAAGTCAGAGTGGGAACACATTCCATAAGTAATTAGAAAAGTAAAAAAAGGTCATTTTTCACAGTGGTAAAGTAAGTAAAAAATAATATATACACACATTTTAGATTTGCGATTCATTTTAATAAGGTAATTATTATTTTACAACAAAAATTATTTCACTAATTTAAATTTCAGATTACACAAAAAGAAATAGTTGGAGAAGCCCACTGTGTTAAATATTTTAATATTTCATTTTAAATTTAAATTACATACCTATTTAAAATATAAGTATAAACTTTCCCTCTTTGTAGTCTTGATCCTCGTTAAATTGACTCTAAATCTCATTTAGGGAATTTCTTTTTTTATTTTACCTAGTGTACCTGAAACAATAATCATCCTTATAATTTTAACACTGATTTCACTGTTGTGTAGAAAGAAAAAAAATCTTAGTGGTGGTACAAATCTGTGTGTACCATAGTTGGTGTATCAAATTTAAGAAAATATATTTTCTCAGCTTTCCTAGCCAAAAACAACTAATTGGGAAACTAACAACACTGTTGATAGTGATGGTTAAGGTGTTGACACATCTCATCAGGGTTTTGGGTTTGATTCTCAGCGGTTCTACATTCGAACCAAACTTCAAATGGGCTTTTTTTTAACACAGGCAACACCTGGGGTTGATATGACCCCTGGGAGAACTCAACGTTAAATTTTTTTTAAAGAGAATCAGTGTTAATGATCACAGTGTTAACAGCCAAGTAAACAGCACACTCATTAAAGTGCAGAAATTCAACTGACCAACGGCATTTCTCTTTGTAGTTTGCTTTAAATGAGGAAATCTCATGATGTCCTTACGATTTTTGAAGCTATATTTTATTTATAAAAGCTATAATGGCTGTCAGATAATATAGACAACAATATGCAACAGTTAATGCTTATGTTTAGAAACCGTCAATGCTTCAATTGGCCATTATTCTGGGTTTGCTCTATTTTTGTTAGAAATTTGAATGGATAGTCTAATGGTATAATTATAAAATGGTCTAATTTATAAACTAGTTTTGCAAACATTGCAAAGTGCATGCTACTTGTGGCCTCAATAGCAAATTTTCACTTAGAACTAACATGTATTTGCTAAAGATTTCTGTAAAAGAATTACAATGTGATAATTCAGAGTAAATGAACAAAAAAATACCCACTTTATGGCTACTAATTTTTAATTATAGTACTAGTATAATTACATGTCAGCACAGTTGCCTACATAAAGTGGTAGCAATGTTGCCAAAAAACAAATGGTAAACACCACGTTTTTAATGCTATAAGTCAAATATTAATCTTTATGCCTGGTTGTATGTGAATAAATGCAATTGTTTTTAAATGTATGTAGTTTACTTTCAAGTTTTTTAAGTTTGAAAATTTGAGTTGTATTTTATTAGAATGTATAGTTTTTTCTCCTTATTGCACATCGGAAGATTCTTTTAAGACTTTTTTCATGTAGAAATCACGTGAAAGTTTGTAACACAGCATAGATGGAATGAAAGGCACCAAGTAAAAATAAAGAATGTGACAAATTGTATTTTTAAATTTGGTTGGTCTGCAAGACCTACCTTATGGTAAAATTTCAAATCTCAATGGCGTCAACTTCACAATTACAATTTCAACATTAGTTTCCTAATTTTTTTTTAAACGTTTTACTTTTTGTCTAGTAATTTGCAATTATAGTACTAGTACAATATTACACGTCAGCATAGTTGCCTACATAACGTGGTACCTATATTACCAAAAAACAAATGTTAAACAAGTTTTTAATGCTGTGTTTATGTTGTAAGTCAACTATTAATCTTTATGCCTGGTTATTATGGAAAAAATAAATAAATGCAATTATCTGGTTTTTGTTTTTGAATGTATTTAGTTTAACTTCAATTTTTTTTACTCTTCTTTTCCGGTTGTATTTTATTAGAATGTATACATTTTTCTCTTCTTCTAGAGCGTCGGAATATTCACTCAATTAAGACTTTTGTCATGTAGGAATCACATAAAATTTTGTAACACAGCATAGATTGAATGAAAGGCACCATGAAAAAATAAAGAATTGTGACAAATTGTATTTTTCAATTTTGTTGGTTTACCGTAGTACTCTGCAAGACCTACCATATGGCAAAATTTCATGGTGTCAACTTGACAATTACAATATCAACATTAGTACCCTCATTTTTTCTGTTTTACTTTATGACTACTAATTTTTAATTATAGTGCTAGTGTAATTACATGTCAGCACAGTAGCCTACATAAAGTGGTAGCAATGTTAGTAAAAAACAAATGGTAAACAAGTTTTTAATGCTGTGTTTATGTTGTAAGTCAACTATTAATCTTTATGCCTGGTTATTATGGAAAAAAATAAATAAATGCAATTATCTAGTTTTTGTTTTTGAATGTACGTAGTTTAACTTCATTTTTTTACTCTTCTTTTCCGGCTGTTTTCTTTTTAAATTTTAAGACTTTTTTCACGTAGGAATGACATGAATTTTTGTAACATAGCATAAACGTTATAAAAAGCGACTGATCTGCAGACAGCACCATAAAATTGTCATTCAGTGAAAGTTGGTCAGCACATCTACCAGCATACACTCGTCAAGTAATGAGTTGGGTCAGCATATCAAAAAGGTCGTTTTTCGGATTGTTTTAACATAATTTCAATTTGGTGCGTTTTGCGAGCGGTAGTACATAAAAAAAAAAATCAGTGTAACATTCAAGAATGGATTTTCAACGTTTTTTTTGTAATATTACAATTATAAAGGAAGGAAAAACGGGACGTTTGTACCTACATTTTTCAGCATTTACTAAAAAAAATGCTGCTGAGTGCTGACTGCGGCGAAGTTTTGTTTGTTATTCTGCGGCTAGGTGAAACCTACACGGCTGACGAACGTCATGCTTTCACAATTGACTACCCAATAAATTATTCCTGAATTGTAAATTTATTAAAACAACGGAACACACAAAGTTAAAACTAATTAAAATGTAAACGTAAAGTTTGTCCTAGGACTTGGAAAGTTATTTATTGGGAAAAGCGGAGCGTTGAAAATTCCAGGGGCGATGTTGGGAATCGAACCCACGACCGCGGGGTCTACGAGCCGAGAGTCTAGATGTAGAATATTCGGGAGAGCAAAAAGAGAAAATGATAGTCTTCTTTTACAAAGTTATTACACATCGGGTATGGGTCAGATGGTTCATTGCAATGGAGTATGCTCAATATGAGCATTTCTCATTTTCTTTGCTTTTCTTATTTTAATAATCCAATTTCAGTTACATCTGGAGTTCCCCAGGGATCACATTTAGGTCCTTTATTATTTTTAATCTTTATAAATGGCCTTAAGACTTTCTTTCTCCTACACCATTTCTATTACATGCCGATGATTAAAATTTTCCTCTATAAAATCAACACAGACTCTCTTTTCTTACAGCAATCTATCAATAAACTTAGTTCATGTTGTCAAAGTATTTAAATTTAAATGAAGCTAAATGCTCAGTAATTTCCTTTAATCATTCTTCCAACACCAATCTTTGTAATTATTCGCTCAATAATACTAATCAGAGTATCCTGTGTCAAAGACTTGGTTCTCTTGATTGATCCTTGAATTTAAGGAACATAATATTAGCGTTATTAAAAAAGCTCTTAAAATTTAATCATAATCATTAGTCATAATCCTAATTCAGGCTCCATACAGAGGCAGGAATGCCACCCGATTTGAAAATTGGGCTTGAGCACGGCAGCGAGAGTCCCCTGATCTGATTCTCGGAGGAAATGGGGTTGTTATATTATATAAAGTAATAATAATTGTGTACATGTAGTGTCAAGAGTGAATGTATCTATTAGGGTGAATGTGTGATGTGAGAGGATTGATGATGAAATATCAAGTACCCCATCGACCCTCAATTAGGTTAATTGTATAATATGAGTAAAGTTTGTGTTGATAGTGAATGTATTTATTAGCGTGAATGTGTGACGTGCAAGGGTTATCTTGTTTGATAGCAAGTTGGAATTTAATGAGCATATTGGGGGTGTTGGGGGCCACAACGGTTTAGGCGTTGTTATATTGTATGTAGTAATAATAGTTGTGTATACTTAGTTTGTGTTGATAGTGAATGTATTAGTGTGAATGTGCGATGTGAGAGGTTTATCTTGTTTGATAGCAATTAGAATTTAAGGAGAATATTATTAGTTTTTTATTTAGAAATCGTGAGATGCGGTCTGGTGTGATGTAGGTTTCAGAAAAACATTTTCTTTATTGTGCCAACGTTTCGATCTTTATTGAGATCATCTTCAGGGCCTGGGATTTACAAACATTGTTTACATATAACAATTACATTTTGGATGTGGAAAAGTGAATTTATACAATGCAAAATATATTTTTTTATATATTCAATCAAAGTATTTCTACTCACTCAAAGTGTTTTTCTTCTGTGTAATTGTGCCATGACACGACACGCAAGAATGGTATAATTACACAGAAGAAAAACACTTTGAGTGAGTAGAAAAAGTTTGATTGAATATATAAAAAAATATATTTTGCATTGTATAAATTCACTTTTCCACATCCAAAATGTAATTGTTATATGTAAACAATGTTTGTAAATCCCAGGCCCTGAAGATGATCTCAATAAAGATCAAAACGTTGGCACGATAAAGAAAATGTTTTTCTGAAACCTACATCACACCAGACCGCATCTTACGATTTCTAAATAAATATCGATTAACGGTCACTAATCACCACATTATTAGTTTTAATAAAAAAGGCTCTTAAAATTCTCGGTTTTGTTATAAGAAACACTCGTAACTTTCATAATCCCAATTCCTTCTCATTTTGAATTTTTAGATAAAGTTCAAAATAAATTCATTATAATCCTTCATTTTCGATTTCCTCTTTTCATCCTCAAAACTGTATTTTTTTTTCTCTGTAATCTTCCACCACTAGCTGAAAGAAGGCATTTTTTTGATCTATTATTTTTTTACAATATAATTAATGAACGACTAAATTGTACTAGTCCAATACATGCTACCAGGCATTCATTTGTTTAGTGTACCCTTTTGTAAAACAAATTACATACATATTTTATTCACCGATGAATAGAATGATGAGAGAAGGAAATAAGTTATGTCCAAATATTGATTTTGTCACCTAGATTTTAATACATTTAAACATAAATTAAAGGCAATAGTTTTATAGATTCTTTTGAAATATAGTTCTATTATATAAAATTTAATTAATCTATTATTTAAAAAATTATATATTATTATATAAAATCAATATAGTTTATTCTTTATTATTATTAATACTTTTTAAAATTGTTTTATGAGGGTTTGCAACAGCAGAGGTCATATCAACCCTCAGGGTGCCAGTGTTAAAAAAAAAGAAGCCATTTGTACGTATGTCGGGTTTGAATGCAGGGCCACTGGATTTGAACCTGGGACCTTTACCTTACAATGATGAGCGCCGTGTCAACACCTAAACCGTTGCGGCTACCGACGCCTCCTTGTGATTTATATTCTTTGTAAAAGGATCTTTGATCTGTATTTATATATAAATAAATAAATCATCTCTTAAAGTCCAGGCTGCGGGGCGTCGGTGGCCGCAACGGTTTAGGCATTGACACGGCGCTCATCACTGTAAGGCAAAGGTCCCGGGTTCGAATCCAGCGGCCCTGCATTCGAATCCGACATACTTACAAATGGGCTTTTTTTCAAAAACACCGGCACCCTGAGGGTTGATATAACCTCTGCTGTTGTGAACCCTCGTAAAAAAAAAAGTCCAGGCTGAGATTGCTATGTAGATAGTTCTTAACCCTCTAGCTCAAAATTTAGTTACTTTCATATTAAATACTAATGGCTATTAACTAATTTCTTCAATTTGAACTTCTAACTTTTTCCAGAAAATTATTTTTATATTTGTGCTTTAATGCATCTATTAATAATTTTAATATTGAGCAGTTTGACAAATTTTTTATGTTAAGAGTAACTATTCAGAAATCGTGAGATGCGGTCTGGTGTGATGTAGGTTTCAGAAAAACATTTTCTTTATCGTGCCAACATTTAGATCTTTATTGAGATCATCTTCAGGGCCTACTTTGATTGAATATAAAAAATATATTTTGCATTGTATAAATTCACTTTTCCACAGCCTACATGTATTTGTTAAATGTAAACAATGTTTGTAAATCCCAGGCCCTGAAGATGATCTCAATAAAGATCGAAACGTTGGCACGATAAAGAAAATGTTTTTCTGAAACCTACATCACACCAGACCGCATCTCACGATTTCTGAATAATTTTCGATTATGGGTCACTAATCACCACACGTTAAGAGTAACATTTATTACATTTGAATTATTAATATTTGTCCATTCTCTGAACCAGTATCATTTTTCCTTAACAATTTCTTTAGCAAGACTATTTTGATATCTATGTTCGGGCATTTTTGCCATCTGCCACCCCACCGTACCTTAGGGAGACCCTATACTGATGGACCGCACCAATTAACTTAGATTTTGTTTTCAAGACAGTAGAAGTAATTACCTTAAATCCTTCCTTAGGCCTTTCCTGGTTAAAGGCGAGGCTAAAGGAAGTCAAGGTTTTTTTTCTTTAAAATTCTTATATCCAAATAGTACCCTAATGAGCCTCCCCTTGCTAGACACTAGCCTGGATTGAAGTTAATTGTGCACGTGTTCTGTGTATATACAATAAATAAATACAAACATAGATAAATAACAAAATAGATAACCATACTAGTTCTAACACATCCTAGATTTAGTAGTTCTGCCATTAGTTTCTATTTTGCATGGACTTGTGCTGCATTCTTGTTGAACAGAGGACTTGGAAGGATCCACGTTTTTGGAAGTTTGGTGTGCCAAAAAGGGATCATTGAATTTTCCTTGGCCAATTTATTATGAGCAGAAAGCATCTCCTATAAGCCAACAAAGTGTATCTAATTTAAACATTCAAGTCCACCATACTTGTTAAAATGAACTGAAATCAAATTTCACCAGGTGGTAAATTTATTGCAAATTCAATCAAATTAAAATTAAGCAACATTCAAGTTGGCAGGTCCTTAGTGGAATATCAAGTACTCTGTGACCCGCCAAATTTAGGTTAGGCCACAATATATGTACGTACATGTGTACATGAATTGCAGAGCCTTTTTTTGGCGTCAAGGGCCAATTAAAAATGATAATAAAGTCCCTGAAGCTCAATCAGAAATGTAAGATTTGTAAGCCTTTCTACTGAAGAGCCAAATTTTGTTAATCAAAAAATGAAAGCATGAGGTTGCTGATGTGGCGACTAAACACGATTTAGAAGACGTTCGTAAAGATATAACTGCTCAAATATACAAAGTTAAAATCTTATTTGCTGAGATCGGTGATGTCCATAAGGACATTGCTCAGATAAATAAGTGACTAGATTTTTTAGAAATGCATTTTGACAGACTGGAACAAAAATTTGACAATGTATAACAGTTTTTTTGGCTGTTATTCTTGGTTTAATGTTTAAAGAAACAATTCCTAAATTGTGGGGGACTTAACTGCACTTTGTCACGTGCAAAAATCTCAATGTGTTTCACATCACCGTAGAGCTTTTTTAATCGGTAATGGACTTGTTTGGGTTTTTGGCTATATTCCCCAAGACAGAAGTAGATAACTTGTTTTTGATAGAAGCCTCCTTGTGGTTCTTTTCCCCTGATAGCAAGCAAACACCTGTAATGACAAATGATGTAATGTGTCTCGCATTTCATTATAAATCTGAATTAACTGATTAGCTTCCTCTGTAGGCATTAAAGCATATTTAGCTAACATGTTGAAAATACGCTCATTATCTGACCAGAGCGCAGTAATGCTACATTGTCTGAGCAATACATAACGTAATACCAGATATTGAGCAATAAATTCAATGTCAGTGATGCCAGTGCCGGAAATTGCCATGGCTTGAATTAATTCCTTATGAACACATTAAGGGGAAAACGTGTTACATATTACAAGAACATGATTGAAGTAAGAAATTTTAGGGAAAGGATAAACAGTAACTTTCTTAAAAAAATGTACCATATTTTAAAAAATTGTTTTTAATATAAAATATATACATTTTTACAATATCTTATATATTTTATTTTGTTTATAAATGGTATATGTTACACTCTTTACATAATTACTATACAAAGAATACTCCATGAGCAATTTGTTCTTAATTCCAATTCAATTTAACTATTAGGAAACAACTGGCATTTGTAGCAAAAGTATAAATAAGTTACTTTTCCAATTTTTAACAATATGGCAAGAATATTACTACAACTATGTCTAATATAAATAATTAAATAATAACATATTAACACAAAAATAAATAAAAACAACAAATTTACAATTTTATAAATTATTAATGACTAAAGAAATATGATATGTCTATTTAAGTATATGAGGGAATTATCTTGAGTAATACTTTGATATAATCAGAAATTTTGTTGAATAAGATAAATATGGTTCTCTGGCTTTTTATAGTTTTGTTTCGAGACAAATGATTCTATAAGTGTCACGGTTCTGTATTTATAATTTATTTGTAAATGAAAAAGATCGCTGAGCTGATTCTGCTCGAATATACTATCTAAATTTTACACAATTGATGCCTTTTTCTTAATTCTGCTCCTTAATTCAAACAGATTATTAAAATTGTTTATAATTTTAATACAAATAAAAATTAAATGACATTCACATTGTGAAATATATAAAAGGCTGACATGGTGGAATGTTTTATTTACTTTGGTACCTAACATTAAACCAACCAAACCACAGCCATTTGGGAATTCTATAATTTAAATAAATTAACATTTTATTTCCAACTTCCACAAGGAACTGCTTATTTTAATAACTAGGAATGACAGTCTGCCAGTTATATTAATGCCTAACATGAGTAAAGTCTGGTAATGTTAACAATGATAGTTTGAATACGTGCATGATTTAAATCATGCCAATTTGACTAAAGGTAAGAGTAGGATGAGCTCTGCGCTGTTGGGTTGTAACACACTAAATCTAAGGTAACCAGGTACATTATAATTCTTCATTCATCCTAAAAAAGAAAGTTTGTTTTAATTTGATTTATAATTTTTACATAAAGTATGGTTGAGATGAAAAATTAGCGTCATAAGCGGGTATCGAACCCATGACCTCCAGCTCTATAACACAATTTTTCATCTTAACCATACCTTACATAAAAATTACAAATCAATTTAAATCATTACTTTGATTAAATAGGTCCTACTAAAAACATTCATTTTAATGTTCAATGGTTAACAAAAACGTTTACATTTGCTACAAGTAACTTGTAGATGCAACATATTTTTATACAATCAATTTTGTTTTGAGAAAACAAATTGTACTGTTAACTTCATGTTAGCATTAAGAAAGTAAGAAAAAAAAATTTTTTTGGTCACCACAGAAGTTACATTTGTTTTTACTTTAGCTTTAGTTAATATCTTGCATATGGTATTCACAAATAGTAACTATACACTTACTTAAAATATTTATATTCGATTTCCTATGTCAGAATCCGAACTTGAACTAGAATCTTTACTCGTCCGTCGACTTCGCCGTGTTTTACAACTATCTACTGTACCTGTAAAAAACGTTTAATTGGATTTTTATCGATTTTTTTAAGCTTTTGTTTTATTAATTGCACCATGTTGATTTAAAATAAACCTACCGATTGGAGTATGAACTTCAACTTTCAGTTTTGCAGTTGCGGTTACTTTGGTTGTAATGTGAGGGGTAGATTGTGGTTGTGGATCGGAGTGTTGGCTCCAAGAATGCTGACCACACGAAGATTTATTGCTTCCACCATTGCCATTCTGTAAATTGTAATTTTTTAAAATAGAAATTAAATGTCATTTGTTAACTGTGCTGTATTAAATGTTTGTGTATTCATGCATGCACGAACAATTATGCTTACATGAGGATGAGTACATGTGGTTGTTTCAACAACAAACTCAGGCTCAACTATAATTTCATGTGTAGTAGAATGCCAGGATGCTTCTTCAGTAATTGTCGTTAAAGAAGGTTCCCTATGACACTGACCACCACTTGTCGCTCTTCTTGGCGGGGCTGCACTATTCCTATATGATACTGGCCTGACCTTACGAAGAGGTTCAGGGGACGGTGTAGAAATTCTATTTTCATGAGTAAACGGTCTAACCTAAAATCAATGGACATTACACATCAAATAATTAAATATAATAAATAATTAAATATATTTAAATGTTTAAATTACTTCTGCTTCTGGTCCTATGAGAGACAACAATGTAGGGAGAAAGACAAGACCATTGATTAAACCAACTCCAACTGATGCCAATAATATATAAAAGAAATATCTACAATATCAAAAATAAATAAATAACTTAAAAAATATATAAATAAATTAATTTAAAAAAAAATTTAAGAGGGTATTTTACTTGAACCCTCGGGGCGTTGGTGTTCTTTTTAAAAAAAAGCCCATTTGTAAGTATGTCGGGTTCAAATTCAAGGCGGCTGAATTCGAACCTTGGACCTTTACCTTACAGTGATGAGCGCCATGTCAATGCCTTAACCATTGTAGCCACCGATGCCCCCCATACTTAAATATTTTACAATTCATCTGAACATTAATACTGACCTCACGATGAAGTCAAATTCAGAAAATGCTAACATGACTATCGCAAGAAGCATCGTTAGTGCACCGTGCACAATTGGAGAGAACATATGTTTCACAGCCATTATAGATCTTCTTTCCCGGTTGCCAATTGAAGTTACAAAACTCTAAAATGAAAACAATTCTATATATTTATACCATGTATTATCTTCAAATGTATTATCATCCATGCAACTATGTTTAGTAAAGTTTTTAATGTTTATTATTTTTGTGAAAGACACTTTATTCTGGGAAGTATAGGTATTGTTTGAACATTGAAACAGCCAGGTCCTGATATAATGTACCTGTACTGAAGAGGTTCAAGTAAAGTGTTGAAAACGTTAATGAAAATAAAAAAGAATTATTTACAACGACCTGGTCGTTTCTGATTACTGATTAATATAAGCCCAACTCTGCACACAGATGTATAAACATACACATGGGTGCAGAGCTGAGCCTATCACATCTTGCAGTCCACTGGCAATTCTAGTTTTGGTAATTTACAATAAATTACCAGCAGTGTTGACAGTCTGGGGTCAGACTTATCTGTTTAGCCACCAAAGTTTGGCACGAGGGGTTACCAACAGCTAGGCGGTAATTTCAACCCCCAACACAATCAATTCCTAAATCCAAACCCATTCACTCTTTCACTCGCTCTTAATTACATTCTTTCTTATTTACATAATATCAATAATGGTTGTGGAGTACTTGATATTTTTCCATCCCCCTTTTCACCTATATAGCCAACCTTAGAGGGTCAATATTCTGCCATCAACCCTCTCACACTACACATTCATGCTAATAAATACATTCACTCTCAATGCACTAGGGGACACAAAAATATCAGTGCTTTATATAATGAAGCAACCAAGTTTCATTCAAGAATCGGAACAGGGAGTCAGATACTCGATTATGTGCTCAAGCACAATACATCGGGTGGCATTCCTAGATCTTTATGGAGCCAAGGAAAAAAAATGAAGTACATCCTTTCTCCTTTCTCTACATGCTGGACACATATGCAGACTTGGTCCCAAAAGTAAGTGTCTGTATGTCAACCTCACATGGCCTATCCTTAATCAGGTAAGGATGACCCTTTTTCTTCCAAGAACCACCTATTGACAGTGTTCTTCAAATCGTTAAAGGAAATAAAAAATAATTCACAACCTGACTGTTTCAATGTTCAAAACTACTTATACCTCCCAGAATAAATTTAAAAAAGTAGTAAATAATAAAATGATGTAAACACATGATTATTATTGTGTGTATACCATCTTCAACAAACTTAAAGGTTTACTAGACAAAATAAATTATAAATAATTTTATCTCAAAACTAAAATTATCTAAGTAGCAGGGAGCTTTGAATTTAAAATGTAAAAGTTACTACTTGAAAGTGGTTATTAAAATATTTACAGCTAGGATACTTCTAATTATTTTCTTAAGTTAACTGCAAATTATTAAGAACAAATATTCTTTAAAATTCACTCTACGAAAAGTAAAAATATAATAAACTAATTAACTTACAAGACAAAGGTGTACAGTAAAATGAACGCCAAGTCCAACCGCTATTATTAAGAGTACTGCAGGTATTGCGCTCAATTTGATTCCAAGTGCACCCATAATTCCAAGGAGTTGAAGTATCATCCCAGCCAGCATAAAAACTATCAATGCAGCAGTCCAAGGATTGACCAGCAATACGGAAATAACAATAAATACTGATGTCAAAGCACATAAAAGTGCTAAGCCTAATGATTGTCTCAAATGAATATATTGCTCCCAAAACAGAAATGGAATTCCTGACGGGAAATTAGGCACACCACGCTCTTCAAATTTTTGGCATATTTCTCTCACTTGTGTGACCGCTTTTGTTATAGCAGCAGTGTCCTTTAAACCGTGCAAATAAAACGGCAATTGTGTGTATTTCAATGGAGCACTTTTGGGAATTTTTAAATCAAAGTCTGTTGCTACATGGTGCCATTCCCTTGGGTTGGGATAAAGATTAGCAGCAGAAGCTCCATAAGCTAAAGCGTCATTCGTCGCCCAAGCTGATAAATAGTTATAAAAAGCTTTCGGATTGATGATTCCTTCAGAGTCGACTAATTTCACTTGGGTAATTAGGGACTTATCTATTGGATTATCTACATGCCCAGTTTGGACAAGAAGTTTATAAGCTAGTATTCCTTCATCTGAAGCATTCGAATACCATCGTTCCTGTGTAATTTTCCCATTTTTCCAATCTCGATCAAAAGCCAATTGTAATTCTAAAAATATTAAAATGTGCATTACTAATTTATACAATTCAATATTAACAACTACATTTTGAATTGGGATAATCTTACCTATTAACCAATCTCGAAACATGCTCAACCAAAATGGCGGAAGCCCTCCATTATCATTTTTAACTATACTCTCCACACGCATGAAAGCTTCATGATATTCATATAGAAGCTTCTGGTTAGTGGGATATTCGAAATCTCGATGTGAAACAGCATACATATTGTAAAATCCAAAATATTTGGTCTGAGCATTAAGGAATTCGTGCTCATTTGTATCCTGAGGTACAATATCTTTAAGGTCCAGCCCATCCGTGATCCTTAGTAATCCCCAGACACTTATTATCAATACAACAATGAACAATATTGTGGAAATGATTTTGATCTGAGGCTTCATGATGAATTTAGAGTAACATGATCCAATTGTTGACAACGACAGATTTCCATCAAACAGTAGTTCACATATTTCACCATTGCTTTCCGTCTTGTTTGGTTTTTCTTCATTTTGACTGCTTACTTTACAAGTTTTCTACAAAATTAAACATACAATTAAGAAATCATTTTTGACGTAGTTATTAAGGCAAAAGAAAAATATCTAGTCCTACCTTAGGTGCCAACATTGTCACAGTTTGCTGACGATCTGGAGGAAGTGCGCGAGTAATAGCTTGCTGTTTGCAAGCTGGCCCTTTAGTTTTTTGGGTGCACGTACCAGCATAATTTTGTGGTGGCAAGCAACAACAGAGCATGTCATATCTCCCAGAGCCTCTACGCCTCAAATCAAGACTTACAATCGCTGGGAAAACAAGCAGTGCAGACGCTAAATTAAATAGTACAAGCACTGCAGACTGTAAAGAAAAGACTCGAAGAGCTGGAATTGGTATTAAAGCAGCGGCAAACATGGCACACATGTTGCTCAATGATGTCAGTAGAACACTAAGGCCAGTTTTCTTAAGTAAAAATCCTGTTTGCTCCTAAAAACAAAATATTAATTTATAGTAAAATTCATTAATTTACTTAATGATGTGTCATCACTTTTCGCTACGCTATTAACTATTAATATTAAAAGAAAATAAATAAAATCGCAAAGTTTAATATATTACATACTTCTGGTGGGGTATTATTTCCAGCTTGTTCAGCATAAGTATGGGTTAAGAGAAACATATCATCAACTCCTAACCCCAAAGCCAAAAAAGGAACAATCTAGAAAATCAATAGACACAATAAACACCACATTTGAAATAAAAATCTGTATTTGTGATATATCGAAAGTTTTAATTACCTCAGTGGTAGATGCATTGAAAGCTATTCCAAGTACTGCACAAAAACCAAGCCCTGCAGCTACAGTAACTGATACAAGAATTACACCAGCAACACCAAGTGCACACTGTGATCTCACTGGGTCATTCCACCTCAATAAAGAAGCTGCTGCATACAATAACTGAAAAAATTGCAATATGTCATTTATAAGCTAATTACTACCATTATTTAAATTAACATTTACCATTAATACATATCCAAAAGCAATTTTGTTTATGTTAATTTGTGAAAAACGGTGTAAAATGTCATTTAATGTTGCTGACGAAAAAGCATACATATTGTAAGGGGATGTACTGTTTCCTTTTCCCATTAAACGATGAATTTCCTGAAATTGCAGAATAATTATAATTGGCCCGACAACGGCTTACTGTGCATTGTTTGGTTTTTATTTTTCACCTTAGAAAAGGACTTTTGCCATGTTTCAAGGACTAAAGCAGCTTTTTCTTGACTCCAGTCAACATAGTGCACTTTATAAGTATCCGACCAAAACTCATGCAACTCTTTTTCTCCCATTAACTGAACAACAGTTTGAAGAGCTTGAGCCCTAAAAATTACGAAATAAAAATTACTTTTTTTTATATGACAGATACATACAAAAGATTTGTCGTGAATATTTACTTTTGGATATGTCCAGTCTTGTTTCGTTTAATACCACCTAAAATTAATTCTTCAGGCCAGTGCATATATTTTGCTGCAAATCCATAACATCCCCCAGTTAACTCAGCCCCTATATTTGGTGGCTAAAAATCACAATTATTATTATTCAATAATAATAAAATTTATTGTTAATATTAAAATATTTGTATATTTAGGAAAAGAGTAAATAAAAAAATCCCATTTTTTTAAATGGATAGATAAAATTTTTTTACAATATTTAGTTAGAAAAAATATGTTATATCAATTATTAATTGTTAGTACATATTGCACACATTATAACAGCATGGGTGAGAACTGTCTCCTGAAGAACACCGTAAGAATTTTTTTAGACAAGATATTACAATAAATAATAAATTGGGTGAAAACAACGAAATAAGTATACACAAAAGAACTTAAAACTGTACAAAACTGGGGGAAAAATAACAAAATATCATGGAAATAATGAACAAAAGAATGAGAGGAAAAAAGAAAAACTTTTTTTTACAATAAAGCAGCTAGCATGCTTAAAAATCCGAAAATAAAAAGAGCTAAAATATGTTATTTATAATAACAGCTTGATTGAAACTGTAACATATCAAATTTTTAAACAACTGTTGTGAATAATAAAGTATCATAGGAACCACAGAACCCGTAAATAATAATATAATTTTATATTAAACTGGTTGCTTTTGCAAAATTATCCTCCAATTATCATTTTACCTATTATTATAAAATTGTTGGATTGTTTTGTTGACAATTGACTCACCTTTTGACTCTTCTTGTTACTAGCAGAACTAGGGCATTCTTCATCTAAAGGATTGAGACATGGTTTTTCTTGATACCCTGTACTTATTCCTGCCTGTAAAGTAAATAAAAAATAAACATATTCTCCAAGAACTTTACTTTCATATCTAACAAATATAAAGACAGTATTTAATTATTTAAAGTAGCTGATTTAAAATTCAATTAGACACTTCTAAATTAAATTTGTTTTTTCTTTTTAAGTAATAATTAATTATTAAAAAATTTGATACACTTACTCTTTTCATATGTTGTTCCAAGGTGTCATAAGGGAACCCAATTTCAAAAGTTTTTGCAGTTTCAAGGAGTTTCTGAGGGTTAAGATTTGTCCAGTAAACTTTTGATCCAAGACCACTGGAATTTTAAAAAAATGAATTTTGTTTCTTAATTGTTATTCAGTTGATTAATAATTTAAACTTTTTCCTTACGGTATGTTGACTGGATAATCTGGGCCTAATAATTTAGATCCTTCCCAAAAACAATCCAACGGTGTAATTATTGCACATGGAATAATGTTTTCAAATATCTGTAAAAATTTAAATGTTATGGCAATGTACATTATTAATTGTAAGAAGGGGGGGGGGTAAAACGAAATATCCTACTTGATCTATGAAGTGGGCATCAAAATTTGTAATGCTAGGAGAATAACACAGATCTTTTAACCTCCATGTGCTGAAAAGGGACAAAAAAAAATTTAGAACATCAATTGCAAAATGAATCACTCAAGATATTGCAAACGACTTACATGTCAAATAAATTCACGGACAACGAAATTGCAATTTTAACAACTTCAGCATGTTTCAACAAACTATACGGGTGCAGTACCGAAGCATCTGAATCTTTGGCAGTCTGTATAACTAGTTGATGAATACTGGACCCAGTCTCTCCTAACGTAGCAGTCCTATATCTTAGTTCCTTTTCTACATTGCCTCCTTCTGTAAAAGACAAATTTTAAAAAATTAGATCTCTGGTAATAAAACGATTTTATGACAAGATCTTTATAATTATAATGATTGCAATTAAAAATTTGTCACATGAAATAATTTTTGCCCTCATTTTTGCTATGAGGTTTTATGTACGGATGATGATGATGGATACTAGGAAGTTGGTTTTTTGTTCTCCAAGCACTGCAGTGTTTTGGCTTATTGTACTTTTCCTTGTTCCTTAGTTCAGTGCAATCGCTCGATCCTCCATCTATGAAGTAATAGGTCATTGCTACAATTCTTATCTCTAGGTTTTTTGTCTTCATTGAGTGGTTGCTTCGCATTCGAAGATGATATGGGTGGCTGTTTCCTTCTCCTCATTGCATAACCTACAAATGGGGTCATCATTGAATAAACCCATGTTGTACAGATGTTTTGTCAGATGCCAGTGACTGGTCCTATCAATCCTCTGAGTTTAGCCCTCTCTAATTGTAGCAGTGAGTTTGCCAGTTTTAACATAAGCTTAATGTGTCTAGCATCTTTAGAGTTTATTCACTCCTCCTTTTGTCTTTTTTGATCCATTCTAAGATGGAGGATTCCATGTTTGTTTTTATAATCTCAAGAATAGGTCAATGGCCTTGCAGAGCCTCCTCTGGCCACATGGATATTTAGAATCTATGTTGGTTTACTCTGATATTATGTAGGTTATTGACAAAAGCGGGCAACTATTTATAAAATACATATAATAATTTGGTATAATAGCTAAATAAAAGGTTTTTTTCTCCACCAATATGGATGCAAAAGTAACTATGGAACTAACAATCGGGCTATTTTGCAGAACATATTCATACAACATTTTTGTAAAGCCAATTATACTCAACGGCTCTTACTTTTCAAATCAGTCAATTAGACATGATGTTTTAGTGTTGAAATACCACCTAACATGTACTTTTCTAAGCAATAAGGCATACATTTTTTTTTACACACAATTAGTCAAATTACCTTTTCTGTTCCGTTACTTGACCGGGCATAATAAGACTCTCACATTTCCTACCATTCTACTAACTATAGTACAAATACTCCTATTGACAGAATTATGCGTTCTGTCGAAAAAGTTTCATCTTTTTACTTTTAATTCTTCTCTTTCTATATTCTACAATCAAGTTTGCAGACAAGTTAAATCTTGAATTATTATTTATATTTTAGGTTAAATTATCTTGATCCTGATATTAAATTTATATCAGCGGCGTTGGTGGCTTCAAAGGTTAAGGCGTTGACATGACAATCATCATTGTATGGTAAAAGGCCCAGATATTTCGAAGTCAGCATACTTACAAATGGTTTTTTTCTCAATAACACAAATACTCGGGGGGGGGGGGACAAAAACAAAACAATTTTATATTGTTACAAAGTAAAAAAAAAAAAAATTAATGAATATCATACAATTAAATATGGATAAAATACTCTTTTTGATAAAATAATGAGCTTGACCCTCAAATGATTTTTTTGCTGAACAACTTCACTTAACTTCTGTTCCAGTAATCAACATAATCAACATTTTTGTTATTTAATTTTTTTTAGAATATATATATTATTTATATATATAAATATGCCAGAAAAATATATAGATAGAATAGTGTATTCATTTTACTTACTTAATCGATAAATTTTTGTTATGTAATTATTTTCTAACATTATTTGTATAATAGCTTAAATAATGATAATTTAAATTCTTAGTTTTACAGTTTATAGACAATACCAAATGTGATATTTTTATGTATATTCATATGAATCATTCTTTTTACTTATTTTCCTATTTTATAAATATTATTGTTTAATACTTGTATAATTTTGTTTCCTTAGTTTTGCATTATATATCGTTTTATTTTATAAATTGTTACATTTTCCATATTTAAACATTTATGTAAATTGGATTTATTATTATAATATCTAAAATCTAAAAAAAAGTTTTTTTATGATGTGGGACATCAATCCTAGTGAATACTTTATTTCTTTGTGAAATTTCTTCTCGACTCGATTAATCGAAACCCTGACTACTTATATTTTACTTATATACTAATCCACAAAAGATGAACGGAATACTTTTTATTTCTATTAATTGTATGTAAACGTTTCGAGAATAGATTAGAAATTCAATTTTCAGCCGGGATTTTAAAGATTCAAAAGGGTTAAGAATGAATCTATCTAGATCCTAGTAAATATTAAAAAAAAAAAAAAAATCAGCAATGTATGTAATAAAAGCAAAGTGATGGGATGAAAGAAAAATTCAGCCTAATAACAATTTAACCATTTAGGTCATGAAGGATTTGAAGAGTTATAATTTATCGTTTCCTAACGAATAATGAACCATTAAATGCCATCATAGTTAATTTTCAATAAAATCCTGAGCCCTAATAAAATAAATAGTCAGAAGTCTAAAAAAAATCTTAAGATATAATTAATTCGGCAATCAGCGTTGAAGGAGAACGTAGAAAATGTCAAGCATTTGTAAAATGCAAAAGCGCACTTTACAAACGATTATGCAAACATAAAAAAACTGGATTAATTATATGTCAAATGAGTATATTGATATCAAAAGGTGAAATCTCTCGGGAGATAACATATTAGGGGGTGAACACTAATGGAGGATTTAGACCACCCAAAAGTACCTTGGGTGGCCACTACTACCCACATCAAAACATTCTCTACCTTCGTTCACCACTTTCTAAATTCACTCATTTACTATAACCTATTGCTGTAAAAATCTACTCTTTCGAGTGTTTAGAGAAGAGAGGATTAAATAAATTTAATTATATACGGTACACATTCATCAAATGTAGACCCCTAACAATAAAAACAGGATTTAAAAAAAAAAAGAATAAATGTTTTGAACGTGAAATATACTGAGTCATATCTCTGATTTTTAAAGAGGACGGGTCTTTGACCGATGTTCGTAAGTCACACAGAAATACCATTGTGCCAATTTTATGTCCGATTTAATTGTGACGTGTTGGTTAAATTTATCCGTTAAATTAACTGTTAAAAGTTTCAAAGGTTTAGTTTTAAACGAATCTAGTCATAAAATAGGCAAATTTCGAAACAGTTCGAAAACAGAACAGGTTAAGCTGTTTTAGTGTTTTTAAGAACAAATGAGCAAAAGAAATCCCGCAGAATGTGAAACGATGATACAACGTGAAAAATAAAATTATATGCCGACAGCACTGTTCATTTGGAAGCGAAATGTATAAAACACAAAATACACACCTTCAAGAATGGCCTAAAAATAATGAAGAAATAAAATTGTGCACAAAAGAAAACAAAAACAAAATCACAAAATATTTTCCCTCAAATTTGAAATTTATTCGCTTTTTAAAAGTGCGACGCGAATAAAAGTGAAATGTGGTCTTTGCCCCTAGTATAAATGTCCTGCTTATTTGGTCAAGTCCTCTCAAATTTGTTTCGATATACAAATTTATACCTGTAAGAAGTAAGAAGTTATGAATGAACTTAATGAAGATCTACATGTAAACCTTAAACATATGTCACTATGAAAATTTATTTTCTGGCTTTAAAACGCAAATAAGAGGCAAAAGGAACGGAAAAATGTGCCAAAGGACAGGGACACATCATATTAATGGAAGAACGGAGGTCAGCTTCCGGGATGTTCGTCTGTCACTATCCGACAACCAGGTCGGCGAACGTGCGAGCTCCCGTCTGAAATCTATGTATAGCTATGATCGTTGAAGGTTGCCGAGCCTAGCGGGTCGGATCTGATCAATGAACGTTGTGTCTAATTTAATGGTAGACAGAAAGATTTAGAAAGAAAAAAAAATCGTGCCTCTCAAATCTAGTTAAAACACAAAAAATAATTTAAAAAATCTCAAAACTTCTAATTGCAATTAGGAAATTAAAACCTAAATAAAATATCAAACAAGTGTGAAATAGGTACATTTTGTATAAAAATAAGGAAAATGGCTAAGACCATTATTCTTCCTAGTTGCAGAGGTTTTAAAAAGTATGAACAAAACATTTATCAATTAGCCTAATTAAACAGTGAAGACAAAAAAAGAAACATTTACAAGAGATAAGAAAACAGGTAAGCGATTTTTCCTCCTTTTAGTAGAACCACAAGCGATAATTATTAAAAATTTGTCTCGCCCACAGAATCTATTCTTTGGCCATTAATGAGATTTAAAGCTTTTCTATGTTGAGTTTGTTATGGCACCCGGGGGCCGGGCATGCTTTATAAACCTAAACGCTTCCTACCCACTCCTAACTTTATCCTGAAATCCTACCTAACCGACCTCTGTTTCAGAGAGAGGTGCGGCAACGAGTTCTTGGAAATCAGATCGATACAGGACGGCGTCCCAAAAGGGAGCATGGTCCTACCTTGTATATGTTGGATCATCTATACTGCTGATTTACCTGTACACCTACGATTTTGGTGACTATCTGTGGTTACCTAGTTATCCACTAGGTGTGACCACCGTTTCAACTATGGTCTCGCTTTCCTCTTTGCAGCAAATGAGCTTGCAGCTGCTATGTATACATCTTACAGGGTCTATAGGAGCTCAACCTGCTTTTTTCAGACAGGGTCAACAAGGTCTCAACTCTAACTAACGGAACAAGCCGTTAGCACTAGCTACAACAAGCAACAAGAGTACTTGCAATATCATTTTTCGCACTCTCAACAGCCAACGTGGCTGCATGCTGCTCTACTTACCGACTCTCACTACAACCACATTCGGCTCATCAACTTCACTCCCCGGACCTAACACCGGCTCCACAGGGCTGACCAGACCTTTTCAGGGCAACCAAAAATCCCGGTCACTAAACCATTATCGCCACGTACGCGTACGATACCTCAATTCTCTAACTCGAATCCTATCCAACCTACCTTCAACACCCAAGAACGCCTTAAGCTAATCGAATACTGGTGTAAAAAGTGACAAGACGGAATGAAGAAAAATGTACTCAGTTACGTTCATATTGAAAAAAACAGTCGCCCTCTACACTAAAAACAAAGAGATAACGACTTCCTTTCAATAAAATTACTTAGGGCTATACCTAGACACAACACGTGGAATTCCCACACAAGACTTACGAGACAACAACTTAACAAAAGACTTGAACTACGAAGACTTCTAGGACCGAAATCTGTCTTGACCGTAACACTCAACTAACCTTATACAAGACTTTACTGCAAACACTTTGGACATACGGAGTGGAACTGGGTTTCTGCCAAGCCATCCAACTTCCAGCGCATCCTTACAATTAAAAGTCCTCAGACAAACAGTGAAAGAACCTTACTACATCACTAACCTAACAGTAGCAGCAGCGACAGTCAATGACCTGATACTTCTAAGGAGAAGGATTGAGTCTATAGCACTGAATTAAGGAACTAGGAAGGTACAATAAGCCAAAAGGCTGCAGACCCTGGGAAGCACAAACCCCGCTTCCTAGTATCCCTTTTTACCATACCAACCTAACAGTCCTTTTGACACGAATTCATCCGATCCGTCCTAATCTTTCTGCTTAAGCCCTCTGTACATTTTCTCATCCCGAGAACGTCGCCTTAATGGACGATGGCCTCGCGACCTCATTGCCCCTGAATCCCTTCACCGAAATGAGTGCCAGCATTGGCTAGTTTTTCAAGGTATGTGCCCTCAGGGTGCAGCCCTAGCCTTAGCGCTAGTGTTGTAACCGTGTGAAAAAACATATTGTGATCACATTTGTATTACGTAGTAATATGTATAGGCAAAAATAAAAACACAAAAAAATTCATTATTAAAACATATTTATTTATATCATAGGGTGGGGGCTTATTATTTCATATTACGCGTACTGTTTTACTCCGATTTTCTAGCCAGGGATGGCTACTTCGAAAATTTATGAAATTATTGTGTAAACTCGGATAAGAAGTGTGGTGATATGAATTTTTAATTTTAAAATTGTTTACAGAAAAAAAAATAATTAAACGATCTTAAGATTTAACGTATTCAGCGTTATATTGCGCCCTCGCTTACCTCAGTGAGGTAGAGTGATATCGCGTCCGCGTCTCTTCACTTTTAGACTGAAGTTAAAAGAAGCATTGTGTTGCTTAAAACGGTAAACAAACAACGGCGTTGTTGTCTAAATTTCTCACTCTCATTAGCGAAAAATAACAGGTTAAACAGCACATTGTTTTACGAATTTGAACCTAAAAGTGAAGAGAGTTGAGCTCGATATCACGCTCTCACCACTTCGCTTGGGTAAAGAATAGACCGTCCTGAAGAGGACATAAGTCATCCCATCAATAATTTATATCGAATTTGGTTGAAGTTATATCTTGTTGAAAAACTAGCCAAAAACCGTAAATGTTGCTACTGTTCGTATAAAACACGACGTCGATATATTTTCCTATCAGTAATAACCAGTTATACAGGCCCAAGTACGGAGGTCATAAGTAATTCTTTGACAGAAATTGCACTCAGCCGTTGATGGCACTAAGCTATACAAGCTATACAAGCTAGTAAAAAGTGTCTCACTTGAAACGCCTCATAAATTATAAGCTAAACCGAGGTGATTTCTATGTCGAATCGTTTAAAGATAACAAATTACGGCGGCAAGTCGTTTAAAAACTTTTTGTAAACTGTGAAAAAGTTCTCCGTCCTATAGATACAAAATCGAGTAAAAAATGAACCTCTGTAGATGCTATTTCTTTCGTTACATTTGTTTACAATCTAAGGATGTTGACAAAGTTGAACAGATATGTTAGTCAATGTAGTTAGCAAATAGGTAAATAACGGAAAAAAGTTACCTTCTACCCATAGTTGTTCGATTCTGGAATGGAAAACGGCACTTTTCAAACCAACACAAAACGATGCTAGAAGAAGGATGGCAACAAAGATGACTTTTCCCGGGTGGCAGTAGACGAGGCAGCCAAGATGAAATAGTTCTGCTTGAATACGGCTCCTAACCCAGATGGCTGTCCTCGATCCTTCGGCCTTACCCTGAAAAATAAACCGAAGCATTGTTAACTTCGAAACAAATCAAGTACAAAAATAAGTCCGGAGAACATTCTCACCGAAGCCTTTTGAAACATTCATTCGGACTTACAAATTTTGTTTAAAAATCTTGAAGCAAAACTTTTATCATAATTTTATATTGTAACCCGGTCAAAATACGATTATTACTATGTACATCTGATCGATCAAATCGTCCATTTGAGTAATTAGATCGCAATAAATACAAAATGGTTTTCAATAAAGCGTGAAAGGTCCTCAAGCGATAAAATGAAATACAAGCGAATAAAGTAAAATTAAAGCTTTAGAAGGGAAATCGCAGTGAAAATTCTTTCCCTAGTGGAGGGCCGACCACCCAAGATGAAGAACGTACGGAATGCCGGCAGCTATGCATGTCCTCACAGGTACTTTTTAAAAGTCAACTATACAACTCTAGAAATCATTGTAAAGCCCGAGTTTTTATTATAAACAATAAAATTGACCTTTCCAGTTTTCAAGACAAACATTAATGTATAGTTGAATTAAATACAACGGAGTTTGAACCACAATTTAAGTACGTCATTAAATATAATTTAAAGGTTCCGAAAAGAAGCGAACCAAATTAAATAAAGCTTTATTAGTTCAATAGGCCAAATATTATTAAAAGCTTAGTTCCGTGTACGTGGGCGGCAAGAGCATTTTTCTTATTTATGTCATAACCCGTTCTTTAATTCTACACTATAAATCACTAATTGGCCTACGGGCCGAAAAGGGCTTTAATTTTATGATTTTCAAAGAAAAATGGAAAAAATAGGCACTTATATGATAAGCAGTTCCTCACTGAAGATGGCGCAATGCCGAACGCGTTTGAGCAGTTCAACCCGCGAATGAAAACGGACCCAACGTCATGAGTTCACGGACTAGCAGACCAACACTCAGCATCAACTCCAACACAGACAGACAGGTTACATTACATAAAAGATGTGGAATTCCTCACTGAAGATGGTGTAATGCCGAAACACGTTTGTTCAACATACCCGCGTGTTAAGACGGACCCAATAAGTATCCAATGCCGGTTCAGCAAGACTTACATGATGTCTAGTAGGTCTATTAGAACTGTACTAGTAGTAACTATTAATTAATAGTTCATAATAAATATTTAACGCATACAAACAGGCAATCGTAAATTATTAACCTGATTTTGTATAGAAATTTATTATTATTAGTTACTATTAGGTTTATTATAATAGTTTAGTCGAACAAAGATGAGCTTAAACAATTATTAAACTCCTTTATGTATGGGCAGATAGTGATCGTGTTTATAAAGGTATTCGCGTTCCTGGGAGGATTTTAATGTTGGTCTTTTTAATTGCTTAGCGCAATAAAACAACTGAGAAGAAATTTATATACGAGTTGTTATGCCGATTCAATTTACAAGCATTTGTTCGCATCTGCTTTATCCTCTTGGTCCGCTTAGTCTCGTCTTATAACGGTCGGCCGGGCACGTTTCCAGCATCTTTACTTCTTCGGCGGTCGAGTCCTGTCCGACAAAGACACCGCCACGGACAAAAGGCCTAATCCCGGACTTCCTCTCCCTCTCGGCTGACTTTCACGGATCCTACAAAAAGGACAAACTCGGAGACAAATGTCCGACAAGACACGACCGTACCGGGAACGTGTCTTGACGATTTACTGCCGGCCATTCCTTCTTTCGTCAGCGCGTATCTAAGTGAAAATCCACAAGGAAGAAGGACGATACGGCAGCATGTAATTTTATTATGGCATGTACACATGGGCATTCGGCCAGTTTAGGCAGTGCACAGCTATTTTGAGGCCGTTTGTCACCGTTTAGTAAGGTTAACACCAACTTTCTTCATACATTAAAAACTCTCATCTTTAAACTTTTACGTTTGACCTCTAAGTTCAACGCATATTCTTTATTAACAAGAAAGAAAGAAAGACATTTGTTAACGAAAAATGTAATATCATCCCGTCGGATCTTAAAAAAATATGTCATTGAGCCTGACCATATGTTTATTGAAAATAAATAATTTTTGAAACACGTACGTAAGAAAAAATGGCATAAAACGCTTATTGCTCAAATTTATTTCGACGAGCTAATACCAAACTAGATTTTTCTTGTATAGACATTTCAAAATCGATGTTTCCCAAGGGTACGTTCAAAAGTCAGCCTATGTTCAAAACAACAAGATTCGGCATGTACTATACAAAAACCGCAATCAATAACAAATAGAATTTCTAAGAGATTCTATCATTGTATGCCATTTTACTTAAAATTTATAAACAGACTTCAAAAAATTCTATTAGAACAGAACGTATCCCCCTTTATTAACCTACCTTAAAATATTTTTGTGTGGTATGTAGATAGTAAAAGAAAAAAAAATTCCAAATATATCATCTATCTATACTGCTCACCTACTTCACACTCCAATAACATCATCACCATCAACGCCGCCGATACCGCAATTTTGTCCTCTAACTCCAAGCTACCTCCAACATCCAAGAACAACTTGAGCTTATCGAAACTGGTGTAAAAAGTGACAAGACTGAATGAAGAAAAATATACTCAGTGTAGTGTTCACATTAAAAAGACAGTCTTGCCCTCTACAGTACATCAACAAAAAAGAGACACCGACTTCCATTCTAGTTAAATAGAACTTTTCCTGGACACAGTCGTGGAATCCCCATACAAGACTTAAGAAAAAACAACATGGAAGTTGCACAATGAAGACTTCTAGGACCCAAAACTGTCTTGACCGTCGAAACGAAACTTATACAAGACTTTACTGCGACCATTTTGGACATAACGGAGTGGAACTGTGGGGTTCTCCCAAGCCATATACTACATCCAACGCATCCTTACAAATTAAAAGTCCTCAGGCAAATAGTGAAAGAACCTTACTACATCACTAACCTAACAGTCCTTTTGTCAACGAATTGATCGCTTCGAACCTCTAGATCCATCCTAATCCTTCTGCCTTTTCTACACGTCGCCTTAAATGATGGTCTCGAGAACTCCTGCCTCTAAGTTCTCATATATATGGTGTCCCGTGAACAGACACTTAGCAAATTGTCTAAGCTCCTTACTACGTCATTAACCTCACTATTCACAATGGCTCAACATTCCTTTTGTCAACGAACTGATCCGTTCCCGATTCCAAAAGTTTCACACCAACCTCTTGATCCATCCTAACCCTATCGCTCGAGCCCTCTCTACATATTCAATCCCAAGAAACATGTCGCCTTAATTGGCGATATCCTCAAGTCCTCCTTGTCCTTTAATTCCTCAAACTGAATACCAGCATTGGCACGTGTCCCTCCGGGTGCAGCGCTGGTAGTTAGTGTTGTGACCGTGTGAAAAAAACCACATTATGATCATATTCCATTACATTTGTAATAGGCTACAAATAACAACATTAAACAAATATATATTTAAAGAAAAACAGAACCATATTGCATTGTTATGAGGGGTCTGTTAACATCAAAGATTCAGCAATAACGTCAGTTCGACCAAATAAAAAAAAGATTCCCTAAGAAGCTAACTTCCTATTAGCTTAGAAAGGAAAAAAAAGCAATTTCCCTGCATTGTACAATAACCTCTAACTATATAAGTGTCTAATTTATGTAGTTTGTCATCGCCATTTTTAAAATAAAATTTTTCCGCTTCTTAAATTAAGGGCTCCCCGTCTTGTGTGTTTTATTACAAGGCTTAAATAGATGAAGAAACATTTAAGGGTAATAAATGGGAATTTATTTATTGCACTCTTACAGTTCTACAATAATAAAGAAGCGTTATTTCCATAAAGGATTAATATTTTGACAGTAGATTTACATAATACGAACAGACAATCTTGCCTCATGTAATGAATACATTTAAATGCCCTCGCAGATCTTACAAAATATACGGATTAAAAAAAAAAAAATGGCGAGAGAAAATAAAAATTCAGATAAAGTCAATATGCAAACGTCGGAATCAAATGAATGAATGTGTAGTGTTTAAAAAAGTAATACAAAGAATTACAATAAAAATGAAAATGGAGAAATAAGTGTTTTATCATATAAATACCGGTTATATTTAAAAAGAAATAAATGGTTTTTATTTTAATTCGGACCTTATTAAGCCAATTAAAAAACATCGTGTCCATTTTTTTAACATGTAATTGTTATAAAACTTTTTGCCATATAGGTTACACATTTGTTTTTAAAAGTACCTCGCGCCCTAAAAAAAAGTTGAAGGTAAAGTACGCCAGGCAAATTAAATTTTATGTATGATAATTGTAATATGTACGCGGTATTATAATGTAAATGGTTTGACTAAAACGATTTGAATATTAAATTCACTAGTTTTCGTGGTCCGCTTGGCCAATTAATATCTTTCTATTAATTAAGGTTTTTAGTTGAGATAAAAAGTCAGTGTAACGAGCGGGATTCGAACCCACGACCTTCGGCTAGATACGCCGCTACTCTACCATCTTGAGCTATCGTGAGTTCGATCCACTCGGGCACTAACTTCCCATCTCAACCCTGATTTGAATATTGTTTATTTTTCATCTGGAATGGGAGAAGGGACTTAATCTATTATCTGTCATTAATGAGAGTATGTGGATCGACGATTATTTTGATGACTTGTTCATGATGTTTTTGTTTTTGTTTCAATTTTCACAAGAAACGGCAGGAAGGCCGTCATGAACCATTTTATAATAAGCGATGGAGCCAACAGTAATTCTTTTTTCTTTTTGATTTAAATAAAGGCTGTTGGTGAAACCGTTAATTACATTATTTTATTTTCATAAGCTCGTTTATTTTGAACCGTGTTTCCTCACCTTTATGGAGAGTCGTAAACTCATAACGAACCCGTAACGAGTTTGTAGCAACGAAAAGCACTGTGATTCTATGTTGGAGGCATAACGTGTTTTTGTGTATGAGAGAAGCAACCTTTTTAAAATTACAAGACTTGGGGAGGGCTTGAGCTTTGAAACGTGGTCTCGTAAGTCTTCTGGTTTTCATTTCGTTTTTGTTTTTGGACGGCCGAACATCAAAACGGTCCAAAAATACCGAGATCCATTTGTTGCACTTTCCGAGAGGGCTTTACAAGCTTCAAATATTTCCCATGGTTTATTTTGCGTAGAAAACGAAACAATGAATTTAACGTTGATTAAATATCGATTCAAACACAAATATTCCTGAAATAGTTGGGTCATATTCGAATATTTTAAACTTAACATAAAAAGAATCATGATGACTGTATTGTAATAATTAAAACTCCTAAACAATCCGTAATGATCCTAAAAACCATTTTCATTTATATAAACTTGATACATTCTATATAAGCCATTTACGTTTTAGTGGTCATTGGCCAAGTTACTTCTTTCAATTAATTATTCTTTTTACGTAAGGTCTTGGCTGAGATAAAAATGGCAAAAAGAGGAAAAATTCGAACGGTTGTAGGTTGAGATGGAGAGAATCGAAGTCACTATAGCTCAAGTAGTAGAGCAGTGGTGTATTTAGCCGAAGGTCGTGGGTTCGAATCCCGCTCGTGACGCTGACTTTTTTATCTCAGCCAAGTCCTTACATAAAAAGAATTCTATATAAGTAAGTAAAGTAATTCCTGCCATACAGGATGGCTTAACGTCCAACATCATTTTGGGTGTCGCGTACCATTTCACCATATTATTCACAATTATAAATTCCATTGTTATGCCGAGATTCGAACACAGGACCGCTAGCGTGGCTAACACGAGTAGGAACCCTAGCCATTCGGCAGTTCAACTCTAAGATTGTTTTAAATTAAGATTATTGCTTAAAAAGATAATTTAATTGCTTGAATAATTTGACAACAAATTGGTCCTCTTGATTGTGCAAACACTTTATTCTTCTTAAAGGTTCAGTAAACCCGTTCGATAAGATGTGAGGGTTTTTTGGCTCAAGGAATGTTCAAAATTCCTTTTCCAATGATAACAGAGATTTGAATTATATCAAACGTGTAATTGGAATACAGACAAAACTGAGCAAACGTTACGATCTTAAGAATTTTTTATCAGTAAGTTTCCAGATGGATTTGTGTGAGGACTCGATGAGAAGAACGATTTATGGACCATTGATATGTTGTTATAAATTTAAATTACAATACTTGTTTACCCAGCCTTTTAAAATTGGAACAATAATCTTGGTAAAGTTTGTAAAAAGACTATTTTTTAAAATTATTATTGGTCGAAAGCGTGTGTTTCCGTGTTAGAAGGGTCTATTTTCTACAGTATTATTTTTCTAAAGTCCCGTTTGTTTATCAAAAAGCACTTATGACTATTATGTATTTATTGCCTTGTTTATTTTCTTAATTATTTGAGCCATTTATTTGTTTTCTTCAATTTTCATTAATCTGCACGAGCAGGTCGCCATTATCAACTATTGTTTAATTATTTAGTGAGTACAACAATTAGTCTTGGATGGTTTTAATTTCTCGCTTCGTCATGATCAAAGTCAGATCCCGAAGAAGAAACATTTAAAACTATCCAAAAAGCATTTTAATGGTAAGATTCCATATCATAAACCTACAATAAAGTACATTCTTTTGTCCGCAGTGCGATGGAACCTTATGATCACCACTTGTATCCTTGTCTGCAGTTTAAATAGAAAATAGTTGTAGTAAATTGTTTTAAAAAGTAGACGAGAGTTGAGAAGAATAGAAGAGCAGAGCACAAATATATATTTAAAAAATATGTTTCTTTGTGCCCAAAATTGTCGAAGTCCTTTTTTTTTTAAATTGTTGTGATGGGAAACTGTATTAAAACAAAAATAACTATTTCAACTCAAATAAATTTAGCAAACAAAAAATTAATTTAAGTGGATAAATTTTAAAAATGTTCAATACTGGTGGAATGCCTAGAATGTCAATTTGTAGAGAAGGATTTTAAAATAAGTTTGATGAATTCAAAATGGATCGATAATGGATCAATCGGCTCCTTTTGAAGAGGTAAAGGCGAGAGATGAGGGACTCTGGAGAAATGTTAGCGGCGGGGCGGGGTAGACTTCCTAGTCGGGATGAATTGTTTCCTTCCGGTAGCGGGTAGGTTCATCGGTATTCGGAGCAGATCAGGGAGAAGTGGGCGTGACAGGTAGGAAACGATATTGTCTCTTGCTGAGGCGGAGGTAAATAAAAAGATGGACAGGAAATCGTGGGTGGTCCTCCGGGCCGGTTTATGGGGGAATAAGTTCATTTCTAGGTAGTGGAGGGTTGGGGCCCTGTTGCCAAATAGTGCGGCGTTTCACCGGTTGATTGTTAGCCAGGAGAACAGCTGTGGCAATGGGGGTTCCTCCTGGCGTCGCCGTGGACCACCCGCCGATCTCGCCCCACCACTTTAGTAACATTAGTAACGGTCTGACATCCTACAATAGGACCTACCTGCCCAACCTTATTTCTTTCAACAATTTACCACACACCGTATTTCTAGGGAAGACGTTAAGACGGACAATGGTCCTTCCAAAGCGTACTCGGGGCCGACCTTAGCCCCGCCGGTTTCTGAATCCATCCGAATAGGCATTCCTGGGCCACACATATCGCGGAATACTTATGTCATCATAAATTACGATTCGTATCTAATTTACATGCTACTCTCTGTCCGTTTAATTAGAATTACGACTTTTATCTCCTGCTGATTTCTTTAAACGTAAACTGTCTCTCCTTTTTAACACGGCATAAAGTGGATCCAGTGGATTGTGCTATTTAAAAACGTACAATCCACGAGGTGTTCAGCAAAGGATGTAGCATGTCCACAATGTTTTAAGGAAAAATAATTAATAATTTCAATGATAAGGGTTGAATGTATTGCTTTTGTTCATAAAATCCTCTCAACGCTTACAAAAACTATCGGTTTTAAAACAGTGACGGTGGATGGAATGTTTGGATGTCACAAGCCGGTACACATTTACATAGGTTTGACACTCGGCAAAACGACGTCCCCAGAAGGAGAAAAAACACGAGCCGAAAAGGAAACACTTCATCTTTGACGCTGACCCAGTAAAAAAGTCCCAGGATACGGTGGCTACCTCGTTTCCTCCGTTGAAAACGCCAAATGCGACGGCCCGGCTCGGCGTTTTTCGAAAAAGGGCTTTAAAAAGGGCTAAGGAAGGGTTCAACCAAAAAACAGAGGCCGCGGAATATAAAACAAAAAACTGACAACAAACCACAGCGTTTTTTGTCGTCCTTTCCGATGAGTTCTTGAGATCTACAGCAACTGAATGTGTACCATTATGAACCAGATCGACAAAGTGACAATATAGGCCGATTCAATACGTTTTCAGCTTGCTATGATGTCAAAAAGAAATGAGTTGGAAAATTTTGTTTTTTAGGTCGAAGATGACAAAAACCGATTCCTATGTGCAGACCAGAGTCTCAGCATCAATGAAAATAAAAGGAGGCGCCGATTTCCGGTTTTTATCGTATTTAATGTTCTTCAGGACCGAAATGTTTCCGTCGTCATGACTGTCGAGGCGGGCTGAAGAGCCAAAAAAATTTTTCTTCTTTCGAAAAAACCAAAATTTGTGAAAAACCATGGGGAAAAAGTTACCTTGTTTATTTGAGCTAGAGCGACTTCAGCGTTAGCCCATGCAGTCCTGATATAGACATCGGAAGTCTTATCAGCTAGCATGCTTGTCGGGCATAACTGGACACAACATTACAACACAAACCACTGAGGAGCACTGACGAATGGCAAATGGGACTACGACACTGACGGAGGGCTGCTCTCGACTGTGAGGGGGAAGCCAGGAGGAAGCGGCCATTCAGGACCACCAACACGCTGCTCCCCCCCACCTTGGCCGTAAACAAAAACTCAAAACAGAGAAATACCGAAAGTTTTGCACTTCTTCGGCCCTTTTCTCATTTTATTTTATTGGCTTTCTTGTCAATTGTCTCAACCCGCGAACTACATCAAACCGTTTTTGGCAGAAACATTGCAAGAAATTTTTTTTTGACGAAACAGCATCCCAAAATATTTTCAAAAACCAAACCCTATATCACAAGCGGTGTTATACGTCCATATATATAAATATCTTCTCCAATAAATAATGCCATGGTCTGGCTAAAAATAATGGTTAAGTACTTCACTTTAAATCTACCGTGGAATCAACTCAATCTCCCCCCCCCCCAAAAAAAAGTATATTATTTCAGTTCAACATTAATTATTAATCAATGCATGAACTGTCATCTTGTACTTCTCCAGGTTGCGAAGGCATAACATTATTTTGATAGATTTTCTTGACATATCTCCCCAGTTATGCACAAATGAAAAAGAATCATGATTTGTTCACACACAATAATGATTATTGTCAAAAAAAATCTCAAATGTGACACGTGAGCGGTTTGGCAGATGTTTTTATGGATCTTATTATGCTACTGATGTAGTCCATTAAGGACCACCAACACGCTGCTTCCCCCACCCTGACTGTAAACAAAGTCAGAAAACGGAGATGTACTGAAATTTTTGTTTTTCTTCGGCCCCTTTTTAACCATTTTCTATTCTTGTGGGCTGCATCTAAGTCGCTTACCAAAATCCCATGGCAAATATGTTGCAAAGAACATTTTTTTCAACTACAACAACTGACCGCAGTCTTAGGATACTTTCTATACAAGATACGATTGCAATATGAATTAAAAAAAGGTAATACAAGCTGAATATCAGAATAGTATATATGAACTATCATTTAGAATCTTCATAAAATAGCATGCCAAAACATATTGAAAAGCCTGTATAACAAATATATTTCCATATATAAATAACTTAGATCGTGTATATAAATAAGCTTGTGGTCAGGGGACCGCGGTGGCAGATCCGTATTACCACCCAGCCACCCTAGTGGTCCTGGGTTCGAATTCCGGCATAGCCCACGGATTTTTAATCGCGAATAATAAGGAAAAATTATGGTAAAGTGGTGTGAACCTTCGTCCGCGACACCCAACGGGTAGTTAGACGTCCCTGTGTATGTTTAACTTTGTGGTCTTAACAACAAGAGTAACAACATAGATCAGAATTAAACTCATCTGATGAATTAAATGTAAAAATAAATTAAATCCCAGGTTTGGTGTAATTTACAATAAATTACGGGCAGGACTTGATAATCACCCACCTCGGGTGTTGGCAGCCCGGGGTCAGACCTCGGTCTTATCCGTCCAACCACCGAGGACTCCAAGGGTTATCAACAGTCAGGTCGTTTCAGCCCCCAGTGTAATCAGTCTTTAGATCCTATTCACACCCCTACACACTCTTAAATACATTTTTTCCTGTTTTTTGTTGACCAATCGATCAGGGTGGTGGACTACTCGATATTCCTCGAAACCATTGTATAATTGACCTAATTGAGGTTCAATGGGGTTCTCAATATTCAGCTATGTGTACTCAATGCGACTGCCTGATTGTTCTTTTTTTTTTAAGAAAAGGTCCAGGTTTCCTGAGGTGCCCAAGGCACCATGGTTTCAAGGGTTCAGGGCAACTCGCGAGTTCTATACCGTAATTGCATGGATCAGAAGCACCCATGGCTTATGGGGTGCTCATAAATATAGAATCGGCCTGAGGTAGTCTGCCAATTGTGCTTCTTTTAACTCCATTGAGAATGAACCACATAATTATGGAGTGCTCCGAATATGAGGAAATGAGGCAAAATCTTTTCAGTGGTATTGAATCCTTGGTCAGAGTGGTCAGACCTTTTTTCTTTATACAAGGGAATGTGACATTGAGGTGAAATTGAAAGGTAATATCAACGTTAGTTCAGTAAGCGGGGTGGATCTGTGAGGGGGTGTTCCTCCTGGTCACTGGTCTCTTGTCAGTTGCTTCTTTAATTTTGGTATAAAAGAAAAACAAAACGAATACATGGGTAATACGGGATAATATCATAAACGCCTCGGCACTTTCACACTACACATTCACCCCAATAAATACATTCTCAACACCCACTAGAGAACACAAAACTATCAGTACTATATAAATTAATCAACCCTGGTTACTCCAAGAATCAGAAGAGGGGACCTAAAATACTCCCTTCCCTGCTCAAGGCACAATTCTCATATAGGTATTCGTGCCGCTCTCTATACGGAACCAAGAAAAGGCACCTTTCTCTACATACCGGACACATACCGGGGGCTTTGGCCCAACAATGTATCAACCTAGCATGGCCTATTCTTAATCGGGTGAGGATGACCCTTTTGCTGCAAGTCAGCTCCTCCGAGGGAGGGACAGTGCTTTTGATACGTGACAGCTTGCCGATCTCGCCCATCGATGACTTTCTTTTAATCATTTTTAGCGTCAAAGGCGGACGAGCTTTTCGTAACCCTCGAGGCCTAGTGTCCGGGAACCCAGACAACCACCACCGTTTTGCCGAGACGCTCTAGTTAGTCGTATCTTTCCAACAGGAGCTTCGACGCGTAAAGTTAAATTCAACAGAGATTTTTTACTGCCATCGATGCAGACCATTGAGGACCATCATACTGCTTCCCTCACCAAGGTGCAAAGTCTGATAACCGGAAAATTTAGAAAAAAATTATACGTGTTTTGAGGGGGCGAAACTGCCCAAATATACTACAAAGCAGAAATTTCTCATTTCCGATCATACGGTCTGAACTTTTTTTTTTTCCTTATGATCTTGCATATTAGCCATAGTACGAATTCTTGTGTGTTCAAATTGGGGGTTATCGGGAAAAAAGGGCCAGAGGCGACGGTGGGAATCGAACCCACGACCGCGGCGTGAGAGTCTCTCATGCTAACCCCCAACTTGTCTTTACATTCGAATTCAGCATTTTACAGATAAAGACAAGATAAAGACAAACGCACAGGTCGACTACTAAGAATACCGAAATGTGACGGGCTATGCCAGACCAAGATGATCAAAATACATGCTTATCATTTCCAAATGTCCTCATATATTAAGAATATCACATCTCTTAAATTATGATATGTGTGTTGAAGTTTGTGAAGTCATAAATTGAGAGCATGCAGGTCTGCATTCTTGCTGATTTTGTTTAACATTCGGCAATAAAAAGGACAAACGAACCAAAACAGCGAGCATAGGCACTCAAGACACAAATGATCGGAATCGGCCAAGGTTTGGAGCTTCTGTTTATCACCTCACAGACCCCAAAAGGAAATATCGTACACTATGCACGTGTAGGGTGAACATAATAATAATCTGATAATAACCTAAACTGCTATGAACTAGTTTCATAAAAATAAATGCAAAAATATTTTTCCAATAATTACAAAATAAAAGAGATTAAAATTACTGTATTGAATTTGATATTATAATTAGGGTTTGGAATGGATGGTGGAATAATGAAACAATTACGATACCAGCAAAAAGAACGAGTTTTATGATGATCGAACTTCTTAAAATCTTATAAATTCGTTGGTTTCCTAGCATTTTTTTGCATAGCTAACCTCGTTATTTTTGTCTATGAGGCTTTTGGTCATCTTCAGTGGTGGGTATGATCATTCCAAATGACCGAAAACGGCCACACTGCAGGCTTATGTACCCCAAGAGGAGATATCAGTATACATTTTAAATCATTACAAAAGAAAGAAGAAAAAAGAAAATGTTTTATTTGCACTAAAACTATGTACAGAAAAACACAATGAAAATAATTTTAAACAATTCAGCAATGGTCACAGACCGCCTGCCGGAGGTACTGGTTCAAGATATACGATAACACTGCCATGCATATATATCCTCTCCTTAGTGATTTTTGCAGTTAAGGATAAACATATGCTGGTCAGGAACTAACATGTCCATGGGTATCAAACTAGAAGAAGGGCAAACGATCTCCACTCCACGTGGACCGAGAAAGAGCGGTCAAACTACTTTACAATATTTTTCCATATTATGACAATTCAAAATCCAAGGTCTACAAGGATTCGAACCCAGGACCACTAGCGTGGCAAACAGGAGTCTGACACCCTAACCACTCGGCCACTGCTGTCCCTGTTTTCTGTATTGCATCTTCAAACTTCTTTTTTTTATTCCCTTGTTTATTGAAGTAGTCGGTCAAAAATATATGGCACTGCTCCTTTGTTTTGGGTCGTTTAACGTACCGATCATTTCCTCCCTGGTGAGCAATTACTTCTTCAAGTAGGTGTATCCGTGAGTATTGGCAGTGGCAGAAAAGTGCTCCGGGTCTTCTCTTTCCCTCAAGCAAAACAGCGAGCATTCTTCCCTAGCGTACATTAAGGTTTGCATTGAGGAAGAACAATCCCCCCTCAGTTTGAATATGAAAGAAATGGTCAAACAGACTTTTCCCAAACTATTTTCTCCTTGACAGAGAAGAGGATCGCATAATTGCTCACCGAAGACATCGAAACATAACGATCAGCCATCTTCGCACTGGATTTCCGTTTTAAGTCCTCGGATAACGAGAATCTAGGCGTCAGAGTAACTCCTAAATAAACAAATTCATTTAATTCAGTAAATTTTCAGTTTTTTGACTTTCTTCTCCTTCCTCCATTTTGAAAAATTATAATTTTCGATTTACTCAAATTGACTTTTAACCCACATTTAGAACAAAACGTTTGTAGGGTGTTAATAGTTCGAAAACTTGGTGGGGGAATGATTTATTTACAAAGGGTACTTTGAGGTCGTTATAAAGGGTGGAATTGGAGACATAATAGAGATTGTAGATTAAGATTCTGATACTTTGGATTGGAAGGACTTAATTCGTTGGGTATTGGGAGCTTTAGCGGTGCCCCATAATTCCA